TTCCTTTCTCCTCGTATCCTCTCTACCATGCATTCCCTCTTCTTACGGCACAACCCGGACACTCGTACCTACCATGGTTCCAACACCATGCTTCATATCCCCATTGTTCTCATCGCTATTGTTCTTTTCGCCATTGTACTACGTGGTCACAACACCACGTGACTCCTTTGTCCCCATTCGCTATTGTTCACCAATTAGTCAGCGACCGTGTACTTTAGTATATAAGGACAGGTCTTGCACTGGGCACCCCAGTTTGACCTCTTGTACCAATCAAGTGTTCTCACTCCCTAGACCCCTAGTGACCTCGAACCCCCAGACCCCCAGTGAACCAGTGTGCTAAGCTTGTCATCAGTCTGCGTCCTCGTTGTGCATAACCTGCACACGACCCCTTGAGTGCTGACACGCTTTGCTGTAACAGGTGAGGATTGGGTTGCCTAGGGAGTCAACGATATCAGCAGTGTCCGACCGCCGTGGTTTATACCAGGCTGTCAGGTCCCAGACCCGGGCATTGTTGGTGGCGACATCGTGGATGCGCTGTTCGAAGAAGGCGTGTTTGGCGTTGGGGATGGCCTTGAAGTAGGAGCGGCGAGCTTCAAGGCATTGAAGTTGTGCGATCTTGGGGAGGGCAGTGTTGGAGGGGGTGTCGCGATGCTGGAGGAAAGCGCGATGGCATGCACGGGCGGTCCGAAAGGGTGGGGTGGTGCGTTTAAGGGTGGTGGAGAGGTGTCGCTGTGCTGCTTTGGTGACGTTGTTCCACCAGGGTTTGGAGCGGGCACAGAGATCGCGGGGCTGGGCATGGGATTCCCAGGTGGTGGAGATGGAGTCGTAAAGCGCCTGTGTGTAGCGCTCGACGTCGGGGCCAGAGTCCGGGCGAGGTGTCGAGTTGAAGAAACCGACGAGGGTCTGGGCCAGGTCGGTGAGGAAGTCCTCGAGATTGTCATCGGAGATTGCCGGAGGTCCGAGAAGGGATATGGGATCAGTGGGCAGGGTGACGTATAAGAGGGCGTGATCGGAGAGGCCACGGGCCGCAGCACGGACCTGAACGGAGTCACGTGGGTGGTCTCGTGGACTCCAGACGAGGTCGATGACGGATCCCCGGAGTCGGGGGTTGTGGGGGAAGTGCGTGGGGACGTCGACCGGGGAGCGGAGGTCAAGGTCCCAGGCGCCTATAAGGTGGGAGAGGGTGAGTAGGTCAGTACGCGGAGAGGAGGTTCCCCACGAGGGGTCCCAGTCGGGGCTATGGAGATTGAAGTCGCCACCGACGCAGCGTACTTGATCTGGGAGGCGGGGAAGAAGGGAGATAAGGTCAGTAAGGACAGCAGAGTGACCGCGAGGGTCATTGTAGACATTAAGTAGAAAGAGAGGAGGGTCAGAGGACCGTAGCTGGAGCACGAGGAGTATAGCGTCTCGGTGCCGGAGTGCTGGGTGGCTGAAGGCGCGTGTTAGCGGCAGTCGGGTGTTGACGTAGCAGACTACGCGAGGGGGGTTGTCGTGATCAGTCTTGGAGGGTTCGAAGAGGCGCCAGTGGGAGTCGGACTGTGTGCCGAAGTATCTGTTGTCGTTGGTCCGGTCGCCGGGCATGGCGACGTTGCGTTTACCACCGGGCGCGGGAATGTGTTTGAGGGGGCCATACCACGGTTCTTGGATGCATAGAACATCGACATGGCGAGACAGCGAGGAAAGGAGGGAGGACATATGGGAGGGATTGCAGTTAGCATTGTGGAAGACAATGGTAAGGGAGTCGAGGGAGGTGTGGTCTCGAGTCATTTAGAAACCGGCCAGCCCAAGCCCGGGCGGAGGGTTGGCGGCGGGACGCGAGGGCTGGGCTGGGGCGGGAGCCGGTGGGTGGGGAGCGGTGGCTGTGAGGACGTGGACACCGTATGGGTGGGCCGTGTTGCAGCGGCGGCAGTGGGAGACGGCCGGTGCACGCATGGGGGTGGCGCCGGGAAGAGGGCGGGGACGTGTGTGGTTGCCAAAGGGGTGGCGGCAGCTGCACGCGCGGCAGAAGGGAGAGTTGTCCACGGCGCCTGGGTGGTGACGGCCGTAGAGGTGGGAGGTTCCACACGCAGTGCATGGAATGGGGAGGCCCATCTGGCGGGCGACAGCGGGATTCTGGGAAGGACGATTAGCAGTGCGGGCCGCAGTTTTACGTACCGGGCAGGTGGGGGAGGTTGAGGCGTGGGCCCCGTTGCAGAGCGCACATTGAATGGAGGCGTCTGGGGCCGCACGGGCCGAGTGGTCAAAGGTGCGGTGAGGACCGGCGCATGTGGCGCACTTGGGAGGGGACCGGCAGGCGCTGGCGGGGTGGCCGAGGGCTTGGCAGTTGGTGCATGCGAGGATGCCGCGGCGCACGGGACACGCGACAGCAATACGGGAGCCCGTCCCGAGGTCGAAGACGAGGGTGCCGTTGTGGAGGGCACGGAGGCACGCGAAGGCGGGAGAGTCTTCCCGAATGTCGACGTAGAGGGTCGCGCTGTCGGGCGAGGGAGAGGGGTTCCAGCGGGCCGCCAGGACTAGGTCCATGGTAAGGGCACGCCAGGCTGGAGACGGGGAGCGTTGGGCAGCTGCGAGGAGGTAAGCGACCGGGTCGACAGGCTCAGAGGCCCCGCCGACTCGGTAACGGGCAGAGGGGAGTTGGGAGATGGAGAGGGAAGAGTAGTATACGTACGACGTGCTGGTGACCGGGACAGAGAGGATAGTGGAGACGCAGGTGTCGAGCCTGTGAACGTCATCAGTGGACAGGAGAGAAGAAGGGAAAACGACAAGGTTCCGGCCTGTCATGTTCCATGAGGCGGAGACGATGCGGAAGTTGGACTGGTTGAGCGCGTCAGTGATGGCGACCGTCGACGGGCGTTGGTGTTCCGGGATGGCCGCGGGGAGGCGGAAGTAGCGGGCTTTGGCATGTCCAGAGGGGAGGGTGGAGATCTTCTCGTTGATGACCTCGTTGATGCGGATGGAGGGTGATGAGGACTATCCAGTGGCCGGGCGTTTGGCAGCCATGGTCGACCACGGGGCAGGTGGGACAGTAGGCTGGACGGGAGCGGGGGTAGGGACTTGGGAAGCGGGAATGCTCAGGGCGGGCGGCGTAGCAGTGGTTGGGGCGGCGGTGGGGGCTGGTACCGGGGCCGAGGCGGGAGCTGGGGCAGGCCGGGCCGAGGGAGCGGGGGCGGGGGGCGGGGCGGCCGTCTGTTTGGCGGCTGCGCGCTTGGTGACGGTCTCGTGATGTCTGGTGAGGTGATTCCCACGACAGACGTCACAGCAGACGCCTTGCGGCAGGGAGGGAGCTTTTTTGGGAGGAGGAGTGGGATAATGAGGAGGGGCGGACGCATCGAAGGTTGGGGCGGCCGGGGTGGGAGTAGGGGGGCGGTTATGAGGAGAATGGATAGAGCCGGGGAGGCCGGGGTGGGTAACGCCAGGCATGGGAGAGGGGGAGCGGGATGGGGGTGTGGTGTGGATAGTGGCTGGGGGAAGATTGTTGATGAGGTCGAGGACGCCTTGGCCTTCGCGCGTTGAGAAAGAGGTGGCCTGGGGCGCCGGAGCGGCAGGCGGATCCCAGGAGACGATGCGAATCGCCGCTTTGATGATGGAGGAATGAGAGTCGAAGATGCGTTCGAGGTGGAACGGCTAGACTTCAAGGGCGTCAGCTACCCGGGGGACGTGGGACCTGTCAAAATCCTTGGGGGGAACGTCGGGGTGAGTGCGGAAGAACATAACGAGTGCAAAGAGAATGTCGGTGACTGTTTCTGAGTCGAGTGAGTCAAGATCTGGTGTGAGGTCGTGCGCCTCGGGGGGGGGGGCGTCGCTGGTGGGGAAGGGGGAAGCGTTGAGGAGGCCGCGGACGTACGCGTAGGCCGCGTTCGCGGCTTCGCGGGACGCGGTGGAAAAGCCGTCGTCGAGGAAGGCTTGAAGGATGTCCCCCAGACGGGCTTTTTCTTCCGGGGGGCGTTGGGATTTGGGTTGAGCATTGAGTTTGGCCATAGCGGCCAGGAAGCGAGCGCTGAGGATAGCGGGGTGACAGAAAGACGGGACAGACGCCGGGAGCGGGGAGTCCGGAGCGGGCTGAGAGAGGGGGGTAAAATGGGCACTGAGGGACCGAAAGTACCGGTCCAGTTCGCCGAGTCCGGAGACAGGCGGGGCAGGTGAGGCAGAGGGGAGGGGGCCATGAGGCAGAAGCGCGGCCTCAGCCGCAAGGTTGAAGGCGAGTGCAGGTGCCTCTGCATTGTAGAGGCAGGCCTGGGTGGAAAGGCCTGGGCCGTCGGGCTGCGTGTAGAGGCCGGCGGGCGTAGCGGAGATTTGAGTGTCGCTGGGGACGTTGAGGGTGGGAGGGGGCGAGATGGAGCGGGCCATAGATACGTCGGAACTAGTAGAGCTGGAGGGAGACATACGGGGAGCCGGGTCGACGGCAGGGGTTTTCTTTGAGGCAGCTTGGCCAGTAGAGGAGACTGTAGATGCCATTGTTAGTAGAGGACGACGAGGAGGACTCACGGGAGGGGATGGGAAGTGGGCGCTTATTGGGGATGGTGGTGGTACGAGTCGAAGGTGCGGCTGCTGGTCTATGCGAAGGGCGACCTTCTGCGCTTTCTTCAGCGTGTCAATCTTGTGCGCCATGACTGCAAACTCATTTTGAATCTTGTATAGCAGGCCGTCCACATAGTGTGCCCGCTTGTCCTTGTCGGAGAGTGGAGTGCGCACTGCAATGGCATTAAAGCTAGCCGTATAGTCCTTGACCATGCCGAGCTTGTGCGATGCCTTGCACAGCTTGACAAGTTTGGTGAGTGCAGCCTTCTTGTCGTCGACCACGCAGAAGTGGGCCTTAAAGGCCGTCTCAAAGGCGTCCACACTTGACCAAATGACCTTGCCATCTGCGAGGTCGATGATGTGGGGCCCAGCCCACCGAGCGGCATCGTCCGTGAGCTTGTTGAGCACCATGATCCAAGTGAAGTTGGCCGCAATCGACGATGCTACCAGCTGCGTATGGTAGAGCTTGGCCATCGCAGCAAAGCGGAGCCCAGCCTGCGCCTCCTTACTATTGCAGTCCTGGGGTGCGAGCTGACTAAGGAGCTTTGAGCAGATGGGAGACATGGTGGGAGAGGGGCTACGGGGAGAGTGCATGCTTGATTCAGAGTGTGATGGGTTTCGTGGGGGTTTCAGGAGCGGTTCGGTGGTGTTCGGAGGTTCAAACGCACCTGAAGCTCGTTGTTCTAGACAATTGGTAACGAGCAAGATGGTGGTGTCAAGCAGGACACAGGATCCTCCGGCAGGGGATTCGTTTCGGAGAGAGCCGCCTGGGCTAGGGATACGACTCGGGGCACAGGTTGCTGAGCGACTAGGCTGCCTAGTCCCTGGTAAGCTGATGGACGCGAGTACGGCTGCTTGCAGCGGCCGTCCAGACTTGGTTGTCGTCGGGAGAGGAGTTGCTAAGCGAACCTGGATAAGTGCGCCTTGTTCTGCCGCAGGTCATGTGTGGTGTGGGAATGCGGACCAGTCGGTATCGCTGTCGTCTCCGTTGGCCAACCGGTGAGGGCAAGATTGGCGCGGGCAGATATGCCACTAGTGGTAGTTGTGGTTGTAGTGTTGGTCTTCTACGGCAACGGGGTGAAAACTGTGGAAGTATGGGCTACAATTCAGGGTGGAAATATGGGGGGAACAGTGATAAACGGAAGGTTAAATGTGGGAGGGTGCTAGTGCCTGTGAGGAAGTTTTGACCTAATGTTACAACTGACTGTCGAGCGAGTAAGTGGAGACGAGCGAGGCAGGCAGGAGCGCTGACGAGCTCTGATCACAGTGAGACTGGAGCTGAGCTCAACAGGCAGGACTGGAGACAAAATGTGTATTGAGCGAGGTATCTACAGAGCGACATGCATGGTGGCTTACCTGGAGACAAGAAGTTGAAACTAGAGTCTCCAGGTAGCAAAGGATCTAGCTATATACAGGGAATGAACAATGGGCGCTAAAGGACAATGGCATTGCCATGGGCACCGAGTACAAGGGGCATAGGACAATAGTGAAGGGGAGAACAAGGGCAGCTATTGTCCGTATGCAAACAAGGAGAAATCACACTGAATAGAGAACAAGCGGTGAACATACGAGGCGCGGTTCAAATCGAAAAGGAAATGTAGCGCCGTAGGGGCAGTTTGTGACATCTATTATGCAACTTCATATCTTTAAATGTGACAATTGTGGTTCAAAGTTCAAACATATAACAGTGGTGATGGCTTGTGACAACACAACACCTCCACTGGCATGTAGTCAACATAATTCAGCTAATGTGACATTTTGTTGTTAGGAACGGGCCAGCCACTGAACCAGTGACACCAAAAGGGTGCAATCCTAAGCTTAGCTTAGGATCCGGCTGACACTATATACATATACCACAATACTGCCCCCTATCCTAGGGTTTGTGACATCTGTGACACTATACTCTCTCTATCCACACATGTGATTATAGCCAAGTTTGATTGTCACAGTCACAGTTATGGTTGAATTTCTGCTCCCTAGTTTTACTTTATAGCTTCGAAATTAGAAAAGGGACCAACCATTCAAAGGATGTTCAAGGACAAATCAACTGTGTGATCAACATGGCTGCCATTTGACAGAAACCACCTTGAGTTGATGCCACAGAATTGATGTTGCTTGCAAGCTTTGTAAATCTTTGCAGTCCTGAGGACCTGTGTGGATTGTAATGGCCATAGAGAGTTGTTATAGTTATCTACGGGCCGTAGATAACTTCAGTAACTTATTGGACGGAACACTACCCAGGCAACACCCTATCATCATAAGACCAAACACATACTATGACATGGAGCAACATATAGAAATACATCCTGCCGCACGCTAGTCATCTCCACCATTAGAGCTCGCGACATCGCTGTGACCATCATCATGGCCACGTGGGTTGTCCTCTCCATCCTTCCCTGTAGTATTTGAACTAGCGGCTGAGGCATTGGCCGCGGCCACGAACCCGGACAAGGGGGCAGCCGACGGCCCGCCACCAGATTTTGCTTGTGCGGCTTTCCAGGCGTGTGCCATCTGGAGAAACTTGAACGATGTCGGGTTGGATTCCCGCTCGTCGTCGGCGAAGACAATGTCCCAATCTGACGAAACAGGACTCTGCGTGAGCGAAACCTCGCGGTGAACACTGCTGTTTCACGTACCTTCGACCGTCTGGCCCGTCTCTTTGTCTACGATCCGCCGCTTGCTGGTGATAGGCATCATGCCCTGGACCTTCACGACATCCTCTGCTGCGCCGTACTTCTCCTCGAACGCCTTCCAAATCTCGAGCAGAACGACGCGCTACAAGTCCCACATGAGTACAAGCGACAGAGGCAAAAGAACAAGCGGAATACGTACCTCGTGTTTCAAGCCCTTGCTCTTGAGGTCCTTATAACCGCGCTCGAAGACTTGCCTGGCGCGTACCGGGTCCCCCTCGACCATTGGCACTTCTTCCTCCTCCTCTTCCTCCGCTTCCTCGCGCATCGCACGCGGAACAGGGATCGGCTCGGCCTCGAATGTCGCATACGAGATCCATACCTTGACGTGTCCGCTGAGCTGCACGAGCCGTTCGTACAAGTCACGAGCCTTCTCGCGCTCGCCCTCCTCCGTCTCGAAGTCGATGTATGCTTTCCAGAGTAGCTCAGGCATGGAAAGCGCGGTCTGCGATATGCCGAGCTCGTAGATTGCGCGAACCCGGGCGAAATCCTCAAGCTGTGTCTCGAGCTCCGCGTACTTGATCCAAGCAGCCGAGTTTGTGGGGTCGAACTTGTGCCTCGCGTTAGAGAAGAGCCGGGTATAACGGGGAAACATCCTTACCTCGATGTACTTCTCGTACAGCGTTCGCACCCGGTCAAACTCACGGAGCTGCAGGTAGTTCCTGTATGAGTATAGTATGCGCACTACCAACTTTGAAATGCTCACGTCAAACTCGAGCTGAATGTAGCCCTTGAAAAGCGCTTCCTTGGGACACATCCCAATGGCCGTCCCCAGAATCTTCCGCGCAGCGGCCAGCTGAAGCCGCCGGACCTCAAAGCGCGCAAAATTGATCCACAGCTTCGCGAATGTGAACTGCTTGTGAGGCACAACTCGGATGGCAGTCTCGTAGATTTGTCGTGCTCGTTCAAAATCCTACATTGTTGAGGTCAGTGATCAGGCATAGACGTACCAGCGCGTCACATACCTTCGTTTCCGTCTCCTCGAATAGAGCATAAAACAGCCACAAGAATATGTACCTCCGCCAATGTCGCTTCTCGCCTCCGGGCGGGACTTGGGCAACCGCCCTCTCATACACCTCTCGCACTCGGTTTGCTGCGCGCTCTTCCTCCTCCGCAGTGGCGCCCTCCTCCCGAACGTCCCGCAGAGCGCCCTCCTCCAGGCGGGCATAATCGAACCACACGTCGTAGTTCCGGCCATCGTGCTGTAGCTCCTCTTCGTACTGTATGCGCCTTTTGCCGAGCACCGTGGATTCCAGCGTGGTCCGCGTACCGTGCTGCTTCTCGAACTTCGTGTATGCAGCATACAGCGAGCCAGATTTTGAACGAGGCAGGCGCGACAGGGCGAACTGCAAGACAGAACAAGCGTTCGCTTACGATGGCGCTACTGACGAGCAAGCACGTACCTTGTAGATCACCCTCGCCCGCTCGTACTCCTTCAGCCTCGTCTCCATCTTCGCAAACGCGTTGAAGACCGCCTGCGCCTTCTCGATCTGCTCCTCGTCGTCCCCAAAGAACTCCAAAGCGGTCTGGAAGACCTCCCGCGCCTTGTCCAGTCTCCCCCGCTCCTCCTCGAACTTGCCCCACTTGACCCACACCCGCGGCTCGGGCCTGACGGCGACCCACCGCTCGTAGATGGCGCTGGCCCTGTCCAGCTCCTGGTACCGCTGCTCCAGCTTGATGTACGCCTGCCAGGCCTTGTCGTCGGGCTCCCACTGCATCCACCGCTCGAACACCTGGCGCGCGCCAGGCACGTTTTGGAGGAGCTCCTCGAGGTAGACGTACTTGTACCAGAGCTGGTCGATGCGGGGAAGGAGAGTGACGGCACGGTCGAACAGGTTGCGAGCGTGCTGGACGTTGCGGCCTTTGAGCTCCATCTCGGTGTACGAGAGCCATAGCTGGACGCTGCGAGGGTCGACGTCGAGGGCACGCTCGAATACCGAGCGAGCACGGGCGAATTCGCCCTGGCTAGCCTGAGAGGGAGTGTGAGAGACGTGCAGAGGCCTCAAAGAAAGCACGCTTGGATGTACATACCTCCCAGTTCGCATATTGAAGCCATTCCTTGCTGTAACGTGAAGTCAGTAAACGTTTGTACGAAAAGAGGATGGTCCACGTACATGCTCGATCGCGTCTGCCGAATGCGCTTCTCGAACTCCTCTCGTTTGCGGCCGCGGTACTCGTGGAGCTCCTCAAAGTCCTCGACGCGCTGTTTTGGTGCACGGAACTGCGACTCCTGTCGCTCTTGGGCCTGTGATGCGCCGCGTCAGAACTAGGTTGGATGTCTCGGACAGGATACGGCGTACATCGCGGAGGAGTTGCTCGGCGGTGACTTGGATGGCCGCCGGTGCCCTGTTCTTGATTCTGTTTGAAGAGTGTCAGTGTCTGGATCGGTATAGGACGGATGAATCGCTGACCTGGGGGCTCTTCCGTCCTGCATCGCGAAGGGATTGTGGCAAGTGGCGGTCCGGTGCAGAGGAATGTATTGGCCGCGGTGGCAGGTCCGGGTTAGGGTTCGAGCAAGGGGCGTCTCATTTAAACGCCCGTGGGCAATTGCTGCACTTCGGTGACTAGACCTGACTCGTTACACGACGACCTGAGCTGCGTGCACATCGACAGCGAGCAAGATGGCAGCGCGCAAGGCTCCTCACTTGATGACCTTGGCTGACCTCAGCTCGACTCAAATCCACGGCGTCATCGCGCACTCGTTCCACCTCAAGCGCATCTCCCTCCCATGGCTCGCCCCCCAAACGCGCCTCGAGAACGGCAAGATGTCCAACCAGCGGCTGCGCATGCCTTCGCAGTCGCTCTTCAACAAAACGGTCGCTCTCCTGTTCTCCAAGCGGAGCACGCGGACGCGTCTCGCGGCTGAGACGGCTGCCTCTCTCCTGGGCGGACGGGCGCTCTTTCTGGGCAAGGATGATATTCAGATTGGCGTCAACGAGTCCGTACGCGACTCTGCGCGAGTCATTGGAGGCATGTGCCAGGGTATCTTTGCGCGTGTGGGAGACCACAGCGAGATCGAGGTACTCGTACCGCCGTCGTTGGATATCCTATCACGCTCACGCACTTCTGGCCTATAGGAACTCGCGCAGTACTCGCCTGTGCCCGTGCTGAACGCGCTCTCTTCTCTGTGGCACCCCACGCAAGTGCTGGCGGACTTGCTCACTCTGACGGAGAACGCGTACTTGTTCGATTCGTCGCTGCGGTCGCGCGCGAACAAGGACCCTTACTCGACGAAGCACAAGCAATTGGATGAGCTTCGACCTCTGACGATCGCGTACGTCGGCGACTGTGCAAATGTACTGAATGACATGCTCGTCATGTACCCGCGACTGGGCCACAAGGTGCGGGTAGGGGCGCCCGAGAACCCCAAGTACCGTCCGCCGAAGGCGGTGTGGGATCGGGTGGTCGAGCTCGGATGCGACAAGGGCATCTTCATGACCGCAGACCCTCGGGAAGCGGTGCACGGTGCAGACGTGGTAATCACGGACACCTGGATATCGATGGGGCAAGAGGCGGAGAAGGAGCAACGGCTGAAAGATTTCGAAGGATACCAAGTGACGGAGAAGCTGTGCAAGGAGGGCGGGGCGAACGCGGATTGGAAGTTCATGCATTGCTTGCCCCGGAAGCAGGAGGAAGTGGACGACGAGGTACGGCCGAAGTGCCGCCATGGCTGCGTTGGCTTGGTGGGATCGAGATGGCTAACATGGGAGCATGTGGATGGCAGGTGTTCTACGGGCCGCGGTCGCTGGTGTTTGAAGAGTCGGACAACCGCAAGTGGACGATCATGGCGGTATTCGAGTGAGTTCACTGGCGATGGTTCACATGTGCCGGATACGAGGAGAGCTGATCGCATGCTTGGAACAGTCTGCTCTTCGGGAAGTGGGATCTTGTGGGCCGCAAGCAGGAGGCGAAGGCATGAGAGAGGCTCGGGAGACATGCGGACACCGGCGGCGGAGACGGAGGCCGAGACACGTTGATAGTAGTAGACGTTCTAGCGTAATCTACGGAGTAATCCCTGGCTCTTCCTCCCAGCGACGATCTATCGCGAACCTGGATCGTCGGCCCCGCATGAGGCATCGTCGGCCGGGCCACGGCGGACAGCGGCCTGGCCAATGCCTACCGAGCAGGCCGCTGCAGGCCGCTGCTGGCGGAGGCGGGCCGAGAGTGCGGGAAGTGCCCCGGCCTATGACGTCTTGGCTCAGCAACGGGCGCTGGCGGAGGCGCCGGGGTCCGGCCTTGGTTTGAGTACGTCCTCGACTCCATCCGTCCCTTCAGCCACCCCCACACACCCATCTTGCCCCCCGACCCCCACATTCATCCCTCCATCACGGCGTCCCCATTCTCCCCAGACGACTCACACCGGTCTCCAGCCATGTCGGAGGTCAAGCGTGACGTTCACAACCATCTCCTCTTCGAGTGCGCCTGGGAGGTCGCGAACAAGGTCGGCGGCATCTACACCGTCATCAAGACCAAGGTCCCCGTCACCGTATCAGAGTATGGCGATCGTTACACCCTCATCGGCCCTCTCTCCTACAAGACCGCACCCATGGAGGTCGAAGCCCAGGAACCCACCGACCCTCATCTCGCCGCAACCCTCGACAGCATGCGCGCCGCCGGTGTCAAGATCCTCTACGGCCGCTGGCTTATCGAAGGCGCCCCCAACGTCCTCCTCTTCGACACAGGCAGCCAGTACTCTCGTCTCGACGAGTGGAAAGGCGACCTCTGGAATCTCGCAGGTATCCCCACCCCACCAAGCGACCACGAAACGAACGAGACCATCATCTTCGGCTACATCGTCGCCTGGTTCCTTGGAGAGGTGCGTAATGTCTCCCCATCTCGCGATTCACCTCTCTTGCCCCTGGCGGTCGAGGCCTCTTCGCCTATTCACCGATGTCTCTCATCTGAGATCATTATCCGCACTGCTTCGCGCGTATACGCGAACACCCACATAGGCGCGGGCCATCTGTCCCATCGTCCCCCAACGTCTCCGGCTCACAAAGGTGCTTGCGCGTCCATGCGCGCCAGCTGTTATCGTACGGTTTCTGGCGGCGGCGGCCATATGCGGACCTTACGCGTATGGCATCAGCAGGCGCGACCTTCTGTCCACAGCTCCGAAGACCTCTGTCTACTTTTGGCGACGGCGACTTGGTTCGCGATCCCCCAATGACTCAAGGGTCGTCAGCCGTCCAACGAGAATCGTGCGATCACTGCGCTACGTACACCGTTGACTATTGAAGCCTCCCACGTGAACACCCAAAGTGTTCTCGCGCGCTGTCACAGGCGGCAGCGGCAAACCCAAAAGTGCGGGGGCTTCACATTGGGGTGAAGCCGACGCGCTTCTCGGTCAAAAATCCAAGTCGCCGGCCCTTCGTACCCGCGTCTCTTTCAGCTTGATTGATATCGCTTGGATTTTGACTGATCCAATCTCGTGTACCCACAGTACGTCGCTCGGCAGCTTGACAAGGCCGTCATCGCGCACTTCCACGAGTGGCAAGCGGGTCTCGCCATCCCGCTTTGCCGCAAGCGCCACATAGACGTCACCACCGTATTCACCACACACGCGACTCTGCTCGGACGGTATCTCTGTGCGGGTTCGGTCGATTTCTACAACAATCTGCAGTACTTCGACGTGGATCACGAGGCAGGCAAGCGCGGCATCTATCACAGGTATTGCATCGAGCGCTCCTCCGCTCACTGTGCGGATGTCTTCACTACGGTTTCGCATATCACCGCGTATGAGAGCGAGCACTTGCTCAAGCGGAAGCCGGATGGCGTTCTCCCGAACGGTCTCAACGTCATCAAGTTCCAGGCGATGCACGAGTTCCAGAACCTGCACTCTAGGGCGAAGGAGAAGATCAACGACTTCGTCCGGGGACATTTTTATGGCCACTACGACTTCGATATCGACAACACGCTCTACATGTTCACCGCTGGTCGCTACGAGTACCGTAACAAGGGTGTTGATATGTTCATCGAGTCTCTAGCCCGTAAGACATGCTCTCCACTGCTTGTCGTCTGCTTAGTTGCTCATCTCGCAACTTCTAGGCCTGAACTACCGTCTACAAAAGTCTGGGTCCAAGATTTCCGTCGTCGCGTTCATCATCATGCCTGCGTCCACCCACTCGTACACTATCGATGCGCTCAAAGGCCAGGCTGTCACCAAGCAGCTTCGGGATACGGTTACCGAAATTCAGAATCGCATTGGACAACGACTTTTCGAACATGCTATGCGCTCCAACGGGTATGCAAGCATATATTTGTGCTGCGCTCTTGTGCTGATGTTCTTCATTACGGATCAGCGAGCATGCGACACTCCCTACGCCGGATGATCTCCTGTCCGACGAGGATAAGGTTCTGCTGAAGCGTCGCATCTTCGCTCTCAAGCGCAATGCTCTCCCGCCTGTGACAACTCACAACATGACCGACGACCACAACGACCCTATCTTGAACCAGATCCGTCGTGTTCAGCTGTTCAATCACTCGCATGACCGCGTTAAGGTCGTGTTCCACCCTGACTTCCTGAGTAGCAACAACCCCATTCTTGGTATGGACTACGAAGAGTTTGTCCGTGGTTGCCATTTGGGTGTCTTCCCGTCGTACTACGAGCCCTGGGGATATACCCCTGCGGAGTGCACAGTCGTAAGTATAGATTTCGCTGCTTTACGTTTCAACGACCTCATTGCCTTGAAACAATAGATGGGTATCCCCTCCATCACGACGAACCTCTCCGGCTTCGGCTGCTTCATACAAGACCTCATCGAGCGTCCCCAGGACGAAGGCTGCTACATCATCGACCGTCGCTCCCAGTCCGTCGAGGATTCAGTGAACCAGCTCACCGACTACATGTTCTCCTTCTGTGGCAAGACCCGCCGGCAGCGCATCAACCAGCGCAACCGCGTAGAGCGCCTCTCTCCCCTGCTCGACTGGAAGAACCTCGGCATCGAGTACTCGAAGGCGCGCCAGCTTGCGCTCCGTCGGGCGTACCCCGACGCGTTCTACGGCGTGGGTGGCGAGCCTGGTGAAGAGGAGGATCTCGACTTCGGCATGGAGCGCATGACGCTGCCCATCAGCGTCCCCGCGAGTCCGCGCTACAAGATGTCCGGCATCGCGACTCCAGGGGACATCGGTACTCTCACGGAGGAGGTACGTACACCGCGAAGCCCTCTTTCGGCATGCATGTTGATGCGCGTTGGTACAGATGCAGGCCCTAGGCACCAGCGACTACCGTGGCTACCAGTGGCCGTCGCAGCAGGACGATGAAGAGGAGGGCTATCCCTTGTATGTATTCGTATTGCCTCATCTCCAGCCATGGGCGAAACTAACGAATGTGATGCAGCCCGCTCGTTATGAAGGTCCGTTCGCGCGCGAACTCGGTCATGTCGGGTGCCAGCACGCCCGGAGGGGGTCGCTCGAAGAGCTTGAGCGACACCGACCTTCGCAAGGCCGATGCAGCGCTGAGCAACGTCAACGAGTCGCAAACGAACGGTGTCAACGGTCACCATTGATGACCTCGTCGGACGCGAAGGGGCGTAAAGGAGATGCATATAGCTTGTACATATAGCCCTCTGTGAACCTGTTGGAGACGGATATCATGGCATACCATATCAAAACGTCTGATCATGACATGAGTCGGAAAGGACCCGGAGTAGGAAAGGATGTCGTCTGTAGCCTGATGTCACTTACTTCGCAGGGATACTCTGTCCATGCTGAGCGCGAATATGTCATTGGACTATGTCTATAACATGGTCTCGTGAGCTGCCGCGATATTCTTTCATAGTAGATGATCATGCAGCAGTCAGAATGGCTGCATTCCATTTAGGTAATGGCGTCTATACGGCGGAGAGAGTTGCAGCCACCGAATCGCCGTCTGGGCCACTTGTCTCTCATCCCTCTCCTCCCCTTCCTCTCCGCTAGACTGGACGTCTTCCACTTGGACCACGCCTGCGTGTGTCCGGTATGGCTCTCGCTGTGCGACGGCGAACTGTCGTTCGTGTCCTCATCTTTGCTGTCTTCGCACTCCTGGTCAAACTCTTCGTTGTCTCGCCTACGGATGCTTCAGTCGCCGCCCTCTATGGGCCTACCGACCCGAAGCAGATACGAAAGCAGAACGTGTTGGACCTCGTGACGCGGTCTGACAAGCAGCTCGATGCCCGGAGACATGAGTTCTTGCAGGTCCGAATGGGGAGGGACGAGAGGCCGGACCTGTTCTCGGATCTCGTCAATGTCGGCGTTCAGGATTACTGGGAGCGGTTCCAGAAACCTTAGTGAGTGCGTGTACACGTAGCAGCGTATCCTTGTGCTGAGTCGTCGTAGCATCCTCGGCCATGACACTTCCCACATGGACGAGCAATCCGTGCTGTCCGCCATCGAGCAACTTCTGAGCCTAAATGGGTGGGTCGCCGCACTGTGCCCGACCCTCGCGCGCCCGTTCGGCCAGAACAAGTACGAGGACGCGTACGAAGACCTCGCCCGCCAGAACAACCTGTACTTCGTGGGCATGGTCATCCATTCCGCGGACCACTTCCTCGTCGACCAGCTTGCCGTCATAGTGCAGCTGGCAAGGCGGCTCGGGTCCTCCAACATCTTCGTGTCCATGCTTGACTACGACTCTTCCGACTCCACCGAGACCTTGACCGACCTCTGCGAAGCCGTGCTCACCCTTCTCGGCGTGCCGTACAGAATACGTCGCATGCCGGGCATGACAGAAGACCCTTCGGCGGCTTACTATCCACTTGAGGAGGCGTACACTCGGAATCTTGTGTTGGAACCCCTTCATGAACTCTACGAGAAGCGGAACATCAAGTTCCAGCGTGTCATCTGGCTCAAGGGTTTCACATGTCCGAACGATATCCTCGAAACCATCAAGGTCAGCATCGTAAACGACGCTGCTATGGTCTGCGGCATGGACTGGGCAGAGCACAATGGATTCTTCATATTCTCCGACCGGTATGTCTCTTTCATTCCCTTCTACGAACTGTTCCCTGATCTCCTCATCAGCTGGCGCACGCGCGACATCAACGGCGACCAATTCCGTCAATCCAAGTCTTCCGCCATCTCCGAGTCTGCCCTTACGTCCGTTCCTCCGCGCGACCCGACCAGTGCACAGCGCTACAAGCAACATCTTCCTTTCCAGGTCTTCTGCTGCGAGTCCGGTACGCACGTCGTGGATCCCGCTCAGTCTTACTACGCAGGTATCAAGTACCGTGCCGGAACGGACTTTTTCAACTCGACCGCCAGCCACGAGGAAGTCCCTGATCGCGACCCGGACTCACCTTGCCTCGACAGCACTCAGGCATGGTTCTGCCGTGACCTCTGGGTATGGAAGGCGAAGGAAGGCATGAAGGACATCGACCCCGAGATGGACTCCCCCCAATCCACCGACGCTGCGCAAGCACCAAAACGTAAACGTGCCCCAGAGCCCGAACCGGCTGACGCGGAGCCGCTTGCGCCTCGCCAGGCGGACAAGGCAAAGGCGCAGGACGATGCGGATGCCAACGCAGGGTCAGATTTCGACGCGTCAGACCTTCCTATCCTTGATCCCCCCGAGAGCACCGAAACCCCACTACATTTGACCATCCCGAATGCGGTCTTCTTAGCGGCCAGGATATTGGTGAATCCACGGTGTGTGACTACGTACGCGGGCGTGTCCCACACCCAGCTGGCGCTAGACTTGTTCGGGCCGCCCGACAGAGAAGAGGAGCAGGAGGTCGGCAGGCAAGACGTACTTGAAGACTGGGAAGGCGCGCCGGATACATTCGTTTGTCAAGAGCAAAGGTATGCTGCTGTCCGCAAATTATAGGTCTATTCGGCACTGACTCGGTATGATAGGACAACTGGCGGCCGAAGAGCAGCAAAAACCCAGAGGAGGATCTCATTCTCCATCCATCGAGAATTGGAGGAGAGCTTGCTGTCATGAACCTAGCATTTGGCACTAGGGGGGTCACACTTTGCATGCGGACATGTTCATCTTACCTAGAGTACAACAGGGATAGAGTTGTTGTAAATATATCTAGATATCCTTCTGTAATGGGCGCCAGGTCAACGACAAGTGGCCGTACATCCGGCAAGTTGAGTGGACAGACGACGCGGCTTGAAATACTTGGTGGGCTCCCATCGTTGAGTTGATTAGGTGTATAGTCTGTTAGACGCTTGTTTTCGACGGGCGGACATGCCAACAACTGTTCCGATGGATAACCCAAAGCCATATTGTAGTATTCTGGTAGGGTATGCGGCTGACTACTTCCTCCTTGTTCGACTCCTCGCCCCAAACGCCTTGAAAGTAGCCCCGTCATCGGAATCATCGTCCACCACAATAGCAGGGGCTTTCTTTCTTGCGGTCGCAGGCTTCGCCTTCGATGATGGCTGGGTCCCCGATCGAGTACTTCGCGCAGTCGATTTCAACGTTGCTGCTGGGTCATCGTCCTCTTCTTCTCCGTATAAGCCAACATCAGGATCGGAATCCATACGGAAGTCATCATCCTGCTCGTAGTCGACTGGACCTGCAGCTCCCTCTCCATCGTCATCGACGTCGTCGTCCGAGTCGATGAACAGTGGCTGCCGCTGCGAGCCTGCCTTCCCCCGGGTAGCCCTAGTCGCTGTGTTCTTCTGAGCACTCGGCGGCTTCACAGCCTGGGATTTCGCCTGACTCTTTCCTTTGGCAGGTTTGGAGACGAAAGGCTCCTCGTCGTCGTCCGAGTCCAAGACAAGAGCCGGAGGTTCCTTGGTGCTACGCTGAGTTAAGCGGTGCGTAGCGCCGCTTCTTGGTTGGAACTGGGTATGGGGCTGAGACTGAGATTGGGTGGGCAGCGCGGCCGGTGAGCCCTTCCAATACTCTGTAGAATAGCTACGTCAGTCTTCCTAGTAGCATAGCCCAGATGGATACGTACGAGATCCGATACCGAGGTCGCTCTCTTCTTCCACCACAAGTTCGACGGGCTGCCGCCGCTCACCCGTAGTCTTCTGCTCACAAACGTTCAGTTCTCGTCTCGCGCTGACACCACATTCCACACACCTTCTTGAACTTCTTGAAATCCGGCCGCCCAACCCATTCAGGCCTGCCTTCTCCTCTCCTCAGATGCTCCCTGTTCGTGCCCGACTCCCTGAACACCGGGCACTCGCAAACGACCATGAAGTTTCCCCTCAGATCACCGTCGTCCCCAAACTCCTCCAAGACCTTCCACTCGTCGTCCTCCCTGACCCTCTCCAGATCCGGCTTCGAGATCCTCAAATTATTGAACTCCTTGTCAAACGTATCCTCGTGCTTCTTCCCCCGCTTCGTCGACGCGACGGCCTTCAGAAACGCGTCGTCCCGATCCGGCTCACCCTGCTGCTGCTGCTGCGTCGCCTTCTTACCGCCCGACGGCTTCGGCGGCTTGACGTGCACCTGGGACTGGGCCATGTCCACGCGGGTGACGACCTTGGACATCGGCACCGACTGCGTCTGGTGCTGCCCGACCGACTGGCCCGACGGCGGCGCCTGGTTCTGCGCGGCGCCCGCCTCCCCTCCAGTCCGTCTCCTCGTGCGCGGGTGCTCCTCATCCTCCACGTCCTCGCCCCCGTCCTGCGTCTTCCTCTTCGTCCCCCTCTGCGTCTGCGACGCCAACACCGTCCCCTCCTCTTCCTCCTCCATCACCACCCCGAGCCCGCTCCCCGCGCCCGCGCCCCTCCCACCCGTCCCGTCGCTCCTCGTCATCGTCGCACCCCCGCGGCCGGACGCCTGCGTCGCGAACGTCACCGAAGGCTCGTACTGCGTGACGCTCTCCCCTCCGCCCCCACTCCCGCCGAGGTGCTGGCTCGCGTACTCGCCGACGCCCATGCGCGCCACGCGGTCCGGGTCGCTCTCCTCAAAGAGCGCCTTGTACTTCTTGAGCGGGGGCTCCCGCACGTCGGCATCGGGGACGAGCACGTCCGCGTCGTCGCCCGCCGCCGACGGGGGAAAGAGCTGGCTGGCCGCGGAAGCGGTCGCCTGCGTCGCGCCCGCGACGCCGACGCGGCGCTTGAGGCGGGACGGGCGGACGGGCGTCGGGGGCTGGGGGGCAAGTCAGTCAGTTTCAGTCGCACACGAGCGTAGCAGAGGACAGGGTGGAGTAGGTGAGCACGCACCACGGAGCTGCCCGGCCGCCTGTAGGCCTCTTGCGCCTGCGGCTCTTCGGAGGCACGGCCAGCCGCGCTGTCCACGTCCATGGACTCGTCGTCGGTCGCATTCGCCTTTGGGCGCGCCGCCCTCCGTACCAACGTCTACGAGTGCCAAATCAGCCAGCCATTCGCGTGCATGCGCTAGGACGCCAAATCGTCTTACCCTCCTCGGCTGCGCCGGCTCGGCCGTCGCTGCAGGCTCGGGCTCTTCCTGCACGGCCGGCTGAGAGGGCGGCTCGGGCGGTTGCGACGGCGCGCGCGACGACGCTCTTGATGTCGCCCGTCGCGTGAGCCTGCGGCGCGGGGCGGCACTCGGCTCTGGTTCCTGGACGACCTCAGGCTCCTTGTCTAGCGGAGGCGGAGCACGGCGGGGGGGCACCACGGTGCTGCTCGTGACGACCGACGGCTCATCTTCGATCGTGTTCGGCACGACGTCCGGGAGTGGAGAATCTTCCTGATCTGAAAAGGACAGTCAGATGGGACGCACGAAGACACAAGATGAGACACACCCTCATCAGGGTTGCACGTCGCGTCGATGTACGAGACATCCGCATAGACGACAGCCTCCACGAGCTTCTCGGGAGGGACGAACTTGAGCTCAAAGCTGCGCCCGTCAGCCGCGCCTACGCGCACACGGGGGAAAAACACGCACCTCCTCGCCTCCTCCACCAAGCCCGCCCACCCATCCCTCCCGACGGCGGCCACGACCGCCTCCTTCCCAGCGACGGGCACAACCGCCGCGCCCCTCGCCCTTCCCTTCCCTAACACCTGCCTGAACGCCTCGCGCCCGTTTGCCGCCGCGAAGCACTCGTACTCGCCCCCGCCCCGCTTCACCAGCTCCCTCAGCGCGCTCTGCGCCTCCGCGCCCTTCTCCCCGACGAAGACCGCCCGCGCGCCCCTGAACACCGCCGCGCGCCGCTCGTCCCGCTCCCACACCTCGTACTTCTTGAGCGGCGGCGGCAGGCTGGCTGCGAAGCCGGGGCGGTGCTTGGTGGTGGGTGGCAGGACGCAGTGTTCTTCGAGGAGGGAGAGCTCGCCGGGCTCGTCGGCGCGGCCGGCGGCGAGGACCGCGGTGAGCCATTCGGGCTTGACGAGCGTGACGGCGGCTATGAGGGAGGCCGCGATGGACGGGGTGAGGGCGTAGGTGGGCGTGAGGTGGTGGGTCACGTCGGGGTGGAAGGTCGGAACGACGTGGATGCCTGGGAGAAAGCGGTCGGAAAGAGGACGTGTTGCGGGAGGGAATACGTACCGAGCTGGGCGCATTCCTCGATCGCACTGTGGGGAACGCCCTTGCCTGGAGGATTGTAGCAGCATATGGTCTCCCAGCGTACCCTGCGTGTGACCATTGGGGGTGGCTCTGCTGAGAGGAGGGGACGACTGACCTGACGAATATGCTCGCAGAGAGGTGGACGATATCTCGATTCTCGAGCCGGATGCTGTTCTTGGGTTGACATGGGACGCGAGGACGGGACTGGGAGGGGCGTTCGATGGGTCGTATGCGGTCTGTCAGATTCTGGAAGGTGAGCGTAGGGACAAAGGCAGGATCTGCCTGAAAGCGATTGCGAATGAGTCAAGGATGGAGGTGGCAGGAAAGGGGGCGACACACAGCCTGGTCCTCTGAACAAGGGCCGACAATGAAGAGCGCGTGAGCTTTGGAGATGGCCTTGCTCTTGATCTGAAGGGGCTGGTCTCTGCGGCCGAGGCCATATTCCCTGCCCGTCTTGAGCAACTTGTCCTCTACGGCAGATGAGAGGGGGAAGAGTGGAGGGATAGGAAGGACGCACTATCTGGGGCGTGGCCCTCGGAGTGGTCGTCGTCAAAGGGACCGGTGATGATCCACATTATATTGGACTGGCCTGTGGGCGATTGCCTGGTGGACGAGCTCAGGGGACACAGGCAAGAGACCGAGACCGACAAAGGCATCTCTGGCGCCGATACCGACAAAGGCATCTCTAGCGCCGGTGACTACCCGCGACGCGTCTCCGCCAATCAGCGTCCGCGCTCCTTGCCACGGGCTGCTCGCTGCGGGTACGCGACCTCCTCCTGCGATTTAATAACATCAAGTCTGTCCACTCAACTTGCCGGATGTGCGGCCAACTTCGATTCAACCTCGCATGCGGTAGGGCCAACTCACCTCAGATACTTATGTAACAGACGGCTACTCTGCTGCCGAATAGCCAGGCCTACTTAACGGCATCCTTCTCAATGATGCACATCGCCGCCGCTGACACTACTTCCCCTCTACCCCCGCGACACCCCACTTGCCATGTGGACTGTATCAGGTACAACACTCTACGTGAGCACCTCATCAGTTCAGAGACTAAGATAGCCCCCGCAGAGCCCGGGCACATCGTGCATGCTACAGTTATAGAGCGACTACGTGCATTGTATTCCCCTCACTCAACCATACAGCAGTGCATATGTTCTTCATGCTATTCTTACGTTGTCATCACTCTACTGGGCATCAGGAGATATATGACCCCTTGTTGAACAGGCGACCTCGTCGTAAGCAACCGTGGGATGAGGGCTTTCAGTGACGGAGCGCCTTTGTTCTCAGCAACGTCACTTGCTCAACTAATACACCCTTCCATATTACTGTCTGTCTGCAGATCCCAACGGTCGCGATGCTTCTCATCCAACAGACCAGTCTTCTAAAAACTCTCCTGTCGCCCGTCCATCTGCCATGTACAGCCCCGGCTCTACTTATTGGCGCCTATTATGGTGATATGAACTTTCGGCGTCCGTCTCTTCCTGACCAGAACGTGATGATATCGTAGAAGTTGAGCAATTCACCCTTGCGCATTCCCCCACGTCTACTATACCCAATGGTCGCCGAACCAGCCGACCGGTACATCGTGATTAGCACCCTGCGATGACATGCCTCGACACGCGGCCAAAGAACAAGCCACCGCCCTTTCCTGCCAAACGCACAGCAACAATTGAGAGCAGGTATACATAACCAGACACGCTTCATGTCCGCTCTCCGTCAGTCACCCACTTATACCCACTGCGCCCTTAGCTCTGGTGCGCACGGTCGCAGCGCTCCTAAGCCCCGCCATCCTCGTCGCTGCCCGACTCCTCCATCCTCCAATGGCTCCCGGCCTACTCAAGCTCAAGACCAGACTCGCCACCGCGGCGGCAATCGCCGAGGGCCTGCTGTGCGCCCAAGCGGCAACCCTGCCCGTCAAGCGCCAGGCAGCGGTCACTGCGCTCTCCACCGCACAGATCACCGCCTTCCGCCCGTACACCCACTACGCCAGCACGGCGTACTGCTCGCCGGCGTCGACCCTCGCGTGGAACTGCGGAGTGAACTGCGAGGCGAATCCGTCCTTCGAGTCAATCGCCTCCGGGGGTGATGGCGACGTCACCCAGTTCTGTACGGCGGTTGTGTTCGCTTGCCCTCTGATTGCGCTGCTGACGTTCGGCGATGCCGCGACCCAGGGTTCGTCGGGTTCGATCCCACGCTGCAAGAGGTGATTGTCGCACACCAGGGCACGGACACGAGCGAGATGTCAGGTCGATTTAGTCGTTCTGACACCGCGCTGAGCTCACCGTGACACCCACATGTAGTCTGCCTCTCCTGGAAGATGCGGACATCGTCTTCGAGAAGCTCGATCCGACGCTCTTTCCCGGGGTCAGCAAGAGCATCGAGGTGCACAGCGGCTTCGCGGGCTCCCAGTCTAGGTGAGCACCTGCGAAGTCCGCGCCCGAACCGCACCGATGACGACGGTGCTCTGCCCACAGGTCAGCTCCTGGGGTCCTCGCGGCCGTCCAGACCGCACTAGCGAAGTTCAACGCAACCAAAGTGACCGTGACCGGGCATTCGCTAGGCAAGTCCATCGTATCCCTTTCGTGTTACGCGCATTCATTCTAATCCTCAAAATTGTGGACCTGCATCGAGCAGGCGCAGCCATCGGCCTCCTCGACTCGGTCTTCCTCCCTCTCCACCTCCCAAGCACCGTCACCACCCGTTTCGTCGGGTACGGCCTGCCGCGCGTCGGCAACGAGGCCTTCGCCAACTACGTCGACGCCCACTCTCAGAAGGTCTCCGTGACGCACATCAACAACGAGGAGGACATCGTCCCGATCCTGCCCGGACGCTTCCTCGGATACCACCACCCATCCGGCGAGATCCACATCCAAGACTCTGGCGAGTGGCTGGCGTGCCCCGGTATGCCTCGCTTAGTTCTCGTCACTGCCCCATTGGATCGAGGACGCTAACGAGTAGTTCTGGTGAACAGGCCAGGACAACACGGATGTCAGATGTATTGTCGGGGACGTGCCGAATATCTTCGAAGGCGACGAGTCGGACCACGATGGGCCCTATGATGGGGTCGAAATGGGTTGCTAATGCTTCTCGTCATGTTATGGCCAGTGGATGATCCCCTCTGAACTGGCAAGCCGTATCTCCCCATCCTGTATTGCCGAATCGCAAGGAGTCACCGCGTGGAATAAAAAGCGCTGAATTCCCCTCCCCTCCCTTCTCTGCAGTGGAGCTTCTGCTGCGAGAATGTGGCCCCGAGAATGCTCCTTATCTCGCCGATAGCAAGGCAGAGCTGTTTCCGAGCTGGGCGTTCTCAGCACATCTTATGCGGTAAGCAGTGTCCAATAACGAGACAAATTTTGGCCGATCTAATCGTTGACTGTCTGACGGGAAGAACGAGCCGCACAGACCCCGCACGAGGTATTTTGCCCATAACGCGGACCATGCGCTGTCGGAGCTGAATGCTTCTTTCACTGAATCACCAAATCTTCAGGGCATATGCACGGAAGTCGTCCACCTCGTGTCAACAGTTAATGCCAAGATAAGATCTGAGGCGACGTGTATACACCGTTCGCTGCGACAATCAGTACTACGCACATACCCCTACCCTCCTACCGCTCAACGTATCAACTTCGTTAGTCCCGGAGCAATGCCCTCACAATATCAGCTTGCGATGCGTGCACCAAAGCATTATACGCGCGATATCCCACCCGTCCTTCTAATCCTCGGAGGCGACATCGTCTAAGTAGGGTGCCGAACGTCGTGTAGCCCTGATTAGTCCATACTGGCCGCTGGAGCTCGTGGTGATGGTGAGCAAGTTTGAGTCGGGTCGTACACGGCATGAGGACAGGTAAGTACGAACGGGCCGGTTCACCTAGCTCGTTATGTAAGCGATAGACATTCTACCGTTTGTGCCAGCTGCAGTGAAGCGGCACTGAAGCCCCCGGGGATCAGTGACCCCCAACGGTATCCTCGCCGAGGGTACTGCAACTCAGGAGTCCGTCCAATACCGCCTACGCCCTACTTTGCTGTGGAACCCACCAATCGCCTTCCGCCAGCACCGGACACAAGATAGTCCCCGCAGAGCCCAGGCCCATCCGAGTATGCGCAACAGTAGCAAATTGGCCAGCTGTACACGTTAACGCAATCCCCCGGCACTGAACCGTACAGTAGTATGTGCTTCTAATCTGAATATGTTTTCAACAGTATTCTACTTGTGCTGATACTACATAGGTATCAGATGGTAGATGAGCCCCGATACTCACTTGTTCGGCAAGCAACCCTGTCGTAAGTGTTCCTATACCTGTCGTTATTCACCCTTCGCTTGACCCGGTTTGACCGTGGGATCGTGTCTCTTTGAGAAAGTGCATTCGTCATCGGCAATGCTCACTTGCTCACCCGATAGACCCTCCTGCAATCTCTGTCTGTCTGCAAATCCCGGCTGTCGTGGCGATACTGAGGCCTATCCAATAGACAATCCTATCATGGTTCATCAGTGTGTCACGCCTTCCTGACCGGAAGGTGATGATATACAGAACTCGATCCATAGACCCTGCACACTCCTCACGTCTTGCGGGTACTACAGCCGATCAGTGCATCGTTGTTCGCACCCCGGCGACTAGACTCCTAATGACATTCCTCGACACGCGGCCTCAGAACAAGTCATCCGCGCCTTTCCGCCGGATCCGCAGTAACAATCGGGAGGGGATAGGATTGAGAAGCTATAAAGCCGGACACGCTTCAGTATACTCTCCCTCGGTCGTCCAGCTTGTATACTCGTCGAGCTCTTAGCTCTGGTGCGCACGGTCGTAGCACCTCTGAGCCTCGCCATCCTGCTTGCTGCGTAACGCTCTTCTTCTTCGTCCAATGGCTCTCTCCCTGAAGGCTAGCCTATCGACGGCGATCGTCGGCGGACTGTTGTGCGCACGAGCGGCGGCGGTTCCGACGACAGTCAAGCGTCAAGCGGCGATCACTGCACTCTCCACCGCGCAGATCGCTGCCTTCAGTCCGTATACGCACTATGCCGGCACGGCGTCCTGCTCGCCAGAGTCGACCCTCGCGTGGGACTGCGGGGCGACCTGCGAGGCGAATCCGTCTTTTGAGCCGGTTGCTTCTGGAGGCGATGGCGCCATTACCCAGTTCTGTAAGGCAGCTTTCTCCGTCTTCATCTGGTTGTGTTGGTGACACATAATGACTTGATATGATGCAGGGTTTGTGGGTTTTGATCCCACACTAGAAGAGGTGATCGTCGGACACCAAGGCACCGACGTCAGCAAAATGTTGGGTTGTTCGCCTTGCCTCGCCTTGCGCTGAGCTCACAGCGGAACCCAGTCTACCAATCCTGGAAGATCTGGACATCGTTTTGGAGAAGTTGGATCCAACCCTCTTTCCTGGCGCCAGCGAGAGCATCGAGGTACACAGCGGCTTTGCGGGCTCTCAGGATAGGTGGCTGTCTCCCAAGTTCCTGTGCAGACTCGGTCACTCATCTTTTTCCGATTCTGTTCACAGGTCAGCTCCTGGAGTCCTTGCCGCAGTTCAAACGGCTATAGCGAGATTCAACGCAACCAAGGTGACCGTGATTGGGCATTCACTAGGCGAGTCATCGGATCCCTCCCGCGTTGCACACAGGGCCCTAAGGAATGATTTTCGATTCGCATCGAGCAGGCGCGGCGATCGGCCTCCTCGACTCCGTTTTCCTTCCTCTCCACCTCCCAAGCACCGTCGCAACCCGTTTCGTCGGATACGGCCTGCCACGCGTCGGCAACGAGGCCTTCGCCAACTACGTCGATGCCCAGTATCAGAAGGTCTCCGTAACACATATGAACAACAGGGAGGATATCATCCCGATCCTTCCGGGCGCGCACTCGGATACCACCACCCGTCCGGCGAGATTCACATCCAAGACTCTGGCGAGTGGCTGGCATGCCCCGGTACGTCTCGCTCACCTCCCATCATTGCCCTGATTGAGGACGCTCACGGCCGATTCTGGAGAGTAGGTCAGGACAACACGGATGACAGGTGCATAGTAGGGGACGTGCCGAATATCTTCCTAGGCAACCTTACGGACCATGGCGGACCCTATGGTGGGATCGAGATGGGTTGCTGATGCTTTCCCTCACGCTCCAAACGATTGCCATCTCAACATCGTTGGTCCTAGAGTTACGTCCTCGCGATACTTGCTTGTGATGCACTATGGCGCCCGGGACTGTGCAAAACCCACAGGGGAAAACCGAGGAAATAGTGCGGTCCGGCCAAGGAAATGGAGCAGAAAACCGTGGGTGAACACCGGTTAATGGACGAGCAAAAAGCGCGTCAAGATGACGGCTTTCCACGGTCAATCTGGTGTGGTCTCAGACAGGCGAAAAACCTCGGTTAGACAGCGGGTTGGAAGGGTGGGATTTACATCTGTAAAACATGGGAATTTGCACGGTTTCCGGGTGCCGGATCCTCGCTTGCGCCAGCTGGATATCAATAGGGAATCACTTATGATGCAGTACAATAGTGTAGCTAAACACGCTGCAGATTGCAGTGTTACGGTCGCATTATGGCATGCTGAGTACATAGTACAGGTATGGATATCGATATAAACTATGCAAGCTCGAGACCCTCTGGTACTCTCAACGACCACGTCCTTTTGACCCTTGCCACTCCTGCAGTACATCCATGCCAACACTAAGGACACATATGGGAGTTTGGGTAGACGGAGTCAGATATTCGGGGAAGAGCAGCATATACTCACCGGGGAGGATGCAGATATTTGAGAAGAGTGACTTACCTCATCGATATCTTTGCCAGAATGGCCAAACAACATAGCTGGACTTACCTGAGAAACTCACAACTCTGAAGATTGCGACTCACCTCATGCCGACCATCCATCACTGGGCTCTGCCCGACGACTCTGGTACTGTAGGCACACCCCAGAAACGGTGATAAAGGTGACCAAGAAATGTAGACACGACAGTAGTCATGCACTCAGCGCACCCTAAGATAGTTCCATGAAAGTCAGATGTCACAAGCAACAGGAGAACGTCGATGCAGACGAGAGAGTGGTCAGAATCAGAGCGACTGGCATTTGGCGCCAACGTTTAGGGCCGGCACAGGCAGACTTGCTTGCGGACACCGAGAGCAACCGTGGAATAACCCCGTTCAGCTTGGCGTCTCAGGTGGTAAATTTCTACGGATGTAAAAAACACGTTGCCGCCGCAGATAACTGACGGGTGATATTCAACGGTGAGATCCCATTTCCACGGTGCGACCGTTGAACGCGCTTTTTGCCTTGTCGAACCGGGGGTTTTCCGGGGGCGCCAGGCCCATAGTGATGATGGCACAATGACAGGAACTGCTTGATATCTGATCCGTCCGTCCACCCCCAGCTGAGGAGACATCATCTGACCCACCGTCGCCTCGCGGTCACCCATCTACGCCTGTTCGCATGGCTCGCGTTTCCCTTCGGATGGCTCGCATGCTCGTTTTCGGCACTCTACATACTCTGGGAGACGCACGCCTCCTTCCGCCGCCCGAGTATGACTCTATCGTCATCAATGGTCCTCGTCGTCAATCGAGGCTTGGGCTTGGAGGCAGTCGCCGCGCGTCGCACGGCTACAGCGTCCAGACGTCCGTTACTCCGTTACTACTGCTACTAGCCTCTGCGCCTGTTTCATCGCCCTCGTTACAAGCGTTGGATGGACACGGGTGGTATCTTCTTGATAGCGGAGGATTCAATATGATACGAAAAATACTGGCCGATGGAGCAAAGCGTAGCCAATGCGCTCCCGGGTGCTCCCTCGCACACTATGGCGCAAGCGCCGCAGTAATCAAAATTTGACTTGAGCAGTCGATTGACGGACACTGTATTGTGAGATGCAGAGATCTGACGAGAGTATGCTATTAATGTGACGCAGAGCAGCCTCTGAAAGTACAATCGACGAGAGTGAACAACATCCGAGTAACAAAAGAGTCCTGTAAACTATAGGTCATGAGGACGCGCCAGCTGCAACAGCGATCACGGATGCTGAAATTGCCGCTGGTGCCTCCGGAATTGAGACATCAGACCCTGTGGCAGTGACAACTTGACGAGCAGCATAGGCTTCGTGGATACCGCCAGCTGCGAGGGTGGCAGTTCATTTACTGTTCCCCGACCCGTTTTGGCGTGAACCCTGGCTGCTGGACGGTCGCTCGCGGTAAGAGCTCCCCTGGGGTGCAGGAGCAGGAGCGATTGGCGCATACAGAGTTGTCTGGTACTGTGGCACCGCGGGTACCGTCAGCGGAGGAGGCCTGGGGGCGGACTCCTTCGGACCTGTGTACGGTCTTTGCCAACTAAGCCCCTTCTGCTGAGCATCGGTTCGCGCAGGCAGAGGTTGTGGAGGGTACTGCCTGCCGGCTGTTGGAGGAGGAGCGTACCCGTTATAGCCGGGATAGTGGGCGTATTGTGGGTAGGGCGGGCGAACCGTACTATTTGCGTGTGTGTATGGGTTATAGTGCGAATATGCAGACGAGCCGTATGATGATGATTGACCAGACGCAGATGTGTATGAAGGATGTATAGCAGCGTAAGGGTACGACCAGTGACCAGGTCCATAAGGATATGTCGCCGTTCGCGGCTGTGGGGGATAGTTGTAAACGGGCGCAGGAGGTTGTTGTGATGTAGAAGGCGCCACTGGAGGGGAAGCATGCGAGGAAGACGTCGACGCAACAGGTGCTGCGGACAGAGGTCGATGGGTGGAGGTGGCTCTGGATGTACTAGGGGTCGGTCTGATTACTGAAGGTGCAGCTAAGACAATATAACATATCAGCAATGAGTTTCCTGTAACAGCCTGCAAGTGAATGTCAAAACTTACGACTTGGTTTCGGAGAGAGATCGCTCGGCTTTTGTGCAACGATGTTGTCGGTGTTTCCTCCGACTAGTACGCTCTTCCAACTGAACTCCCTCTTGATGTCCTTGTCTGCGTCCCAGAGCACTTCCACGACCCTCCTGTCCTCGATGACCCGCAGCAGCTGCACCTCGAAAATCCCATTCGTGATGCGCAGCTTGATCAAGCTGCCTTCGGCGAGACTCATGACCCGGTCACGAATGCGTTTCTCATTCGCCTCCTTTTTCTTCAAGAGGGTGGCCTGTATTCCCTTCAGCCAGCAGCTCGATGTGAAATTGAGCGCAAAAACGCGTACTGGGTTGTGCTGGTGGCAGAGCAGCTCCACCTCCATCTTCCGGATGGTCTTGAGCACCTGTGGGGACGGTGTCTCTTCTCTTTGAGCTGACGGGCCGTCTTCTTTCCCTCCATCGTGAAAGGGTACGTGAGGGTCGACTTGCATCGGCTGGTCTCCGGCAGGAGTATGAGAAGGCTGCGGAACAACGGAAGCGTGGCCAGGATGCAATACGAGAACGCCAGGTCCAGGAGGCGGCGGAGGCGGGGTAGGCTGTCGTATGGGCGGTTGATTGTCTAGCAGGATGACTTCCTTCTCGACTTCCCTGAGCACCTCGTACACAATTCCGTTGGCGTGTCCATCTCGAGCGCAAGAAACGTGGAACGCTTTGGGGCATTTGGCACTGGTGCACTGAATCTTTGCGCCGTGCGCTCGATTCTTCAGCTTCGTGCATGCAGTGCATTTCTGTGGGAATGTGCATCAGTATTGTCGACCTAGGATGTCGTCGGACCCACACAGGCTGACACTCACTAGATTCCAGCGGTCCTTAGTGACGGCGTCTACTCCGAAGACTACCCTCTCCGTTCCTTGTCCAGTCTCATTTGACGGAACATTGCGCTCAATTTCGTCGACCCACGTCTCCGGTACGACCACGGCACACTCCTCATGGGCCATGCAGGGACCGAGTTTGGCGTCCGCATTATCCGCACTATACCACCAGGCCGGCGGATCGTGGACGCGGAGCAAGCCATGCTTGTTGCTCGACGCACAGAGGCAGCAAGGGAACTCTTGGTCCTTGGGTGGAGGAGGTGGGCCGACCTTCAGCATGACGCGCCGGATATGTTTGATGGATGGCATCGCAGACTGTGTGGACGACGAGGCAATGGGCTGTGAAGCAGTCACAGAGGTGGAATTGATCTTCCGTATCTTCGTCTTAGCAAGGGCGGCGTCGCCATCCGCCTTACGTTTGCGAGATGCTTTGATTTTTGCGTGCTTCGTCTCATTCGCGGTCTTGTCGAAGGCTGGTTCGATCTCCAGTTCAGATTTGCTAGACATCGCCTTGCCATTGCGATAGACTTGGATGTTCTCTGCTGCTCGGTCTTGCAGGAGTCTGTCAACGTCTATACGGACGCTGACAACGTGGTTCAATAACAACGCAAGGGCAGTGTAGTCAGCGACGACTCACCTGAAGTTGACGCAACCGCAGGCCTTGGCCTTTCTACCGAGATCGATCCAGCTTTCGAGTGCAAAGTTGACGCTCTCCGCGCAATTGAAGCCTAGGTTGAATCCAGCATGGTACCCACGGGGGAAGGTGATGACGAACTCCCCCGCATGCTGAACGAGGTAATTCGGGCGACAGAATGTCTTGGCGAGCTCGTTGGGGGAAGCAAGATACGACTTATGCCGTAGGAACTGGCTGCAGTTCTTGTCTGCGCCGGGGAACAAGCCTGAATTGCAGTATTAGAAAGCCGGAGATGTAGGCACGGAGTGACTCGCACGAACCTCTCATTGTTTGCTCAAGAGCATTCGCGCGAGCCTGAGGCATCGCATACCAGAACTTCGGCGCCCCGAAATGGATGTAGTTGATGCTGAACAGGTCCATGTCCTCGACGTGCCAAGCAAATGTCGCCCGCCACATGCCGAAGTACAGGTACGGTGTGTTGACACCAGGGAGACCTTTCGACGACGCCGGAAGGAGACGGGTGAGAGCGGAAGGCAAATGTGCGACATTCCAGGCTGTTGTCTCGTCGGTGAACAAGGAACCTGGGATGATTTGGGTGAGATTTGTCAATAAGCGCCGTTGAGCCACCGCCGATATCACTTACCCTGCATGTCAGCACCGTACCATGGAGCCTTGCCCCATCCACAGTTTCGCCAATACATTCTCTCAAGCTCCTTGCAGAAGTCGGTCGTATAGCTGGCTGCATCCGTGTTGGAAGGAAGCCATGCCGTACGGGGATCGAAGGAGTCGAGGAATTCACGGTCCTTGTCGGCACGGGCTGCCTGCTCGGCCTTCCTGACCTCGCGCGTCTGCGGCGCTCGTCTACCTTTGCCTCTTCCTCTTCCTCTCTTGGGCTTCAACTCCTCGACGTCTTCCGCCTCCTCGTCCTCCTCTCTCCGCTTGCCGGCATCACCAGTACCGTCCCCATCCTCTTCTTCCTCTTCCTCCTCAGCCAATGGATGCCTCGTCTTCGAGGAGATGGACGAACCTGGACCTGGCTGTACTGCGACGAGCGATTCGACAACGGCATCGTCGTGCTCGGATGGGGACAGAGTACGGTTGCTGTTAGGCGGCGAGACAAGAGCATGGGCAGGACGTTCGGGCTCGAGAGGAATCGACTCGTCTTCCTGCTCGCGCTTGACTTGCTCAGGTTCAGCAGTCTCCGACATCCTCGCATCCGCATCGTTATTCGCACCTGGACCTGTGCCTGCAGCCTTTCTCGTTCTCCTCGTCCGCTTTGCAGCTCCGTTGGTCGCGCGAGCACGTACGCCGACATCGTTCACGCCTGGCGCACGCAATTCCTCGTGCGCGCACAACTCCGCCCATTCCCGCACGCTCAGCGTCCGCCGCTTCTCAATGTTCTGCTGGTGAAATCGCCCACCCTGACCGATCATGTGCTGCTCGATAGGATTCTTTAGCGCGACATTGTGCAGTTGTGGAACGATCGAGGGCAGGCGTTCGGTCCTGCATAGACCGGTGGGGGTTGTTGAGTGGACGCGACATCATTTACCATAAAGAGGGACGCGAGACTAACCATTCCTTGGGAGGGATGATCTTCACAATACCGCTACGCATACCCCACGGCTCTACCCTGGTCATATAACCCTCAAAGTCCTGAAACTCGTCCATTGTCGGTCGGAAGACGGGAATGCCTTGCTGGGCGGTGGGATAGTCCGCGGGATCAAGCCAATCCCGTCCATCGGAGTTGGGAGACGGAGGGAGCTGAACAGTCTCGTTGCCATAGAAGTGATCTGGCTGAGCAGGGATGTAGGGCGTTGGAGAGCGAGTCCGGGCTCTAGAGGCGGACTGGCTGCTTGTCGACATGGATAGCAACCTCCTGGAGTCGCAATAAGCAAGTGAAAGATGGTGAAGGTGGTTGAAGAGCGTCAAGCAAGATGGTCGTTGAAACAATAATGATAATTGAGTCTTGCAAACGAGTTCCTTGTGCCGTCGCCCTTGTCGTGGAGGAGGGAGGGGAGGAGGGCTTGCCGGCTGGGTTCTGTCGGGAGCGACTCCAAGCCACCGACAGTGACCTCTGCGCCGGCGCCCCCCGCTGCCCCGCTTACGTGAGATACCTAAACGGGCACTGCCCTCACCAAGGTCAGTACGGCATTGTTATTTGCCAACAACTTTGCGCATCGCCTAACCCAAGTACACCGTCGAACCTCGCACTAGACTTTGACCAGACACACCCAGACCTCATCCAGAACCTGTCTAGACTACTCATCAGTATCCCACAGCAGGGCTGAGTTACTCTCAAATAGTTAACAAGGATCATAGTGCTTCAATTATCACACTGCCGGGCTTATAGCACCATAAGTAGGGTAAGCCATTACTCTCATAACCATCAAGCCATTGTCTCATGTCTCATCGTTGGCTGTTGTTTGTGCTTCCCGTCTCTCACTGTCCAAGCCCATGTGGATATCATACAACGTCGCTATGATACACAGAGAAGGGAACGTCGAGGTGTCGACGACGGTGTTACACAGCGTTAGCAGTGTACATACACAAACAGCCCGCCATCGCGCGTAAGAGAGTAAGCCTGAGACTAGCAGGCCGTCAGAATAAACAGCGAGAAAAGTACTGAGTAATAAGGTATGTTAAAATCAAGAACAAAACTAGTTTCCCTAACCAACGCGAGCCGCAGTGTCGGAACCCTCCTTAATACTTCGATCGCTCTGTAAGACACTACGCCGAGCTCGACGGTCCCGCGCTTCCCCGTGGAGGCGACACAGACCGAGCGGGGGACAGTGTGCTGGGTCCCGGCGTCGCCGAATACCTGCTGTCCATCGGGTAAGGTGGGGGCAACTCCTCGACGATGCCTCCATCGCTGTGTTGGAAGATGATGTCCGGGCTATCATCCGGGAGTGCCGTCACCGGCGGCATCCGCAACGACGAGCCCGCTCGTCTTGGCATAGGCTGCGTAGGGAACTGGCGAGGAACAGTCGCAGACTGTGATCGCTGGGGCACCCGCGAAGAAGGGCCTGCGACTACGACGCTCGACCCCGAGGGAGACGGGGAGACTGAACGCGAACCCGATGCCAGCCGTGCACGAGCCGCCTGCGCTTCCGCCTGTGCCTCGAGCGCCTTGCGATATCTTTGCGCAGGAGACAGGGTTGCCGCTGGTGACGTCGAATTTGGTGTTGTCGCGAAAGGCTCTGGTGGGCTTAGGGGTGTATGTGCCGGCGACATCGTCCGCGATAAAGCCGATACTGGGATCTGCGACTGAGGGGACCGGACAGTCGATGCGATCGCCGACTGGACCTGAGGAGATGTGAGATAGGGCGTGGGTGTTGCGGACCCGCGAATCTCCGTTGACGCCATGTCGATTGACGTCGGGCTATCGGTCTGACGGCCAGGATCCTGGTTTATATCGACGACCCAGGATGCTGTGCGTTGTGGTTGGCCGTTCACCCGCACCACACTGGTATCGACGTTCAAGCTCGGCCTCCCCATCCCACTCTCCTGCATACTGGGATCAAACGGACGAGGACGTTCCCGCTCCACCAACTTCTGGCGACGGCGCCAGTACCAGAAGGCAAGACCTGCGAGAATGAGGGGCAGAACGAGCCCGAACACTATCCCCAGCGCGATAGCTGTCGACTTGGCTTTAGCAGCTTTCGCTGCTGCGGCCTTTGCTGCTGCTTCTTGGCTTTGAATCGCTGCTGTCGTGGTTGATACGGTATTGAGCCCAGGACAGGATGAATTCGTCACAGCTGCACCCGCAGTATTGACTGCGATGGAAGAAACGCCCCACTGCCCTGTGCTAATCAAGGGAGCCAACATCGGCTGCGATCAGACAACAACTATGTGGACGGCGGGATCGGTACTGACGCATCCACAACGGCGGCTATCATCGTGGTTCAGACGGCGCTTCTCAAGTATATTACAGGTACTCTGCTCACCTAATATTTGCGACCCAGGATCCGCGCGGTCCACATAGATGAGCACATCGTCGTTCGGTCCCATTGTGACATTGGTGACGACCGGAGCGCGGATGGCTGCAAGGGAAATACTATAGGGCTTGACACCGCCCGTAACCGTTAGGCCCCAAGGGTCACAGGTGTTGATAGCTGTCGTGACGTTGGAATGAACGACCGGAGGATCCTTCGGAGCCGGCGGCTGGCAAGAGGTCGAAGCCCCAGCTGATCGTACCGCAGTCTCTACGTCAGAGGAAGATGGGCGCACAAATAAGCTCAACATACCGACGACATCGAAGAACGAGTTTGCGAAGCCACCAGTGTTGCCTTCTCCATCCACGATGGTCAGGAAGAGCTTGGAGCCTACACAGTATGTCTCTTCTACGACAAGTTTGAATATAATGCAAGACGAGGACGTACCTTTCGGGTGTTGCACCTGCCACGACAATGATTTGGGATCGTCTCCGAGGTGCGACACTATTGTAGTACCCTGGGGCGCGTAAGCGAACATGTAGTAAGGTGGTGTACCTGTTGTGTTTGAGGTGGAAGCGTCGAGGGGAATCAGATCGATTGAACGGGTCTCGCATTCTCCGAGCGACGCTGAAACCAACTACCGATCGAGGAATGCTTGGATCAGACGTCGAACAAGCATCGAAGAGGATATATACTTACACTTGACGGGAAACCCCAATTGAACGTATGCACATTTAAAGCTCGGCAACGAGACACAAACAGGGAAGAGAAGAAGAACAGAGACAATATTCGACCGAGAGTATCCATTGGTCGAACAGCCGCAAGCCCTTGCAAGACAGGTCGAAGACGAAGAGCCCCCAGAATACAGGCGAAAAGGAAAATGAAGGAATTCGGTGGGGGTAAGAGAGAGAACGCCCAGCGTCAGAACATGAAGGCGGACGACAACCTAGACGGCCAAGGAGGGGAGAAGCGCAACGAGGAAAACCGGAGAGGTGGGACACGGCTGCAATCCGGGGAGGGTCAGGGGCAGGCGGCTACTCAAACGGTCGGCTAGCTGATCTCAAGTTACATCTCGGTGAGTTGATGGGCCCATGCGCATCTGTTATTGGCCCTGGATACACGCCGTCATCGTGACAGTACTAGGCTGTTCCGACACCGGACAAGTACCTCTGCACATACGTTGGCAGAATCTCTCAACGTACGCAGTCTTGGGTTTGGAGTTGTGTCGAGAACGTACAGTATGCCTGCGGAGCTGCAGACGGGGGTAGCTTCGATTTCGCACAAGAGAACTCACAGGCAGAGAGGGGCCGGGCGATAAAATGGGATGTGGCTGTCCATCAACTGCGGATGCCCATCAACGTTCCGATGGTTCAACGACAGACAGGTCACTGGATGGCAACCTGATTGTGGATGTGCACCCTGTCGGAATGCCGCACGAGCAGAAGAGTCTAGACACGTTTAAATGATGTTATCTGCCCCTGGCTATCCGTGGATCATTCGTCTGTCGGCTCCTGAGTATGTACACAGAATGCGTTACAGTCGTTTGCATACTGTATCAAACTGCAGCGTTGCGTGCGCGTCGAGCCTATTTGCTTGTATTTGCTCTACCGTCGGGTACCGGCCAGGACGGCCACTCCGGGGGGTGCATCCTCAGTGAAAACGGATGAGCTCCCTCAAATGTTATGTATGGTGGAAACTGCAGATACTATGTCCCCTAGTATTGCCTGGTTGATTTTCAATGCAGAAAGTGCTTGTTGTACTTGTGGCCACAGGTGGGTTGACGGAGGGGCAGGAAGACGCTCGCTTACGGCGTTGCAAGCACAAGCAAGCAGCCCCCGCGGCGGCGGTGCCGCGCGCGTCGACTGCAGTTTGATATGCAAACGACTGTACATAAGTAAGCACTCCCTGGTAAGTACGCAGCGCCCGCCGTCAAGGCATCAGTCTCGACGGGCGAGGGCTGTATTGACCGTTTGTATCATCGCCGCCAGGCCCATTGTTGACTCGTGCCCAACAGTTCACCTTGCCACAGATCATGATCGCCGGCAGGAATGCGCGCTGAGACAGTCAGGGACACTGCATCTCAATCATTCACCGCTGCTCGGCTCGCAGATCTATCCAGTCAGTATATGTATAGCCTTCGAAGGTATTTCAGACACTCGACACTACCGGTTGGCCTGAATAACTTGGTGTTCACGAGCGCCGAGGTAAAGAGCGAAATGAGTCTTCTCCACAGCAAATGAGTTCGGTCGGCATGATGGCAACTATCCACTCCGACTGGCGCAATTGGTGCATCCTGAATCTGTCCAAGTGTTGGTGCCAAGATCAGACGCCTAGCTCAATCCCGTCTCTGTCGGGATCCCTATTGGCTAGGTGCGCGATGGAAATGGCTCATAAATCGTCCTGCTAGTGAAGACCCGTAGGATACACGCATGTGAACGAGTTGATGTCCTATTTGGGCACAGACATGAGATTATCTGACACCTTTCATAGCCCTCTGTTCTTCAGTCTACGCCAACCTACCCCATCAGGATGTTGTAGATGATGACGGCAATGGACCACTGCAGGGATGCAGATTCCAGGCATGCCGCTCATGCTATTTATTTCAGCAGAGTCCGCAACGAATCATAGTGTAAAGACAGTCTCGCCGGACCTGATCACAACGGCAAACGACCTTCGTTCATCAATTGTTTAACTCTCCAAGATGACCAAGCCTCTTCTCATCCAAACGGGCTACACCGCCATGACCACTGGGAGTAGCTTGTCGAAATCTGGCGTTCCAAGGCCAGTGATCTATTACGACTATAAGCCCGAAAACTTGATGAGGTTTGGAATGGGTCCTCACCGGATCCCAACCCAGGGACGCTGGGAAGCCTTGTGTATTGCAACCGGGGTTGCTCCCCGAAGTAATGTCGTTGAATGCCGCGGCATTCGAGTACAGAAAGGGGTTCAGGAATCCCAGAGGAGCCTTACCAGCATTGAGGCGCCGGTCGTTCAGGAGGGCGACCACACTCGCAAACGTCGGGCTCGATGCGCTCGTTCCATCTACCCCTTCGAATGTTCCTGCGACGTTGACGGCAAAGTTGACACCCTGCGTGGAGACGTCAGGGTATGCGCGTCCGCTGGTGTTGAACAGCCCCGCGTTGGTGTCGCCAAGCGTGTTCAGGTATGCTTCGACGGCAGCGGTTTGATACGACGGTCTTGCAAAAACGTTGGAGAAGCCACCGGATGAGAACTGTGCCGCTGTCTCGGGACTGTTCCCCTGAGTACTACCCACGGATGTAATGCTATTGCGCAGTGATGAGTAGTGCTGCAGATCTTAGATTCTTAAACTACGCAAGACTTACTAGGGACATCCGCTAGGGAACGTGGGTACGAAAGATCCGTCAGCGTTGCAGGTGTCACTGGAGCGGCTGCCTGCTACTCCGCCGTCTCCAGAAGCAAACAGGACACTTGTTCCACGGGTCCCTAGCTGTGCATACGCGTTGCACAAGGTGCTATGATGCGCGTTGATTGTTATGAGGTGAGAGCTATGTTTTGGAATTGAGCACGTACTTTGCGATACCGGGGTTCTCTTGGAAGAACGTCTCATCGAAGCCGAAACTCGTGGTGAGAACGAGAGGCGGTTGTGGTTCCGCGAGTAGTGTGTTGATAATGTCGAGGAAACCAAACACGCCATCTTGATTCTGACTACCGACGGTCAGGAATGTGTTGTTGACGTTCGTCGCTATACCGGTTGTATACTGGATATCGAGGCTCTGGAGACAGATTTCAACGCTTATGTTCTGAATGCAATTATTTGCGAGCTTACGGCTTCAACTGTCCCCGGACCACTGTCGGCACCTCCGTCAATAGATTGTGCACGGAAAGTTCCAGTGGTAAAGTCTGGGCGGAGAACAGCCAGAAATTGCTGTGTTACGACTCGTTGGTCTTTCCTCGTGCCACAAAGAGGTCAACAACTCACCTGTAAATCGGTCTGATTCGCTACCTCGTTGGAAAAGCCGCTTACTCCAAGGCTATTTCCAGCCGCAGTCGCCGGGACGGAAGGAATGTTGTAGAGTGCCTGGAGACACTGTGGAGTGGTTATCTGCGCACATGAAGAAGGAACATCCGATCGGCTGGATCGGGTCTCGTTGGACGCCTTGAGTGCCTGAACTACCCGAATCTTAGGATTGCTGACCACCGCAGGCAAAACCCTGGCAAGACGAGTGCGAGTCAAGACGTCATACTTAGACTTGGTCTTAGGCACGCTCACTTCGTAGTGGGGTACACAAATGCTATGTGCGGCTGTAGTTCTGCCGGGATTGAGTAGGAGCTTGTTGTATAAACGGTCGAATTTGTCCCCGGACTCAATGATAGGGTATAGTTGGCGTTAATCAAACTGTTCGCGGTGTCGACATGGACGACAATGCGTAGCATGTCTCCCGAGGGAGAAATGGTCTGCGATGTCACGTTATGCTGCGCAAGCCATGCGTTGACCGCTTGAACAGTCTCTGGCGCTGGCGCTGCGAAACTCTCTGCCTGTAACACTTTGTTTGAGCCCTTTCTCGACACAAACACGAATGGGCACACACCACATCTTTAGACAGGTGGCTCCCGTAGTTGGGACTGGTGGGGTCGCTGATGTCTAGGAGGGATTGCCGGAGGCCAGTGATGTTGGAAGGAGGAAGGGCTATGAACATGCTCAGGAAGGGTGGGAGTATAACACGAGTGCCATGATGAGTGCCTTTCCCTCGGGCAATAGCTCGATGCGTGCTTGTCGATGGGGGGTTGGGCCTACTCATGGCAGACGAAAGGAGCGAAAGGAAGAGTAGCGCTGCTGCAACCATATTGAATGAAGGAATGGTATCCGACCACATAGCAAGGAGGAACGCAAGTAGAGCTGGAACAGAGAAGCTTCGGCTTTAAGTATAATCTTGAGTCATCAGCTACAACCCTAGATAGATGCACGAAGCACAGGAGTCGAGGCTTACATGGCGACGGAGAAGTTGCGGCGGCGCAGCGTCCCCAGCCCAGGGGTTCCCGCAGAAGATAACAAATGCCATCCGGCGCTACATGTACTGACTTCGTGGGTTGGCTATAGATGAAGGCTCTGCAAGCAAAGTTGATGGACGTTCCATGAATAGAGAGTTCGAAGGATATTGATCCTATCCGTTGATCGTAACCAGCTATCTGAGCATCTGCGAGATCTGGCAGTGCGAATAGCGGTCCCTGTTTGTGAGCACGATGGTTCTACACCAGTAAATGCGGCCTAGCATAAACATACGCATAGACTTAATAGAAAGTCTTCTGATACTCTTGTACGACCTCTGTTTCTGCTAGAACGAATGACGAATCTTTAGAGAGAGAAAATTAGCCGGGCAGTGGGGCGAGGGCTAAATTCGCCTTCAATTGTGGCAAACGAGGAGAGCGTCACGCTGTCTACGTACAGCTTAGCCCCTCATCGCTAGCTACCGGCGTGCATGTTGAGAGCTCGACCAAGATACTTTCTGAGCTACTTTCGGTACTTCGTAAGCTTGATAACGGTAGAAACCATATGCACTGTGGCGAATCAGTGGGAAGGAGTTGACAAGGATGGGCAGGGAAGCAAGGAAAAATCGATGAGCCAAGGTGAAGAGTCCTCGTCGGCAATGTTCAACGTTCAACGCCACGAAGTCGATTCCAGGATCTAGTTCCTCAACCGAGCCACTACACTGGAGCTTTGCTGCGGGGCAACGTCGCTTCAGACTGCGCAGACCAGAGATTGCTCGCGATCCGATTGGTACACTTAGATCATTGAATGGTGGATCCGACCAGCACGTGTATGGACGCACATGCGCGGCGACGTAAGTTTCCCGAGCCTCCGACGAATGGCAACCTGGCGGACTTTGCGTCTACGAGATAGCATATGAGAACGACACCATAGAGAGAAATTCGTGACTTGCCGTAGCTCGGTGAAGCGTGATACATCCTCTATCCCGCCCCTCGGTGTCCATATGCACACGAAGAATCCGAGAGAAAAGCCGCAGACCATGCACGAGAGCCTGGAAGAACCTATATGCTACTGCATTATCCGCCAAGCGTGGTCGTGAGTAGCAGTTGCAATGCCTACTAGGCTGGTAACGACAATGCCCGACGAAGGAATCTCGTCTGATAAACGCACCTAGTGACTGGCCCGCGCTTCCTGCCTGACACCCGAAGACCCAACCTCGGGAACGTTCATCGACCCAAACATGATTACAGCTGCACCAATAGGAGAAGAACGCAAAGCATAAGTACACTACTACAGCACACCAGAACTGAACAGAAGCCACGCATGCGGCAGTCCCGCGCTCGCCACCCTTCCGTTGGACGTCAGCGACCCGTGGGACGTTGAGCTCCAAAACACTACTGCTTCTTCGACTTCTTCTTTGCGGGCTCCGAGCCAGCGGGACTATTGCTGCGATTGGACGGACTGCCGGTCCCGTTGCCGTCAACGGCCTTGAGTGAGCGCTTCTTCAGAACGCGCTGCAGCGCCCGCTTCGTCTCGCCTTCCGGGAAAGTTGACAGATCGAAGTAGTTCGGCGCGTACTCTAACAGCCTGTATCAAACAAACCACAATACGCATCTGTCAGCAACGGTATCTCGGAAAGCGTCGCACTCGATGTACGCCCACGTCCAGGAGAGACGTGGGATAGGAGATGCGAGAAGGGGAGGCAGGCACGCGATAGAGCCGTGCACAGGGTGACGGGAGTAGAAGTTGGAAAGGCACTCACCACTCCGGCCGCACCTCGGTAACCGTTCGGATGTACGGCTTTGTCGTCAACACGAACTCGTTGAAAATCACCCACTCCGGTGACGAGTCCAGGCCGCAGCTCGGGTGCAGCGACACGACCTGGTTGTCCTTAACCGTCAGGTACCCACCCTTCTCGCCTTCCTTGTGCGCGACCTGCATGAAGAACCCGCACACGAGCGCCTTCCTGATGCTTTGCCACAGCTTCCGCTCGTCCTGCGTTGTGACGAGTTCGACCTCATACCGCTCCATCGTCCGCTGCAACTGAGAGCGGACGTTCTCCGCCTGCTGCAGCGCCCGCCCCGACAGGTAGTTGTTCCAGCACCAATTCCTATCGTGCTTGTCTGGAGTAGAGATAGGAATCAATGATCAGTCAAAAGCACAGGTATGTGGCCCACAACACAAGAACACATACTGTTCATGTACGAATTGTACACGTTCATCAGCGTCAGATGGTCTCCATCCGGAATCGTGAGAAGCGCCTTAGCAGCATCTGCTTCTTTCCGCTGATTTGGTGGCCGAAGCCAGACATTAGGCACTGGCGACAACCAATCCGGTGAGTGCGCGCAAACACCAAATCGGGTCGTGGTACGTACCGGAAAGCATGGCCACGATGGTCAGAATCTCGTTACTGCAGTTGAACTCGGGGCTGACAATCAGCATCTTTGCCATCTACAAGCCCGATACCAGTGAGCTTCCAAGGTAACGAGCAGATCCTTCACACGCCAACGCGATACGTACCTGAGGGTCGAGAGGAAAGTCCGCCATAATCGCGCCGAGGGGTGTCAGGTTCCCTTCGTCATCTAGCGCAGCGAGATAATTGAGCAGCTCCAGGGCACGCATGAGCGTCTCCGGGGCTGGCGCGTCCACGTAGTCGAAGTGCACCAAATCCTTGACACCCAGCTTCGCCAGCTCGAGCACGGCGTTCGCGAGGTTGCTCCGGAGGATCTCGGGGTGCGTCTGCTCCTCGAGCTCGGTCATGAAGTCCTTCTCCGTATACAGCCGGAAACACTTGCCCGGTCGTGTACGACCAGCGCGTCCCGCACGCTGCTGTGCAGAAGCTTTGGAGATAGGAGATACGAGCAAAGATTCGACGCGAATACGCGGGTTGTACACTTTTTGTTTGGAGAAACCAGGGTCAACAACATAGACGATACCGTCGATCGTGAGCGACGTCTCAGCGATGTTCGTCGACACGACGACCTTCCGACCAGGCGGACCGTTGGATACACGGGGTGGGGGTGCGGGGTCAAAGATGCGTTGCTGCTGTTGTGGGGGGAGGGAGGAGTAGAGGGGGACGCAGACGAGTGGGCCGACGCTCTCCGGATCTTGGTTGACGAGATCGTCCGCTTCGAGTTTGATTTTACGACATGCGTCCTCAATCTCCTCTTCACCTGTTAAGAAAAGCAGGATATCGCCAGGTTCTTCCGCACGATGGATCATGAGAACTGTGCGTATAGCGGCCTCCACATAGTCCGGTTCGGGCTCCTGCGTGTAGAAGACCTCAACTGGATGTGTGCGACCAGGAACCTTGAACAGTGGCGCGGGTTTGCTAGGTCCGGCAATGCTGAAGTACTTCTGGAATTTCTGCGCGTCGAGAGTGGCCGACATGACCACAAGCTTCAAGTCCGACCGACGTCTTGCGAGGTCCTTCAACAAACCCATGAGAATATCTGTGGCCAATGTACGCTCGTGGGCCTCATCGAGGATGATAGTCGAGTATCGCTTGAGGTCAGGATCGTTCATTGCTTCTCGGAGAAGCATACCGTCGGTCATGTATTTCAGGAAGGTCGTTCCAGGCTCGGTCATGTCCTCGAAACGTATTGAGTAGCCGACTTCCTTCCCAAGCGACACTAAAGGAGAAGAGGGTTCAATCGTTGCTCTTACTAAGAGTAGACAAGAATTTACCATCCATCTCGTCTGCAACGCGCTTAGCGACGGACATTGCAGCGACACGTCTTGGTTGTGTACATGCGACCATTTGACCCTTCGTGTGTGGAAGGTCCGAGTAGCAGACAAACTGCGGGATCCTGATACACGGAGAGGAAGAATGAGCCAGGATTAAGATGTGGGGCCAGGTTGAAAAGGATGGGGGTAGCCTTACTGTGTCGTCTTTCCCGAACCAGTCTCACCGACCATAACGATAATCTGGTTTTCGGTAAACTTTTGCCGGGTGATTAGCTATGTCCTGACGCTCCGGGGATGTAGCATGCCTGAAGCAGACTCTGACCTCCCCTGACATGCAGATATGTAGCGCAAGGACGTACAATTTTCAAGAACTCGGCCATCTGGCCAAAGACAGGAAGCTTTTTGCGACCCTCGAGGATCTTCTTGTATTGGGGCTTGTGGGGCTGCTTGTTGAACGGATTCACATCGCTCTCCTGCGTGGGGTTCAAAAACAAGACTCCTCGAGATACTCTAGCTAGATGTTAGGACGTACCATGGCTCTGATGACCTGCTCTGCGGTGACCTTCCTAGGGAGGAAGCCATGAAGAGGATTTGCGCCAATCGGAGGGGCGTTGGTGTACGGGTTATCCACTCCCATCGTGGTGGTCGTATACAAGATACAGGCGCGTAGAGCAGGAGAACAGGGACGAAGAGATAGAGGTGGCGGAGCGAAACAAGGCCGAGCACTGGGCAGGAGCTGCGGGAAGCACGAAAAAGTAGACGCGCAGGGCCACTGGTAGTCACGTGGGCGAGCGAGTGCGACGCGCGTCGGACAAGAGGCTCTGTGCGCTCACTGACGCGTCCTCGCAGACTCTTGCCTTCCTCCCTCTCTGCACCAAACGATGGACCACTTTCCGACTAACTGGGGCCGTCCGGTATGTCTTCTTATACATGGATGTCGTAGCACAAACTGAACAGACCTTAGCGCAACGATGCGGCGGACCCGTACGGCACATACCCCATACACCAACGTCCAGCAACCAAGGACACCTTCGCCGAGGGTGTCCAGCGAACACAGTCCGTTCGCCATTTTTGACCTCCATCTACCTAGCTCATTTTGCCGCAGACAACCAATCGTGACCGGTACATCTGTTCTCGCCATTCAGTACAGAGATGGGATTATGATGGCAGCAGACAACTTAGGTATGCCGCCACTCCCTTCGCTACTCCATTTGCATCTATTCACACACGCGTCATTCGACAGCTTCATATGGATCCCTTGCCCGCTTTAAAGACATCCAACGTCTGCACAAAGTTGGCACTTCCACCGTCATCGGAGCGTCTGGCGACATGTCCGACTTCCAAGCCATACAAACCCTCCTCGACGAAGTCGTCACCGACGAGTTCACACATGGAGACGGACACGACTTAGGTCCGGCCGAAGTCCATGAATACCTCTCCCGCGTCATGTACTCCCGTCGTTCCAAGATCAACCCTCTCTGGAATTCCATCCTCGTCGGCGGCTTCCGAGACGGCAAACGGTGCGTTCACCCTTTTCCGTACTCTTCTACCCAAGTCCCCGTGTCTCCTACTTGACTGCGCTCTCTGCGACGGTGCCCTTCTCGTGCCTGTCGCGCCGCTATTGCTCGCGCTCGGCACACGTCTCGCTGCCTATGCGACCACGTTCGCGGCTAGGACGAGAATGGCCACCAATACTCCCAAACCATGCCTTGCGCAACGCTCACAGAGCTTATAATGGCCCTTCACTGCTTCCGAGTGCACGGCATATTGAGCCATTCATCATCATCGCACGTCGACGAAGCTCGACTCGGTGTCTTTCGAAACCTTCTCGGCACACGCCGTTTCCTGTTCACCGGTCACACATATCCACATTGTGCTGATCGTTCCGCAATTCACGAACCTGTTCGCTGATGACGCTCGATTCTCTCCCCTGCTATGCAGATTCCTAGCCTACGTCGACCTCCTCGGCACGACCTACTCCGCACCCTCGATCGCGACCGGCTACGGTGCCTACATTGCCATCCCCCTCCTCCGCGCTGCAGTCGACGGCCGCGTTGACGAGCTCACGGAGGAGAATGCCCGCGCGCTCCTCCATGACTGCATGCGTGTCCTCTTCTACCGCGACGCCCGCAGTTTGGATAAGGTTCGTCTTTTTCTCAATCCCCTGCCCCTTCGCCTTTCTCTTTGAAATCGGTTCCCTTCGACTGGTCTGACTGGACGCGTGGGCTAATCCGAGATCATCGTAGTACCAAATCGCGACCGTGAACGCCTCCGGAGTCCACATCTCGGACCAGATTCACCTCGACACCTCGTGGAGCTTCGCAGAGGGCATTCGGGGATACGGCGCGCAGACGCAGTAGATAACCGGGTCTTGATGTAGTATCTGCGGCGGCAGCGGTGGGCCTGCGCCGTTGGTGTGTGTCTGTACCAGTAGTAGCAACGAACGCCACAGGACTCTTCCTTCCGCAGCCCTTCGCTCGCAGTTCGCAGCTATTTGCGCCCGCCGTGCAGAATCCCGGAGTCTAAAGGCATCGAACATCGGCGCATTCTCGCGACGGTCCTAGCGCCTGAGACGCACGTTCAGCGTCGTGGAAACAGCCTATGTATTAGGGTAGCCCAGTGTGTACCGGTGATACTGATGCTACTATACTCGCATAGTATGGCAACATCCTAGTATCTCTACAGAGTAGTAATGGTTACGTCGTGTCTGATTAGTACTCATGCGATGTTTACAATGAGGTGTATCGGGAGTTCCAGTGATAAGACTAGAAGAAACTATATGCTACATGTCGAGGTCGAGTTGTGAGATGTGTGAATAGGGAGATGTTGCTGTGGGATAGGGTGTACCCGCCCACAAATCGATGAATCCTTGCATGACCAGACAACCCAAGAGGATAACCAAGCGAGCCAAAGGGGGGCCGACACCGAGTTCATGCGGAACCAACGGCCTGTCCAAGAGGAGCTCCCAACCCGGGGGGTCAAGACGTCGAGCATAGAGGCGGAGGCGGCGGGACGACGACATTCCTCAAGTGGACCGGGACCCACTTCTCGCGCTCTCTTTCCTTCTCCCACCGCCGCACTCTCTCCTCTTCCGCTTCGGCCTTGGCCCTCGCCTTGTTCTTCGGGTCATTCTTCGTCACGACGGGCAAAGACGGGCGCCCCATAGCACGCTCGAACGTGTCCGAGGCACTCTTAAGGCTCGTCACGCGCTCCAGCACGTCAGCACGGACTGCGGCAATCTGGAACCAGGCCCGGATGCCCGGCCGGACAGCATTGCCAAGCGTACCTTCTGGTACGTTGAGCGGCTTGTTTGGAGGTGGCCCGCGCGGCACGGGCAGCGGCAGGAAGGGCTCCGCGGGCTGGGAGATTGTGCCTGTGTTTGGAAGAAGAGCAGGGCGCGCTTGTGGCTGCCCGGCAGGCTGAGGTTGAGGTTTCGCGGGGGTAGATGGCGCTGCAGGCGGAGGAGGGGTGAATGATGCTGGCTGAGCTGGCTTGTTACCCGCGGGAGCACTGGGAGCGGGAGCGGTCGGAGTAGGCGAAGCGGAAGCCGGATCTGGGGCCGGAGCAGGAGGTGCCGCGGTACCAGCGCGAGCATTGGGAGGTTTCTGAGGAGCTAAAATTCCAGACCACTGTCAATGTGTGTGCCGGAGGTCGATATACCATCGTGACTCACGTTTCCCAGGCCAGAGACCCGTTAGCGTCGAAGGCAGCTTCATCCTCCTACTCGCAAGTACCTCCTCGCTCACCGTCCCATCCTTCTTTCTCCCCAGCCCAATGGCCGCCCACGCCTTTTCAGCACTCAGATGCGTCATCCTGGCAAACGCCACCATGCCCGGTCTAGGGTCATATCCCGCAGTCACCTTATGCATCACCCCTGGGGCGTCTGGATAGGTTCCCGGCACAGGCTTGAACACCCACTGGCGCGCCTGGGTGATCCAAGTGCCGCAGGGCAGACCGATGTTCCCAGCAACGTAGTCAAGCACCATCGGGGGCATGGCTGGTCTGTACGCCTTGTCTTCGCCGCTGGATCCTGTTGGTTCTTGGGCAACCCAAGGCGTGCACCACCGATGCCAGCAGTCCCATGGAGTGCGCACCGGGAAGCGCGTCTCCGTTGCGGTGTACAACGCGACCATTGCCGCGCGCGACTCAGCGGATGGCGGCCGCACACCAGCTGCAGCCGACTTCATCACGCGCGCGAACGCGCTCGCGTCTTCGGAGGGGAGGGTCAGGGGAGGCCGGCGACGCGGGAAGGGAAAGATGCGTTGCAAGGGCTCTGGGCCTTGCGTAGGTGCGTCGCCTCCGGGAAGCTGAAGAGAGAACGGAAGCATGGTGACGAAACTGTCGGGCGTCTTCGAAGTCTTCGCGGTGGGAGTGGCTGGGTTGGCCGAAGCCTTCGCATGGGCACTAGCCTCAGCACGCGCCTCCGCGCTACCAAATGGTGCTGCCCTACCGCGTTCGCCAGCCTTCCCGTTCTTGCCTGCATTCGCTTTCGGACCAGCGCGCAGTTGATACGCCTCTTTATGCAATTTCCGGAGCAAGGCTTTCATCATGTCCTCCTCTTCGCGACTCATAGTCGCCTGCTTTTCGAACCATTCCTGGAGGGGACGCGTAATGAGGATATTGTTGTACGCCTCCGCGATGAAGGTCCAGCCGTTCTCAGCGGGAGGGAAGTGCGCGATGACTTCCAGCAGGAAGAGGACTTCAAGCATGGTCCAAGGATATTCGGTGAGATCTTGGATTGGGTCGGGAGGCGGGTCGGGAGGAATATTGTGGTTCTTGGACGTGAGGGTGTTCAGCGCAGTGTGTCGGATGCCGGCAGCAGGCGCAGCCGGGGGGATGTAGCCGTGTGGGCCCAGGGCTACGATGTGATCGTTTGGTTTGAGCTCGGCAGAGATAGCATCGGCTGGTGGTTGCGGTACTGGTACTCGGGCGACAGCAGGCTGTGGCACGGATGTCGCTGCAGGGAACGGGGGCGGTGGAGGGGCAGCCTTCTCGTCAAGTGGTGAACGATTCCCAGACTCTGGCTCAGTAAGCCCCGTGTCGCTCTCTGAGGGACAAGAGTTGCTGTCCGGACCACTGTCGGACAAGCTATCCGAGTCATCCCCGGTGGTAGGCAGGTCCTTCGTATCCGGTGCAGGTAGCGCGGCACTGACCATTCCTATCCTGTCCTCGACTGTTCTTAACGCTACGGATCCAGGGTCCTGGCTTCGAACGTCTTCCCGTTCCTTGCTCTTCCCGTCAGCGACCTGTTCTCTGTGTGGCATTACCGCGCCTTCCCTATTGTGTTCCTGTTCCTTCTGCTGAACCACCGAGCGCACACGCATCTCCAGCCATACCGTCTCCTGTCTCAACGCTTCGATTTCGCCAGGAGCTACCTGAGTCTGCCATTTCTCCATCCGCGCGAGCATGCTCTCCATCCGCCGGACGCTCTGGAGCACTTCTGATCGCCACTCTGCAGGAGTCGAGGGCTGTCCCTCCTTCCCTAACGCATCGCGGACGCGCCGGAGAAGCTCGTCCGGTTCGCTTCCCTGCGCGTCCGTGGTAAGTGATCCGACAAGCTTGGCGATGCGCGACATAGATGCGAGCAAGTCTTGAGGCGTATCGAGGATAGGACCCGACGAGGGATGTTCGACCTCACCCTTCTCCTTCTCCTTCGCCTTTGCGCGCACTTTCGCTTTCTTCTTCTTATTCTTCTCGCGCCTCTTTGTGGCGGCTGGGGACAACGGTCGCGACTGTGGCGGACTAGGGGGGATGCTTCCCTCACCTTGGCTCGGCTCAGACTCGACCTGCGCCGCGTCTTCGCCCTCGTCCTCCTCTCCCTCCTGCTTTTCCTTTGCCTGTGCATTGTGCTTCTGAAGAATCTCGTGTAGCTCCTTCTCCTCCGGTTCTTCGTCATCCGAGTTGGGTTCGGGGAACGTCTCCATGAGCATGTCCATCTCCTCGAAGTGCCTGTGCTCGGAGGGCAACCACTTGTGCAGCGGGCGTTGTCCGTAAGGACCGAGCGCCCTGCGGGTATTCCATCGAGTGCGGGGCTCAGGCGCGTGCACGCGGCTGAGTAAGTCATCAAGGACGTCTAGACGAGACCCGGAGGACGAGGCGTGACTGGAGGACGCGGAGGACGGATCCGCGCGCGTGTCGTCGGAGCGGAGAGACCAGACCTGGGAAGTGATGTGGAAGTAGTCGGAGAGCGTCTGGGTGGGGTTGTGTCGGCGGGACGAACTGGACTCGGTACCTAATCTTGGCATGGTCCGACTCGCATGACAGCACGGAACAGAGTACTCCTATAGTTGAGCGGCGTGGATGCGGAGCCAGAGCGTGTTCCCGAGGACAGGATAGGGTGTATCTGTGAGAAGCAGAATAGGGTGCCATCAGCTCAAGCCCGTATGCCGCAGCTGTTTAGCCACCAAACCTTGTGGTTCGCAAGATACAAATGCAAGGCGGGTGTCAGAGGGCGTTGGAGCAAAGAATGTAGAAGGCCTTAGATATCGCGAGCGCAATGCTAGAGTTCGGGACGGTTGTGGCGAGTGTGCAATAGAGGAGGAGAGGATGAGGGGAGGGAGGAGAAATGGACGGGCAGCCACGGCGCGTCGCGTCGCGTGGGCGCGTGCCAGCGCTACGCCGACCACGCCTCTTTCCCTGCGCTTCCTCGAAGCGATTGTTCGCCCTCGGTCGCCGCGCTTGTGCGGTCTCGTTTGTGCTTTCCTCTTTGCAAGGACATGGACCACTCCGCGACTGTTCTTCAGGCCCGCTGTCCTTCGAATGCTCGCCTTGTTCTGACAGCGCGTTTCGCCATCATGGAAAGTATTCGGGACTCAGGTAACTCTACTGCCCAAAATATGGCTATGGTGTTGTTGATTAAAGACTACAGAGCTGTGACTATCTCGGTCACATAGCTTAGCTCCCTTGGGAACTCCCTATACTCCTGCTGAGGGTACGTTGACACATACCCAAAGTCTGTGCTCCTCTATACTTAGTGAGAAAAGCACTCATGGCACGTTTGTCTATAGTCTGATTACCTCAAACCATGTTCCTGCTGTCTCGCCACCACAGGCACATAGGCTCAAACTACCTTTCTTGATCCACTAGGGTAATCCTTTCATACATGTTCCCGAAAGATGCTTATGCTCTACTACAGTTGATCATAAACCTCGCCGACAGAATGAGAATTTTGCCGCAGTGCCTCAATGCAAGGTCATCGAATCTTCGCGCGTTCAAAAAGCACAATAGCTGAGGCATCGATGGTGGGCAGGTTGTCTCTAAGCAGCCAATTCGAGTATCTGCTACCGGACTAACGTCATTCGCCAGGAGAACTGTGGTGTGGCATCGTTCCGACATGGCTTCCCGCAGCAAACAAAATGCCTGGGAGCTGATCAAAGACTTATTGAGTCCTACTCGTCATAGCTCAAGCTGCCCGCGAATGCTCGCTCTTTCGAGAAGCCGCTGACTCACGCATGTAGAGACTTCCTGGTTCGCTATTCTTGAACACGGAGTGACTCCGGATGCATCGCAGGCTCCACCGTGCTCCTAAATGTTCCTTTCTGGCCAGGTCACTTTGTCAGCTTTCGGGGTTCAACTTGCTAACAGGCAGGCAATGACGTTCTGGCCCAGAACTGTCCGATTTGCTGGATCATCATGAAGTAGACTGTAGCCTTCTTGTTCTCGTTCGTTTTCGTTTTGACGTCATTGACCTAAATAGGTTCCGGCAGCTTACTGCAAAACATAGGATAACGCTGTTCTGACGGCTCTGCAAGTGTGTCGTCGACGATACTTTTCACTCTACATATCCTCTCTGACACGTTTTCGTACCCTCCATGGTGTCACGTCGATGAGAAAATACGGCCTTCAAATGATTCGTATCAACCATCCGTGGGTGGGCGATATCTCTCCCCTAAACTCTGTAATAGCAAGGGCTGCAGGACCGGGGTGTTCTGCTTGCCTTGCCGTATGGCTTCATGCTCGCTCGAAGCCTCCCCCAACGTCACAGGGGCCAACTATGGCGTAGTCTTTGGATCTGGCAGTAGTCAGGCGATATCCGGTTTGTCACCAAAAAAACGTCGGCCAAGACTGTCGTGCCTGGAACACCGGTTTCCCTTACTGATGTCTGCCACCGCTCTTCGCATGTTCGATCTCCAAGTGATGACGTCTGTGAGCTAGAAGCACAGAAGTGAATGCAGAGACCTGTGTGTGGTTGCTGCACTCACAGGCCTGGACGTCTTGCTGGCGACGTTCTCATCCGCCTGTGACGGTACAACCAATATTCCGCGAATGCTATCCCCGCCTCTGGGCCTCGGCTTCGATCTGCAAGGAAGCAGTTGCGTGGGATACAGCAATGCCACGTATACGAGTCTTTTCTTCTAGGTGGGTGAGGCTTACGGCCACTCACTCTTCGCATCTCGCTTCCCTTGGCTCAGACCACGGCTATCATTGCTTGGTCGCTACGTTCTAGCGGGTATAGCGGGGAAATAGTCAGAATTCCAACCTCCGTTCACATCCGAAGGTTTAAAGCTACGCGATTCCAACCGTCAAACAACCTTCTTCTCGTTCGAGTCTTCCCGGGCGTCATACATTCCTAGTTGGCATGTTACACCGTCGAGCGCGCGCAAGATAACGTGCTACAGCAAGCCCAATTCATTCGAGGATAAGCTGTACATGATCGCCTTTTCCCACTCCAGGTTCATGTGGGCACAAGCTTTCCGACTCCCTCCTCCCAGAAAAGCCTATTGTATCGTGGTTCCCCGGCATGACGAACGTACCGGCTTCCTATTTCACGCAGATTTGCTGTGGAGGACTCGGGTCCGAGAGGCGCATTAAACCATACTCAGCGAAGATCTCCCGGTTCGTGCGCACAAGGTGTCCATCTCGAACACGTTGCAATCAACATCCAGAGGTCCCGAAGGCTTAACTGACGTCTTATAGTGTCCGGACAACAGGAGCTTCTCAGTCACCTGCTCCTAGGTTTGAATCCGGAAACATGGTTGCTCCGCGCCCCACCGACTCGTAGCCCGTCCCGACGGTCGGGGAGCACTTAGCTATTGCGAATACGAGCATCGCTATATCCGACGCCACGGGATGCTGTTCCTATAGGTCACTCCCATGGGAATCTTTGTGGGCAGGTATTCAATTGATCTTCCAGCTTCCGCGAAGCCTGAACCACATCTTGCGCGAGACCTCTGTTTCTGGTCAAAGCTCTCCCGGGAACCGATGAGCTTCTGAAGACGTATGTCGTTGATCCTTCTCATTCATGCGCTGAGTTCTCGCTGAAAGTGCTTCTTGCCACACACAGATAACACCGCTGAGCTGCGGACCGTCCGCACTTCGCACTTTGCCGTTCTCAGTGGTCACTGTCACTGCGGAGTCGTGTAATCCTGAATGTTGGCACGAATATTCCGAAGCTTGCAAGTTTTACGTTCACTCCATCAAAAGCCCGTTCGTCGGGTCACGTAATGCGCCTCAGAGATATAAAGAGCTAAGGCCCTTGTGGTAGGTCGACCCCAGAGCCTGTAGTTCATACAATCTCTCAGCGACTCCAGGCGCAAACCATACAAACCCGTGCCACTCGTATCTCACTCTTCGAATTGCTCCAATATGTTCTCCAAGCTCGCCGTTACCTTCGTCCTTGCTGCCGTCGCTGTGGCGAACCCGGTTCCCCAGCTCCCCACCTCGCTCCCCATCAGCATTCCGGCTCTGCCGACTTCGCTCCCTCTTAGCATCCCGACGTCCCTCTCGGTCTCTATTCCCCTTGCTCTGCCGACTGATGTGCCCGGTGCTGTGAGGTAAGCTCTTTCGTACTCGACACCGTGCATGCCGATCGCTCATTTTCCGACAGCAGCGTCGCAGACGCTCTTAGCAGCATTGTCGGCGGTGCCGTCCCGACCGGTGTCCCTGGAGCGGTGAGGTAGGTTGGCTTGTACCTAATACGGTGCATACCGGTCGCTTATTCTCCGACAGCAGCGTCGTCGACGGTCTGAGCAGCATTGTCGGCGGTGCTGTCCCAACCGACATCCCTGGAGCGGCGAGGTAAGTCGGCTCGTCCTCAACATGGTGCATACCGGTCGCTCATTCTCCGACAGCAGCATTATCGGCGGTGTTGTCCCAACTGGTCTTCCCGGAGCGTTGACGTAAGCTCTCTCGTTTCTAACGCAGGTCTTTCCGATCGCTCATTTCCGTATAGCAGCATCCTCGGCGAAGCCGGTAATTATGCCTTGCTATGAAAATCTGGTATCCATTTCTGATGGATGTCTTAGTCCCGTCTGTGGTGCCGTCCATTTCGGTGCCGTCCATTTCCCTCCCCGTCTCGGTCCCGTCGATCTCGGTGCCCTCCCTCCCCATCTCGGTACCGTCTATCTCGGTCCCCTCCCTCCCTATCTCCGTGCCGTCGCTCTCGGTCGCCGCCCTCCCGACTTCTCTGCCCATCTCCATCCCCGCCCTCCCGACCTCCCTCCCGATCTCTCTCCCCGTCTCCCTCCCGGTCTCCTGAAGTAGATGACAGAGATGCAAACACGGACGGTTCGTTCGTCTCTATACTGCCTAGCCTGCATTCCGCTCACCGCCCGTCCGATCCTCCAGCATGCTAGTCACGATTCACAGCTCTAACCGGGCAGCTGCGCCTCTCGTCCCTTGCAGCCGCTAGGTGCCTCACTAGCATCGTCACATACTCTCTTCTTTCGATACACGTTTCTTCTCTTCTCTCGCTGGCTTGTCTGGGGTTGGTATTTGATTGTATAGCGTAGGAGGAAGATTGTGGAGGTACCACTATACAGGAGCTTGGAATGGCGTTTTATATGTCAGAGCTCGCGATGTAGTCTGCGTACTTGTGGCGATATATGGGGTTGTCTTAGCACTTGTCAACGGCCGATTTCGCGCGGGGAGGCAGACGCGACATTCAACCAACGTACTCCAAGGGAAGCCTTGTGTTATTTAGCGAACGATCTTCGGCCCTATTAATCGTTTTCGACTCTATCACCCATTTACATATTATGTGGCACATTTACGTCCTTTTAACGACTTCATAATCTGTCACGGAGGAGACAGCGGCTCATGTCCGTCCTACTATCGTTCCCCCCCGTGACGAGCGCCTGAGTTACTATTTTAGGACAATCCTGAAAAGCGCCGAATTCTCGGCTCTGACCAGATCCGATGATCGAGCACGCCGCGCAACGGGGGCATCGACCTGTGGCAAATCGTGTCCCATCGCAAATTCATCGTAATCAGAGCCCCTGTACTATGGGCATCCCATTGTAATTCCTTTTGGAAGGTTTGACATAACCGTGTCATATGCTGATTCCATCAGTCACTGTGCAGTATGCGGCTGGCGTGGTGGGATGGGGCGAGGCATGGTTATCTCAACGTCGCTGAGATCACTGTACCTCTACGCTGGAACACGTCGTCCTACAGCTCAACGCTTCCGGTGGGAGTACTAGTGTTCGGCAGACGGTAATTACATGACAAAGTGCGCGCGTCTGTTTTTGGGTCTTTCGTAGCCGGGAACATGTAGTGACTGGCATTAACCTCCACGAACAACGCATAGCGTCGAACACACTCGCCTGTCCATACATGACGCTTACGACCTGCTTCTGCCCCTCCGAGTCTCCCGCGCTTCTCTTCAGCAAGTCCTCGCTGTCTTCACCAGTGTGACTCACACGCCCGGCCGAGTACCGTGGCCCGTATGTCGAGCCCTGCTTTCATGCCTCGATGACCAAAATCGGTGTCGTCTCCTTTTGCTGAGCATTCTTGATATCCTCCCGTTTCATCAAAAGAATTGGAATGCTAAAGGAACGCGAGGCTCTACGTGTTCGGGCGTCCTGACAGCAGGCGCGATCGCGAAGTAAATGAGCAGTGAATATCATGATGCTCCGAGGCCGACAAGGGTTGGGATATGTCGCGGTGGTGCGTTTCCTCCCAAAAATAGCTGGATGCGAAAACTATAACAAAGGTGCTCCTCAATCCTTGAGCGCGTTGTGTGCACGGGTCTTTGCAAAAGGCCTAACAGATTACCTAGAAGGCTTCTATAAACATAGAATGACCCTTGCAATGTTGGGATGCGAAGAGCAAGTTATTCCCTCAGGTGCGGGCGGCCTCGGCGAAGCCCCAGCTGGGAAGTCCTGCATGAAGCACGACCGGCGTGAATGATCATGAAGAGAAGGTCACCAGACTACACAACCATAGCAATGCATTGAGAGTGAGGTGCGCGCGTACATGTACATGGCAGAAGACGAAAACGCAATTGTCTTAGCACTGCGACTCGCCGTTCAAACAACTTCGGCCTTGATGTTATCCCAGAGGCTGTTGACACATTCCATGAGCGAATCGTAACCGCGCCTATGAATGTAAGACTTACGCTCGGAAGATGGCTGTAATGAAGTCCGCGGTCTTGCGAGGGTCAAACTCTGCATGAAGAGTGAGAGGTTGACCTGCGACCACGACACCCTCGATGCGAGCCGTGAAAGGCTTCGCCATCGAACCGCTCGCTCCCACCATCTCACGCAAGCTGCCGGAGAGATGGACGACGCGGATGTCAAAAGCCTCGAGGGCATGATCTGCGACCCACTGCCCGATCTTGAGGGCCTCCTCCCCCACTCGTTGAGCTAGGTCTAGGGCTGCGCGAGAGGCGTCGAGTGTCACCGTCGCAGCTCGCGCCGCGTCGAGCCCGGCCTTGGCAGCCTGCAAGACCGCATTTTCGGCACAATTGACCAGGTCGACCAATACCTGGGTCACTGCGCGGAAGGCGGCATCGTTGGCGACCTTGTAAGCCTGCAAAGCGTTCTTCGCGCCTTGAAGAATGCCCCACGCTACCCCCTGTTTCGTGATCTCAAGCGCCTCATTTGCGGCACTTAGGGCGGCCTGTGACGTTGTGTCCGCGACGTCCACAGCTTTCTTCGTCATATCAAGTGCAGCTTTGCTAGTCTCCTTAGCAGCGACGAGCGCGGCCTGGGCACCCTTGAAGGCAGTCCCTTTGGCGACGAAGTTCACGGATGTTAACACCGCTTCTGCGGCCTGAAGAACACCGTCGGCGATGGCTTTGGAGGCTTCCAGCGCTCCCACAGCGACGTAGAGGCCAGCGATTGCAGCTTTCTTCCAAAATTCGTACCACGGTGCATGCTCGTAGTCGTAGATGGTGCCATACAAGTCGTTAATCTGTTTTCGCAAGCTCCGCACGTCCTGACGTGCGCTTTCGATCGCGTCGTTGGCGGAGCCGAACGCAGCGTCGAAGTCCCTCTTCGCATAGTTGACGTCCCTTTGCGCTGCGTCAATAGCGTCGCTCACGTCTCGCTTAGCGTTGTCGAGAGCGTGCCGCGCGCTCTGCAGCGCTTGCGCACGGTCTCGTTGCGCGGCGCTGACGACGTTCTGCGCGTTGGTCATAGCGGCATCGTAGTCTTTCTGTGCGGAAGTGATGGCATCCTGCAAACGTGCGATCTCTTTGTTGTATGCGTCGATGTCCTTGTTGCATTTGGCCGTGACGCTCTCGTTCTTCGCGTCCCAGCTCTTCTTCGCATCTTCAAGATCGGCGAGGGCCTTGTCGACTCCTGTCTTCCATATAGCTTCCACTTCGTCGACTTGTGCCTGAGCAGCGTCAATGCCATCCCTAACGGTCTTCCGAGCCTGTTCGAATCGGTCCATGAGATTGCCGTGAATGTACTGGAGGATAGGTTGCTCAAAGAGGGCATCAAACAGGAAGTCGGCATCTGAGAGATCGGTGAAGGAAACGGCTCCGACCAGAGTAGCTTGGAGTCGAAAGAGGAGAAGATCGGTGAATTTGAGTTGACTAAAGCACATATGCTTTGAGCGTGCATCGGTGGAGATTGGAGGAATTGCACTCACGTGAACCATTCGAATTTGGGTACGGGTAGAATGTCGACTACGATATGAACGATAGATTCGGCTTCGAACAGAGAGGTAACGCCGACGACAAGCAACTGTTGGTCCGTAGGTCCGACTTCGCCCCCAATCACAGCACGAGGGCCTGTTGGACCACGGACAACGAGGGGCCCAAGCGTGAAGTTGTCAACGCCGCCAGTGAGAGAGATTCTTAGATTCGCCGCGTCAACAGCTAGGGTGCTGCGTGAGCATACCGTTCTGGCAACCACCACGAGAGACATACCACATTCGATATCAGCTCGCTTCGCGAATAGAATGACATCTGCACGGAACGAGACGCCTTGAGGGTAGAATGTGGTGCCGATGGAGAGTCCTGCTGGACAGATATACAACTTGACCTCCTTGAAATCGAGGAAGTCACGAGGAGGATCAGGTATCTGGACGTCGATAATGTCGCTCGCAAGCTTGACAACATCTGTGATGTTCAGCGATTGGACTTCAGCATAGAGCAACTCCTCTGCAACAGGTGTCAGATGAAAGCAGCGACGGACATCAGTTCTGCGAACGTACTCATAGGGTCCTCATTCACCGAAAGCGCTAGCTGTGCTGCAGTCTCTCCGATCATCAGACCACCCTGCACCATGAACCCACTATAGGAAGTATAAGCGATATTGTCGACAGGCAAAAGGTGTGGTGGAGTCATACCTCGGCGTCCCGGTACTCACGAATTGCGCGAAGATGATCGAGATAGAAAGCCCCAAGTTCGGTCCAACCTTGACATTTGGGCTGATTCCGAACGGGTTCACCCACCATCCGGACATCTGTCCCGTTGCATCGGCGCCCAACAGGTTGGTTCCAAGCGAAAGGGTGAACAGTAGGGGTGCCGGTGAATATGGGACGGGGATATTGAGACCAGCTGAGAGGATCAGTCGTACGGTAGGTTTGGTTGCAATCGAAAGCGCGAATGGTGTACTTGTGACCCCGTTGCCGAGATTAAGGCGAGTGGGGGCTGGCAGATAGACGTCCAACTCGAAGCCCTTAGCTTTAGACCAGCCAGCGCTGAGGATGAGGCCAGGTACGGGCCCACGCATGAGCGAATTGAGAGCGTCGATTTGACCCAGCACCGCGCAGACCTGGACACCTGATCGGAGATCAGCGGAGAGCAGTGCTTCCACAGTGGTCCCTGCCTACCTTGGTGGAAAGAGAATCCGCTCGTGATCATATTGCCCAAGCTCGGGTCATCCTTCGAAGCGGCAACGAACACGGCTTGCGTAAGAGCGAGGTCAAACGGCGTTCCCTCGATCTCGGGTACGACCTTGGAAAGCTGCAGAGCCTCGTCCTTCGACGTCAAGGCAGCGAGCACGGTCCATTCGAGAGACTTCTTTGAGTTGTCAGGGGACCTGTACAGATGAACAGCTGCGTCGAAGACCAGAGTGGAGAATGCGAGTTCGCCTCCAAGGATGAGATCTGTCGTCTTCCCATTCCCCTTCGCCTCGAAGGTGACCTGAAGGAAGGCACGCTTCAGCTCTACATCTCCGAACTGAACAGCGTCGGTAGTGAGGTCGCCACGAATCACTACGTTGTGAGGAGTGATGATGAGACCAGCGTCGAGCGATGTGTAGTCCCCGATGGTCACGCTATCGAGACCGATGCTCAATCCGTTGCCAGAGGTAATAGATAGCCTCGCAGACCCGATCGTCACGTCGAGATCCGGAAGGGAGAGATTGTCGTGAGAGATCCGCCTGAAAAGGGTTTCGATGGTTTTCACTGTAACATGGTGGATCGATGCGTTCAGCTCGAACGAGCCGCGAGGAGTATAGGACCCTTGGAAGGTCGTAGAGACATCCTCATACATGAAGTCCGCTGACACCCCGAAGATGATGGACTTCCATGGAGACGAGACAGCGAAGGACGTAGAGAAGGAGATGCACGATAGCTTGATAAGGGAAGGAGATCGTTAACAGCGGCGGATTAGCGACAAGTCGTGTACTCACCACAAGCCCGCTAGCCCCGAGAGGATTCTTCCACGTGTCGATACTGGCTTCCAGAAAGATCGCGCTACCGGACTCCTGCATCTCGTACTCCAAGCTCAGAGGAACGGTAGAACCTGGTACGTCCAGGTTCATGGTTCCGAACACAGAGAACCCGTATTCCAAGGTGGACTGCGGCGATGGGTCGTACTTCAGCGTCCGTATGCCAAAGAGTCTGACGCCGATCTTCGATAGGACGACTCCGTCCAACGGCTTGAGGGCCAACCCCGCGAAGATACCTTCGAGCGTGAAGCTGTGAAGCGACGGCGGCCGGTCCCATCCACCGTCTGCACCGAGGAAAACGTGGACAGCTAGGTCAGGCTCATCGACGCCCAGAACCTGTGACAGAACGTCGTGCAATGCGCCGCAGGATTCGTCGACGACCAGGTCAGCGTCGAAGTGCCAGCCGATAGCCTTTGTCGTATCGAACTTGTAGTTCTGGTGGTAGATGCTGATGTTACGGAACGTGATGTTGTCGAAAGCGGTGCCTTCGAGCGCAGATATCACAGACGAGAGGTGGAAGTCCTCGGTAAGCGTTGCACGCTCGATGGAGACGGGATTGTCGGGGAGAACAACGACATCAGATGGAGCAGGTCCCTCCCACTTCTCGAACTTGGCGCTCAGGCTCTCGACACCGAATAGGGCAATGTCACCGACAACTACGAAGCCTCTATCCGGGGGCTGCGATGCGGGTCCTGGATCGGCAAGGATGGGTTCGAGGAGCGACCTCGGAGTTCGGGGCCGAGCAGCAGAACTTGGACCGAACACCTGGCCCAATCGTCGTTTGGCAGCGAGATTGAGCTCGACAACACGGACAGCTTTGACTCGCTCGCCTTCGGTCACATGGGAAAGCAGAGGGCGGGCACCGATGACGTGAACGACTTCATCCGCTGTCGGATCCTCCTCGCCCGAAGGTGGTCCCGCGATTGCTGGGTTGTTGATCTGAAGATTGCCGACGTCAATGTAGGGGAGATGGCGCTTGGCGGCGTTCCAGAGAATCATCGGCTCTTGATAGGACGTAGACAGAGGAATGACCTGACTATTCAACGCTGAAACAGGCCGCTGAACACGGGCAGACTTCAGAGATGCAGACTGGACCGAAGACGCAGTCGCTGACACAGTGCTTTGGTGAAGGTAGTCCGTGAGAGCGTCGTCAAGACGTGCCTCGACGCGGAGGGGGATGTAACGGGAGAAGGGATCGAACACTTCGGACGCGTTAAAGTTGAGTCCCTACGGCAAGTTAGCTCTGAGACACTGCTCGATCCAGAAGCGGGACATACCAACGCGTTTCCCGGCATCGTCCACTGGTATTTCAGTCCAAAGCTCAACCACACTGCGGATACAATTAGATCAAGGTCTACGTCTTGATGCACGGGCATACTCACTGTACTTCTCCGTATCTGCCCAGATAGGTATCTGCTCTGAGCGTCTGAATCCTGGGCTGTTCAGGTCTCGGCGGTACATGGAGCCCCTGAATAAATTGGTAGTAACAAGGGTACCCATGCGCGTGTTGTCTTGTGCAATCGAGGCATCTGCCCTAAGGAGAGAAGAAATGGTGTTTTCTGCCCGGATCATGTGGGTATTGCTTTCACCGGTACCAAAGATAAGATTCTCCCGAGTCTGAGAGCTCGCTAGATTGACGCCGTCGCCCATTCCTCCGAAGTGAAATGCATTCCGGTGAAGCCACTGATGAAGCCCGTTAGTTGGCTGCTACGTGGTGCAAGGCAAGGCATACCTCCGCATCGGCTGGAGAGCCGCTTGAAACTGCGCCTTTGCCCCACATCTCCTTCGCAAGCTACGTGACGTGAGCATGAAACAATCACGCACGACTCTGAGAGACTCTCCTACATCTGTTGCGCTCACACCCATCACCGCCTTTTGATTCGAGTACGAACTTCTCTGTCCATTTGCCGCAGTGGCCTTGAAAACAGACATCTTTGCCACAGTCACATCACCTCCGCGAGGAGGATCACCGATCTTCTGCTGGATCGTACGAGCCACCGAGTCACTTGGCCATGGGCGCATGAGTTCCGACCGGTTCTGTAGCGTGACCCAGAGTTTGGTGTAGTCGGCGGACGTCATGAACGTGAAGTAAAACTGCAGGTAGTGCGCTAGGTACGAATGATACGGAAGCTTTCAGACAAGACGGTCGACAAACTTGAGCTGGTCTTACCTCCTGTCATGACCAGCCCACGTTGCTCCGCAGTCTGTAGATCGATCACATCGTATTTGTACTTAGGAAGGCTCGAGTCAGAGAACGCAGCCTGCGCAGGCGTCAGCTCAGGCGGGGAAACGTATCACGTGAAGGACTCGCCTGGAAGACTTTCTTCAAAACATCGACCGTGAACGCCGATGGGGACTGTGATGATGGGGTAAAGAACAGGCTGATCTGGTCCGCTGCTGGCTCGATGAAGCGACTGTAGACGTTGAAGGGAAGCGAAGGTCGGGCATCGTAGATGATACCGCAGAGCTGGCTCCATCGTCGGAACTGTTCTTTATCCCAATCCTCGAACGCAGGATACCGTGATGGATCTGCAAGCATATAGGGAGGGATCGCGGTCAGATCTCCCGCATTGTCCCAAATGCCGAAAGGTCGGACGTAAGGTTCGGCACGGAGTGTATCGTAGTCCTGCCGCCTTGCCTTGGTGTCCATGGCGTCCAGTCGCGAAAGCACGGTGTCAAGGTCTATGTAACACTGGTTGTACGCCTTTCCAAGGAAACAAAAATGCTTCCCTGGAACTGTGGCGGAAGGATTTGTTGAGCCAAGAGGTACGGCGCCATAGAGAGGAAGAATCAGTCTCGCGTTCGGTTTCGTAGAGTGACGAGGGTCGTCGATGGCATAGGTTTTGGAGAGAGGGGTAAACCGCTCGTGATTGGGGAACATCGCGAGAGACAGACGGAGAGGAAGACACTATGTCGGAGGGTCGGAGGAGTTTGGTGTGCACGATTTGAATCAAAAGCAGTCATCGATAAGGACGGACCGTAAAATGGCGATGGGAAAAATGTGGTATAAGCACGGAGGCATGAAGCGTGGAAGCAGCAGGGAGCACGCGAGTACAGGACAACGACGCGACAATTATCGGGGACACGAGGGACAAGTAGGGTCTTCTGCTATTGTGCATGCAACAGTCCTCCTTATCTTTCCGAGTCGATACTCGGAGTCAGTGTCATAATCATGACGAGCACGTCGGCCAGCGGCATCTGGAAGGAGTGGTTAGGTGGCAAGAGGCTTGGATGAGCGTCTTTGTGCCTCGTTCACCAGCAAGCGCGCAACCCTGACAACTGCAGCCTCAACTTGGGCAATTTCACCCACGACCACGAGCTCAATGTCTCTCATTCATTCTCCGGTTCAGACATGACATTTGCAACTTGCTTTCATCCATTTCCCGCCCGGCTCTAGCCTCTCGCACAAGCTCCCGCCGTCTTACCGAGCGTCCATACGTCAAAACGCGCCTCTCGTACCCCGCTCGAGCTCGATCACAAATGGAAATTCCTCAATCACGATGATGTCCGAATGGTCGTCGATCTCGGCTCTGCCCCGGGCGGATGGGATCCAGGTCGTCGGGGGGAAGATGGGCTGGACAGGCTCAGACCGGGATGCAGCAGGTATCGCACGCTTCTAGTAGTAAAGCGTGGTGAAAATCACGCTGCACAACATTCGCGTTTGGGGGGGTAGGGAAGCGTGAAGCGCGAGAATAGAATAACTATGCGGCCTGTGAAGTTCGCAACCATGTCCGACAGTATCACGTCCGACGCCTTCCCGTCCTCGTGTTGGGCTCGTACGCATGGTGAACTCCAGGGTGGGGCTCCCTCAGGAGCGCAGAGATATACTCATTCGCGATCGGCGACAGAGAGTCCCTCTGTAATGTCTTGGCACTCGGGATCGGCTCCATCCTTGACAAGTCCACTGCGACAATCGTTCCGCGCACAACCTGCCGTGGCGGTTCTACAGTGTCATCCTCGTCCAGCAGCCTCGTGAAGTCCGCCTCGTCCGGGTCCACAACCTTCTCAGCACCTTAGGGGGGGACGGCATTTCAGTCGTTTACCTTCCCACTCACCTTCCTCTTCAATTCCTCCCTCTCCCCCCCTCTTCACCCCAAACCCAGCAGTTGCCGCGTCCAACACACTCTTCCTCTTCCCTTCTGCACCCACGATTGTCTCCGTAGGCAGCCGCACAGCACGTATACTCGTCTAGGCTCGACGATGACTTCATCGACGCAGTTTCGTCAAGCTTTAACGTTTTAACGACCACAGGTGATAGATCTATATCGACTAGATTGCCGTCGCTACATGCATGAGCGGCGAACAGGTAGAATCTGAACGAAATTGCGAATTGGCCATGTACGATGCGAAAGCGATATTGAGTCTGCGTCTGTGTCTAACGGAGGCTATGGATGTCTATCCTGTCCATATCATTCATGCCTTATGCAAAAAGGTATGAAGTTGTGCCAAGAAAAGATGCCTAGTCGCATACTTGAACGTACCCCAACCAACCCCTCCCCTCGTCAAGTAGACGCGAGCGCTAAATTTGTTCAGAGCGCTTCCCCGACTCTCCTCACCACCAACAACGGCTCACGCACTCTTCTTGCCGTTCCCATTCGCAAGTATTTCGACCCAAGGCTGCTTCGGCGCATCGCCCGGCTTCGCCGCGACGGGGTGGAAGTCCGTCTCAGCCGTAGGCGGGACGAACCCACTCGGGTGCGCGACCGTCCCATCCTCCAGGATGACCTCGACCGGGATCTTCTCCTCGCGCTCGCGGATGTGCGCCGCGACCTCGTCACTCAGCAGCCCCGCGTTCAGCTCGTACATGAGCCCGCCCTCCTCCTCCTTGCGCTCCGAGATCGAGTCGCGCTGCTTCCTGCGCTCGATGTAGAACGGCGGCACGACGCTGTCCGGGTCGTCCTTGGAAGCGGAGCGTGCGGGCGTGTCCCACGCCGAGGTCGTGATCTTGCTGCGGTCGGCGGCGGTCGAGGAGGCCCCGACGGGCGCAGCGCGCGGACGCTCCGCGCCGATGTCGCTGACGCCAGAGACGACGCCGTTGCCGCCAGTGCCCTCCAAGACCATGCGCTTAATCCATTCGGCCTCCTTTGCCTGGTCGACCTGGATTGGCTCAGCACCAGCCTCGACGAACTCGCGCTCCTCCCACGGCTGCTTCACGGTGGAAAGAAGGGGGTGCTCCTCAGTAGGCACCTTAGCCGCGACGGGGTGGAATTCGGTCTCGGCAGTCGGTGGCTCGAAGCCGCTCGGGTGAGTGACGGTCCCGTCGGGAAGGCGCACCTCGACAGGAATCTTCTCCTCGCGGGTCTTGGTCTGGGCAGCGAGACCCTCGCTAAGGATGCCAGCATTGAGCTCGTTCATCAGACCGCCTTCCTCCTCCTTCCTCTGAGAGATCTGATCGCGCTGCTTCTTGCGTTCAACATAGTAACTGGGGACGGTGTTGTCATCTGCATCTTGCGATGGGCGTGGGGGACGACTCCAGGCAGATGTGGGAAGCTCTTGCCGACGACGCTCGAACGAGTTTGGGTTTGACTCGTCTGGACGGCGAACGACAGTGGATGTGTGTAGGGCGCGAATGTGAGGAAGCTTATCCGTGCCGAAGGACGGAAGTGATGTCGGCATCGCACGCGGCCGGCTCTGCCGCCTCGGCCGAGTGGCATGGTGCTGAGAGGACCTAAGGAATGGATCAGCAAACGAGCAAAGAAGATGCGGCAGTGCGTGGGGACGCAAAATGGGGGTTCATAGTGCTAGCGCGCCTGATAACGGACGTGATGCTAGGGCGATGGAAAATGGCCGCTGCAAGACGTTGAACGAACGCGGTGGCACTGAGCAGCAGTCTCGTAGCAATGCGTCCAGAAAGGAAAAGGGATGATCGAGGACCGGCACACGGTCCGAGACGACCGACGATGACGTCGAGTTCACGCCCGCTGCGTCTGCTCGGGGAAAGTGAGCACTCACACTGAAGAGATGTCTCCCGAAGACGATGTTACACAGCTGGAGGCGACACTGGCCTTGCATGCATGCGAATCATGCGAGCGTACGCGCGGGGCCCTCGGCGCGTCACACAAGGCAGACGCTGGTGAAACCGAAGCGGCAGAGGTAGACGCTGCCGCGGTCTGAACAGCAGCGCCGTGGACGAGCCTTCGTCGGGCAACGTTGGAGAGTGCAGCGGCGTGCATGGTGAGTGTTGCAGTCGACGAGGAAAAGTAGATGCGCGACATAAAGAAGGAGGGTTGTGATATAGTGCGGTCGGCGGGGTCATATTTGGTCGTGTTTGTGATACTCCACTGCTGCTCCGGCTGCTGTCTGGCGACCCACGGCTTCTCACCGTTCGAGCACCCTTTTATTGCCCCCACGCGCGCTGCAGATGCCATCAGGCCCGAGCTGACGTTCTTCCTTCCTCTTTCGGACTCACCTCCTCGAAAACACACCGGCGGCCACAAAAGTGGCAGATTTGGTATACAGTTATAGGGTGAAACCAGTCCGCTCTTCCCTCCGTCCTGGGCGGCCGTCAGTCGCTTCTTTCGGCCCCAGACGTTGCCGGTATCCACCTCAACCTTCGGGGCTATACCTGCAAGAGCTCAGCCAAACTCACGGTCCTGAAGCCACTCGGAGGTAACGGTGCAGGCGCGGAGAGCCGTCTGGGGCCGTTGGGGGGTGTACGAAGCTCTCGTGCGGCGAAACGTCGGCAAAGACTACACGGAGCCTAATGCTGTGCTTACGACGAGCTCGAAACTCGCACCGCAACATCTCGAGAGGCTGCGACGCGCAAGTCGATCCTTCTCTAGCTCTTCGCCATCATTCACACGCCAACGTAGGTATTTCGGACAAGCGCGGAGGCTCATATATCTCGATCGTCGCAGCCACAAAGTGAATGGCGTCGCTGATCCTACCGACAAGTGCCCGCAGCTGTACTAACCATGTCCTCCTCGTCACCAAGTTGGTTGGCTTGTTACGTACTATCACGTCAAACGAGAGGACAATAGGGTGGTGAGAGTGCACGAACGTGAGGCGATTCTGGAGGACAATTCTGGACGAGCTTCTGCCCTCTAGAACCGCGAGTCCGCAGTTGAGACCGAACTCTTCGGCATCAGGGCTGTATCACTCGTCAATACGTGTCTGCCTAGGAATCGAAGATGCACTTCCACCATTACTCATGTACTGCTCGCTGATCAGGTACACACCGTAATCCTGGTAAACGGCCCATATGATCGACCAAAGTTCAACTAAGTAGCATTGCATTTCCGCCACAGGCACTCACATCACTCCGATAGCTATTACGTCGAGAAAATCGGACACTATCCTCCCTCCTCCCTCGTCTTGCGACATCTCCTCAGCGGCCTAAGGCCACTGTATCTCGCTCTACGCAGCAGACCTCTTCTTATTCCTCGCAGGTTCCACAGCGGCAAGACCATTCCTGCTCTTCGACGCACTGCCTACGCTGCCGTCCACCGCCTTTGCGAGCGCCTCTCCTGGACGCGCTGCAGCGCCCGCTTCGTCTCACCGCGGCGAACGTTGACAGATCTAGGGTATGGTTAGAAAAGGATTCGGTTTTGAACAGAGAGTTATGAACAGGCGCTCGAAGCAGGCCGTTTCTAACCAGGATTAATAACTGTTATTAACTCTTGTGTTATTAACTGTTAAGAACATTTTCTAACACCGCCGTGGTTTATTAACAGTCGTATCCCATCGATGATCACCGTGCGTCCCTTCTCCCTCCAGTATCTTGCTAGGCTTGCCATCTGCTACACTATCATCATCGGAATCCTTGTCTCCATTATCCGGGTTGCAAAAAAGCATGTGCAAGGCATTCCTGAAGAATTGCTCGTCATCAGCTTCTTCTTGCTTGTCTTCCCGGCGCTGGACCTCGGATCAAGGTTAACGTCCATATCTAGTTGCATTTGATGTTAGTATATTTTGCTTATCAGCAAAGTCTTAGACTAGTGCTTCACGGAGATTTTTGGCAGTGTGTGGTTCCAGCTCAAACACTTATGTATTGCCTCCATCTGGACTTTTGAACAATATATAACCGGGCTGATAGACCCCTGGGCTTTTGAACTGTTAATTAACATGTTAATAACCTGTTAATAAACACCGGGTTCATTATTTCGACTTTCAAACTTTACCCTAGACAGATCGAAGTACGCCAGGGCGTACTCCAGCAGCCTAAATCAACACACGCGTACGCGTACTTATAATCAGCATCACTTTCCTACCACAGATGGGTCGCGATTCGCCGCCCATCAGCGCCAGCATCCGCACCTGCATCCACGAGGAGGGACGTGCGCAAGGAAGGCGAGCCACGGAACGCGAGCGAGGAAACCCAAGCAGAACGACATATCATTCCGGCCGGACCTCCGTAACAGTCCGGATGTACCCCTTCGTCGAGTACACGAGCTCGTTGAAACCCACCCACTCCGGTGACGAGTCCAGGCCGCAGCTCGGGTACAGCGACACCACCTGGTCGTCCTTCACCCTCAGGTAGCCGTCCTTCTCGCCAGCCTTGTGCGCGACCTGCATGAAGAACCCGCACACGAGCGCCTTTCGGATGTTTTGCCACAGCTTCCGCTCATCCTGCATTGTGACGAGTTTGACCTCATACCGCTCCATCATCCGTCCGTTGCAACTGAGAGCGGACGGCCTCCGCCTGCTGCAGCGCCCGCCCCGACAGGTAGTTGTTCCAGTACCACTTCCTATCGTGCTTGTCTAACTTGCAAAGGGGAGTCAAGGATTAGTCAAAAGCATAGGTGTGGCCCGCGACACAAGAATACATATTAGTGAGCTTCCAAGGCGACGAGCAGATCTTTCACACGCCGACGCGATGCGTACCCGAGGACCCAGCGGAAAGTCCGCCATAACCGAGCCGAGGTGCGTCAAAATCCCGTCGTCGTCCAACGCTGCCAAGTAATTGAGCAACTCCAACGCCCCCATCAGCGTCTACGGCGCCGGTGCGTCCAAGTAATCGACATGCACCAGATTCCGAACGCTAAGTTTCGACAGCTCGAGCACGGTGCTGGCGAGATCACTCCTAAGGGTCTCGGGGTGCGTCTGCTCCTCTTCCTCGTTCTGGAAGTCCCGCTCCGTGTACAGCCTGAAGCAATTCCCGGGCCGTGTGCGGCCGGCACGTCCTGCGCGTTGCTGCGCAGAGGCTCTGGAGATAGGTGTCGACTGTAGAGACGCGTGTACGTGTATCGTACACCTTTTGCTTGAAGAAACCGGGGTCGTCGACGTAGACGACCGATTGTGAGCAACGTCTCGGCAATGTTGGTCGACACCACGACTTTCCAACCGGGCGGCCCGTCGGGTACGCGGGGAAGGGGTGGCGGGTCGAAGAAACGTTGCTGTTGTTGCGGTGGGAGGGAGGAATAGCGCGGAATGCAGACGAGTGGGCCGACGCCAGCCGGATCCTGATTGACGAGGTCGTCCGCTTCCAGCCTGATCTTGCGACACGTATCTTCGATCTCCTCCTCACCAGTCAGGAACAGCAGAATGTCGTCAGGTCCGCACTGTGAATAGAGAGCACGGTGTTGTTTGCGGCCTCGACATAATGTGGCTCTGGTTCCCGAGTGTACAAAACCTCCACCAGATGGGTACGACCAGGAACCTTAAACAGTGATGCAGGTTGCGAAGAACAGCTGAATGAAAATGGCTCATAAATCGCCTTGCTAGTGAAGACCCGTGGTATATACGTATGTTGGCAAACTAGTGTACTAGATGGGCACAGACGTGAGAGTGATCCACCCCTTATACAGGGCGCGCCTTCAAGTGGTCTTGAATCGACGCCAGCCCACCTCACGGGACGTTGTAGTCCATAGATGATAACAGCATTGGACCACTGCTTCTGCGTTATACACAGGGATGCAGATTCAAGACATGCCACTCATTGTCTTTACACTATGATTCGTAGCGAGCTCTGCTGAAACAAGCACCGTCTCCGCGGACATGATCACCACGGCAAACGACCTTAGATCTCCAAGATGACCAAGCCTCTTCTCATTCAAACGAGCTACACCGCCATGACCACTGTGAGTAGCTTATTGAAATCCGGCGTTCCAAGCCCAGTAATCTATTAAGGCTATCAGCCAGAAAACCTGGTAAGGTGTAGAATGGATCCTCACCGGATCCCAACCCGGGGACGCTGGGAAGCCTTGTGTATTGCACCCTGGGTTGCTCCCCGAAGTGATGTCGTTGAATGCTGCCGTGTTCAAGTAGAAAAGGGGGTTCAGGAACCCCAGAGGAGCCTTACCAGCATTGAGGCGCTGGTCGTTCAGGAGGGCGACCACACTCGCGAACGTCGGGCTGGATGCGCTCGTTCCATATACCTCTTCAAATTTTCCTGCGATGTTGACGGCAAAATTGACACCCTGCGTGGAGACGTCAGGGTATGCGCGTCCGCTGGTGTTGAACAGCCCCGCGTTGGTGTCGCCAAGCGTGTTCAGGTATGCTTCGACAGCAGCGGTTTGATACGACGGTCTTGCAAAAACGTTGGAGAAGCCACCGGATGAGAACTGTGCCGCGGTCTCGGGACTGTTCCCCTGAGTACTACCCACGGATGTAATGCTATTGTGCAGTGATGAGTAATGTTGAGAACTTAGATTTATACGCAAGACTTACTAGGGACATCCGCTGGGGAATGTGGGTACGAAAGATCCGTCAGCATTGCAAGTATTACTGGGGCAGATGCCTGCTACTCCGCCGTCTCCAGAAGCAAACAGGACACTTGTTCCACGGGACCCTAGCTGTGCATACACGTTGCACAAAGTACTACGATGCGCGTTGTTTGTCATGAAATGAGAGCTATGTATTGATTGAGCACATACTTTGCGATATCGGGGTTCTCTTGGAAGAACGTCTCATCGAAGTCATAGCTCGTCGTGAGAACGAGAGGGGGCTGCTTTTCCGCGAGCAGTGTGTTGATAATGTCGAGGAAACCGGACACGCCATCTTGGTTCTGACTACCGACGGTCAGGAACGTGTTGTGGACATTCGTCGCTAGGCCAGTTGTATACTGGATATCGAGGCTCTGGACACAGATCTCAACGCGTACGCTTCACATACAATCATTTGCGAACTTACGGCTTCGAGTGTCCCCAGGCCACTGTCGGCACCTTCGTCAATAGATTGTACAATGAAAGTTCCAGAGGTGAAGTCTGGGCGGAGAACAGCCAGAAATTGCTGTTTTACGACTCGTTGGTCTTTCCTCATGCCACAAAGAGGTCAACGACTCACCTGTAAATCGGTCTGATTCGCTACCTCGTTGGAAAAGCCGCTTACTCCAAGGCTATTTCCAGCCGCAGTCGCCGGGACGGAAGGAATGTTGTAGAGTGCCTGGAGACACTGTGGAGTGGTTATCTGCGCACATGAAGAAGGAACATCCGATCGGCTGGATCGGGTCTCGTTGGACGCCTTGGGTGCCTGAACTACCCGAATCTTAGGATTGCTGACCACCGCAGGCAAAACCCTGGCAAGACGAGTGCGAGTCAAGACGTCATACTTAGATTTGGTCTTAGGCACGCTCACTTCGTAGTGGGGTACACAAATGCTATGTGCGGCTGTAGTTCTGCCGGGATTGAGTAGGAGCTTGTTGTATAAACGGTCGAATTTGTCCCCGGATCCAATGATAGGGTATAGTTGGCGTTAACCAAAGCGTTCGCGGTGTCGACATGGACGACAATGCGTAGCATGTCTCCCGAGGGAGAATTGGTCTGCGATGTCACGTTATGCTGCGCAAGCCATGCGTTAACCGCTTGAACAGTCTCTGGCGCTGGCGCTGCGAAACTCTCTGCCTGTAACACTTTGTCTGAGCCCTTTCTCGATACAAACACGAATGGGCACACACCTCATCTTTAGACAGGTGGCTCCCGTAGTTGACACTGGTGGGGTCGCTGATGTCTAGGAGGGATTGCTGGAGGCCAGTGATATTGGAAGGAGGAAGGGCTATCAACATATTCAGGTAAGGTGTGTCGCGGCGACTAGGCGCGTAGACTCGGGTCGACGTTCGGCGACGACCTCGTAGGCGAGCGGCAAGGAGCCGAAAGGGAGAAAGGGAGATAAAGAGGGATAAACGTAGCAAGAAACTCGACGAGGGCAGAGCGGAGGTCGGCACGAGGGCACGAGACCTGCGAAAGCTAGTCTTCACGCAGACAGCGACAGACTAGTCCCAATGACCAAGTTATACATTAGCAATCAAAGAGAGATACAACGCTATGGTCACTCACCTAGTCCCAATGACCAAGAGGTCGAGATGGGGACTAGGGAGCGCCTAGGGGGGTCCTTATATACTAGAGGGGCTGCTTAGCAACCAAGGACAAGGCGCGAGAGCGAGGCAGTGAAGATGACAAAGGGAGAACAAAGGGCGAGAAAGAAAAGGCAAGGGCATGGCGATCACGGGAACGTAGCATGCGGTGTGGGAACGTATCTACAGTGTCCAAACTGGGATGAGCTAGGAAAGGAAACGGTCCGGAAATGGAAGGTGGGCGTCAAAGGGAAGGGAATGGGCGGCAAAAAGGGGCGTCTGTCCAACGTCCGTGACAAGGTGGAAGTATAGCAGGAGTGCCTCGCCCTCGGGCAATAGCTCGGTGCGTGCTTGTCGATGGGGGGCTGGGCCTACCCATGGCAGGTGAAAGGAGCGAAAGGAAGAGCAGCGCTCTCGCAGCCATATCGACTGAAGGAATGGTGTGCGACCGCATAACAACGAGGAACGCAAGTAGAGCTCGAACAGACTAGCTTCGGCTTTATGTAGAAGTTGCGGCGGCGCTGCGTCCCCAGCCCAGGTTCCCGCAGACGTCAACGAATGCCATCCAGCGCTACGCGTATTGACTGTGGCGAATCACTGGGAAGGAACTGACAACAATGGGCAGGGAAGCAAGGAAAATTGACGAGTCAAGGAGAAGAGTCCTCGCCGGCAATGTTCACCGTTCAACGCCACCAAGTCGATGTCAGGATCTAGTTTCTCGGTCGAGCCACCTTTCGTACCGGGAAGGCCAAAGATTGCTCGCGATCCGATTGGTACACTTAGATCATTGAATGGTGGATCCGACCAGCCTATGTATGGACGCACATACTGCCTATTGCGCGGCGACGTAGATTCCCCGAGCCTCCGACGATTGGAAACCTGGCGGACTTTGCGTCTACGAGATACCATTTGAGAACGACTCCAGAAAGAGAAATTTGTGACTTGCCGTAGCTCGGCGAAGCGTGATACATGCTCTATCCCGCCCCTCGGTGTCCATATGCACATGAAGAATCCGAGAGAGAAGCCGCAGATCATGCACGAGCCTCGAAGAACCTATATGCTACTGCAATATCCGTCGAGCTTGGTCGTGAGTAGCAGTTGCAATGCCTACTAGGCTGGTGACGACAGTGCCCGTCGAAGAGAACTCGTCTAGTTGACGCACCTAGTGAACTGCCCCGCGCTTCCTGCCTGACACCCAAGAACCCAGCCTCGAGCTCGGGAAGCGTTCTTCGACCCAAACATGATCTCTACTGCACCAATAGGAGACGAACGCAACTCAAAAGTACACTACAGCACAACTACACTAACTAAGAAGCCACGCATGCGGCAACCCCGCGCTCGCCACCACCCTTCCCTCGGACGTCAGATCCGTGGAACGTTGGGCTCCGACGCTACTGCTTCTTCGACTTTCTCTTCGCGGGCTCCGAGCCTGCAGGACCATTACTGCGATTACCGTCAGCGGCCTTGACTGAGCGCTTCTTCAGGATGCGCTGCAGCGCCCGCTTCGTCTCGCCTTCCGGGAAAGTTGACAGACCGAAGTAGTTCGGCGCGTACTCTGACAGCCTGAATCGAACAGACCACAATACGCATCCGTCAGCAATGGCATCTCGGAACACATCGCATTCGATGTACGTCCACGTCCAGGAGAGACGTGGGATGATGGCCATAGTAGATGCGAGAAGGGGAGTCAGCCATGGGACGCAGACAAATGGGCCGACGCTCTCTGGATCCTGGCTGACAAGATCGTCCGCTTCGAGGTTAAGTTTACGATATGCATCCTCGATAACCCCTTCGCCTGTCAAAAACAGCAGGATATCGCCAGGCTCTTCCGCACGGTTGATCATGAGAGCTGTGCGTATTGCGGCCTCCACGTAGTCTGATTCGGGCTCCTGGGTATAGAAGACCTCAACCGGATGCGTGCGACCAGGAACCTTCAACAATGGCGCGGGTTTGCGAGGTCAGGCAATGCTGAAGTACTTCTGGAATTTCTGCGCGTCGAGAGTGGCCGACATCGCCACAAGCGTCAAGTCTGACCGAAGTTCTGCGAGGTCTTCAGTAACCCCATGAGGATAACCGTGGCCAGTGTACGCTCGTGAGGCCTCATTGGGAATGATAGTGGAGTATCGCTTGAGGTCAGGGTCGTTCGTTGCTTCTCGGAGAAGCATACCGTCGGTCAAGTACTTCTGGAAAGGCGTTCCGGGCTCGGTCATGTTCTCGAAACGTATTGAGTTATTGACTTCCTTCCAAGAGAAACTGAGAGAAGGTGAGGTTAGTCGTGATGGGTCAGTGTACTCCGCACTCGCTCCAGAGCGTCCTCCATCACGTTCCGGGTCACTCAACGGGAGAGTTACGTAAGTCCAATCAATGGCTGTATACGAAAGAGGTAGCTGGATCCGGAGGACATGGACAGAGGGGAAATTGAGTTCGCGCGTACGCATGAGAGTGTCTGCGAGGCTACAGTGAGGTACGCCATTCGGCAAGTTACACAAAGACATCTCCGCAGGTGCAGCTCGAAGAGGACTCACCATCCATCTCGTCAGCGTTGAACACGCTTCGCAACGGACATGGCTGCGACCCGTCTGGGTTGTGTACAGGCTACCATCTGGCCCTGTGTGGGAGGTCCGGGTAGTGAAAGAGCGGGCGTGAAGTGAGAGCGTCGGGCGCGTTTGGCTCGTGAGCACAGCGGCTATATACGCAAACTTTATCAAGAGCGGGAATCACCGAGCACAATCACCGCGTTCAAGCACCTTCTGGTTCAAGCGTGTGTACGTCAGCGAGTACCAGCGAGTACCAGCTAGTCATAGGGATATTGATAGATAAAGGACTGTAACATGCGCGTTAACGCAAATATACACAAATGACTATAAACGGATGGCAACTTTACGCGTATTACATGTGGCAAGCGCGACACGTCGTCGCGCCTTCAAGAGTGTGTCAGTAGCATTACATAGTCGATAGACTAACAGCCATTCGAGCGTTGACTTTGAGGCCTAGTAGCGGCTTCTGAGTACACATGAATAGATCGATCAGTCCAATCTTTACTTGACAGTCCCCTCGCAATTTGGTCAATCAAAGGCGTCGCGAGTCCCAAACAGTTTCAAATGGGTTGATATACTCACATGTGTTTCGATCCTAACCCAGTTGATTACTCGTCCCCCTGCAAGCATTCTCAAATAGCTCAATCATTACAAGCCATAGTTAACGGTCAGCTCCCACCTTGGTATCTGGGGAGACGAGATAGTACTTAACGAAGTGAAATTTTCACGTCGCAGTACACACACTTGATCTTCCTTCTTCCCCTTGTACTAGACTAAGCGTCACAGCGCGAACACGTCCGCTCACACCTCTCCAATCACTGCTGCATCACCACAGGCAAGTGTCGCTACAACATCAACCCTTCAGCATTGTTCACTGACTGCTTCCAGCTGGGTTGCGGCCATGATCGACGAGAAGATGTTGGCCATGGACACGGAGTCAGTGGGAATGACCCTGTCAGAGCAGTGCGAGTAATGGGAACACAAGCCAAGGTGCGTCTAGAAGCTGAGGATTCATTGTGGGGCTGTTGGATACCGGGTCAGTTTGTGCAGTCTCTGATAGATGGCGATGGCATCCATCGGAGCTGCACTACAGATGAGTGTATGCCGACTGATTATATCTGAAAATTTTTGTAACACTCACAGAGACGTCTCAGCACTATTTGGGTATCGCGGCTCTCGTGCGATCCCCTCTGAGTGGTATACGGGCTGCGGACAACATGGGTAGGTGGTACTCACCTATATGCATCGCATATATTCACATTGCTCACTGCTCTCTCCCTCTTTCAGGTTCTCCTCCTTCCCTTGGCCCTTGGCCATTAACACAAGTCATAGAAAATGGCCGCCCTTGCAGAGGCGGCAGAGGCATGCCCTTCTGGATGGTGGGCGGGGTCCCATGGTGAGCGCTAGTAGCCTAGTATCTGCCCTGCTGCCCTCGCTGATACTACTCCCCCACAGTGCTTGCTGATTTGATACAGGTAAATGCTCCTGAATGTTTTGAATATCGAGGTTGCTGATATGTTTTGGGCAGACATCTATTATTGGTGACGCAGGCGGGAGCAGTGGGTGGGAGCAGTGGGCGGGCGCAGTACCAGCACGGGCGGCTAGAGCGCGCCGCGATGCCAAACTTCTTGGTTATTCTTACGAGACTAGCTTATTAGCTTTAGCTTGCATGTGTACTAGACAGGGCTACTTGATATATATCGAGCTCTTTGCATATTTGACTGGCTTGTGTGTAAGATCCTCAAACAGCGGACATATATGACCCCTTGAGTAGTCCATCTATTCGAACCTCAAACAGCCGATGTGCATCAGCCCCCAAAAAATCTATTCATTCGAACCTTGACTCGGGCACCTAATAACATCGCGATTACATGCTCTGGTCCAATGCAATATTGGGTTCGATCAACCATCTACTCACACGTATCCCAGGTTGGTACAAGTTTGAATGGCCTAATAGTTATTACTCCGACCAGACTCCGATTACACACTTATTCACAGGTACTCGCCCCTGGACCAGGAGGTCCTTAAACGCGGTGAATCGCTCACCTAAGCGCCCGAAAGCCAACGTATAGCAGACGAATTGAGGGATCCTGATCAACACACACACATGACGCACAAGGATCTGGAAGAAAGATGAACAGCAGACTATCTCAATGCGCGGTCTTTCATGAGCTGGTCCCGCCGACCATAACTATCACCTGATTGCTCGTAGACATTTGCAAGAGATCAACTGGGTTAACTTTGAGCGTACCGGAAATGAAGCAGACTCAAACCACCCGAGCATAACAAAATGCATGACATACGATCTTCAGAAACTCGTCCATCTGACTGAACACAGGAAGCTTTTTGCACCACGTCACTCTGTGTTCTGTAGTCCGTCGCCCCAAAGCCTTCGGTTTGAGCCCAATCCTCTGTCTGTGTCTGAGTCCTGAGGTGCCGCTGGGCCCTCGTCTATGTGTTGGAATTTGGAATTGGACAGTCTCTTAGGTAAATGTCCCGTTATGGATATGCTTAGTCAGCTCGTAGTATATTCGCCTGTCACACGCTGTACGCCACTTGTTCCTCACTATGCGAGTCGCCTGGTCTTCTCATCCTCCTGCTCCTTCTAGGTCTATATTCCAATGTTCGTAGTCGAAGTTGAGGAATTCGGCATGACAAGGCTCAGAAGCCGGAGGAAGTCAGGTGTGCCTAGACCAGTAACCTAAAGCAACGTCTCAACCCGTCGTCATCTAGCGTGCAGGAGAGAGCAAACGTACCGGATCCCAACCAGGAAGCGCAGGGAAGCCAGGCGTTCCGCATCCTGGGTTGTTCCCGACTACGATATCGTTGAACACCGCCGCGGTGCCCGACGCGTACAGAAGCGGGTTCAAGAACCCGAGCGGCGGCTGCCCTGCGTTGAGCAGCTGCTCGTTGACCAATGCGACGATGCTCGCGAATATCGGGGTCGATGCACTCGTCCCCAGCACCGGCTGCCCTGTACCATTAACAATGATGGCGATGTCCCTTCCTGTAGTGGACACGTCCGGGAATGCGCGGCCTGTCGTGTTGAATTTGCCCGACAGCGGATTGTCCGAGCTGATGTTGAGAGCATTGAGGTAGTTCTGGGCAGCACTGCTCTGGTAGTCTGGCACCGGGAAGATGTTCGAGAAGCCCCCCGCGGAGAATGTTCCTGCGACTTCGGGTGCGACTCCCTCCGTGCTGCCTACAGAGGTCACACTGCGACAGACGTTACGCGTTCAAGTCATAAGGCTGCAATGGGATGTCCAGACACAAGACTTACTATGGACAGGTGCTGGGGAATGTGGGCAGGAAGAGATCGTCGGGACATGTGTCCAGAGGCTCTTGACCAGCCACACCACCGTCACCTGAGGCAAAGAGAATGCTGGTCCCGCGAGTTCCCAATTGAGCGTATGCCAAACACAGATTCCTGCGACAGTGCATGAGAAGGTTGCAAGTGAGCGATACGCGACTCGGGGCAATGGAGGGCGTACTCTAAGACATCTGGACCAATACCACCCTCTGGAATGCTGAAGCTCGTCGTGAGGACGGGCGGAGGGCTGTCCTGGGCAAGTAAGAAGTTGATGATGTCCAAGAAGCCACCGACGCCATCTTGGTTGTTAGGACCGACAGAGACGAACGTTGTGGGTACATTCGTCGCTAGACCGACAGTGTATTGTATATCGAGGCTCTACAACCAGTTCATAAGCAGATACATAAGTCCCGCAGCCTTGTACGATAAGCAAATGCTCACTACGTACCGCTTCCAACGTTCCCGGGCCTTGCGTGTCCGTGACGCCTCCATCGATGCTCTCAACGCTGAATGGCTGAATAGTATTTGTGATGTCTTTCCTGGTAGCGAACAAGAACTCCTAAACATGTTCAAGCGTAAGCTACGTCTCCACGACCAATAGAACAAAGAAGAGCCGCACGTTCAAGTCTTGCTGATTGGGGATCTCGTTCAGGAATCCGCTGACGGCGATACTATTGTTCGGGTTAGTCGCCGGCGCGGTCGGCATGTTATATAGTGCCTGAACGCAGGTGGGATTGATGCCATCCACGCAGTTGGCGGGGAGCACCGCCCTCTTCGACAGCGTCCTCCTGCCCCGCTTGGGCGGAGCGACCGTCTTCACTGGCGTCTTGCGACTTCTGGGCGCCGGCACGACCCTGAGGGAATGATGTACAAGTTGGCGTTTGCTATCATTATTGCGTCCGTTGCGCAGACTTACTGGGTGGTGGGATACACGAACGCCAGATGCGGCTGCACGGCTTCTGGGATTGCGTACACGTCCGTCTTGTGGGCGGTGGCACCGGTTCCTTCCTGCACGAACGCCGAGTAGTTCGCCGATAGCAACGCATTGGCAGTCGCGATAGGAACGTGAATGCGCATGATGTCGCCCGCGGGGGAGACGACGTCCGGAGTGACGTTGTACTTCGCCAGCCAGCTCGTCACTGCTTGGACGCTCTCCGGTGCAGGCGTCATGAAAGAGGCAGCCTGTTCGCGGATCGTTAGCACACTGCGACCAGGGTCAGAAGAGTGATACGCACCTCCTCCTTCGACAAGAATTTGCGGTAGTTGGGGCTCGCAGGATCGCTGATGTCCATTAGGGTATCGACAAGCCCCGTCTTGTTGTTTGGGTTCAAAGCAATGACCATAGGCATCTGAGCGACATGGTCCAAAATATCGCCAATGAAATCCCGTGGAGAGGCAGGAGCCGGCCTGCCAAAAGAAAGCTGAAGAAGAGAAAGAACAAGCAGGCTCGCTGCAATCATCTTGGCTCAACAAGACAGAAGAAGAAGAAGAAGAAGAAATTGGAAAGAACGAAGAAGCTCTGCTCAGATAAGAGAACACGACGAGCCACCTCAGAGAGCCTTCGCTATTTGAACCATGTCAGAGTTGCGGCGCAGCGAGGCTCGGGCATGGAAGGGCAACCAATTGCTTCCGTCGTGCCAATGCAGCTGTGAAAATGGCATCAATTGTCGAACGTCCAAGGCTCACCCCCTTCGGACTAGTGGTCGTTGTTCGATGCCGTTTCCCGCCCAACCAGAGAGCAGACATTGAGTCGGCCTATTAGGTAGCGCTTCAATGCGATGCGACATGATCAAAGGATGTTCACATGAAGCTGTCAGGACCAAACTGTCAGATACAGAATCGCATGTCAGTCGCTAGGCAAATACATACCGCATTACGGAACCTGTGTTATAACTACAGCCTGCAGGCTGGTTAGCGGTCGAGCATAGCTGCTCTGTCGGTTGGCGAAGAGCCGGCGATTCGTGCACCGGGCCCTCCTGATGTACCCGAGCTACCACGGATAACGGATAACTACATCCGTGGGACGTGGGTACAACGTTGTGATCTTGAATGACAGTCGTCGGAAGTCATGCCCACCAGCTTGAAAAGATGAAATTCCTATGATGAAGCGGACTTGTGTCATTGCATCCACCGCGTCTATAGGCACCGAGCGGGGTAACCAACTCCCCCTCGTTCAGCTGGAGATGGTCAGATCAGCGACCCAACCTTCCGTGCGATACACACCCGGCCGGAAGCAGTAGAATGCATGCATGACGAGCTCATTATCCGTTACTGGCCACCGAGACAGTGGACGAGTAATAACGAATACGTGTACCGAAGCCAAACAAGTGAACGAGCGACGAACAACCACTATTTCGCGCTATACGTAAGCGAAAAAGTCTTCCAGATGCCTGAGAGCGGCGCGCAGACACGACAGACGGACAAGTACGAGGAAACACAACAAGCACAGGGAGATGATATTGTATAACGAGCGGACGCAGGTCGGTTGGGGGTATCGTACGGAACAGACGGACACAAGGCGGACAGGACGCAGCGGAGGCATTGGCAATATTTTGGCACCGAGCACCGGGTAATGGGGATGAGGGGACAGATGGCGATCGCGACCGTCACGAACGCACCGGCACCTCACCGCCTGCCGGTCCCGCGGCCGTAGCCGACCTGGAGGTTGTCGAGCTCGGCTTCGAGCGCCTTGATCGCGCCGTGCGCCATCTCGAGGTCCTTGTTGAGCCGGTCGCGCTCCGCGATGAGGTGCTGCTCCCACTGGCGGAAGCGCGCCTCCTCCGCCTTGACCTGCTCCGTGAACCGCTTCCGGAGCGCCTCCTCCTCCTCCTTGAACTTCGGGTTCTCGAACTTGCGCGGCTTCTGCTCCCCGAACTTGCGCGTCTCCATCTGCGCCTGCCGGTAGTTCTCGTAGTGCAGGTCCTCCGTCGACGAGATCAGGTCGAGCATGTACGTCCGGATCAGGAGCGAGCGCAGCTTGCGGAAGTCGCAGTGCGCCTCGTTCTCGACCTCGGCGACACCCCACAGGTACTCGCGGCCCTTGACCGTACGACCGTCAGGGGTGACAACGTCCTCAGTCGACCCGATGATGGAGAAAGGCATCGCCTCAGTGAGGACGCGAGCGTGCTCCGCGCTGACTTCGTCGTCGGCCTCGATGGGGGGCTGGTAGATCCGGATGCCCTGCGCTTGGATGACTTGCCGGATCTAGAATCGATAGCGAATTGTCAGTGAGATCGCATATTGGCGAGGTTATCATTTGCTACGGACGCGGTCCTTGAAGGTGTGCATGTCGGCGTGGGTGAGGGTGTCCGCCTTGGCAATGACGGGGATGAGGTTGACACGCGTGCCCAGACGCTTCATGATCTCAATATCCAGAGGCTTGAGGCTACACCCGACAACAAATGAGCTCAAATGCAAACGAGGACTCACACCCAATCGCACTCACGTGTGGCCCGTCGGGCGGATGAAGTACAAGCAAGCGTGTACCCTGAGGTCGATCTTCTCCTTCCGCTCCGGCTGCTGCTCCTGGCGCATGTACGCCTCGTGCTGGTCGTCGATGAAGTCGACGATGGGCGCCCACGAGTCGCGGTTGTTGACGTAGTCACCAAAGCCGGGGGTGTCGATCACGGTCAGCTTCGTCTTGAACTGCTTCTCCTCGAGCTCGGCCTTGATGATCTCGACCTCGGTCAGCTTGTCGAGCTGCTTCTGGTGACGCCTGCTGTAGTTCTTGGCGGGCGAGAGCTCGGTGGAGAAGAGCGTGTTGATCAGTGTGGTCTTGCCGAGACCAGACTCGCCTGCACGGAAGAGCAGAGAGGAAGTTAGCGGCTATTGGCTACAACGCAGGCGGCTTCACTTGGAGAAGCTAGCGGTTCCATGCAAACTGCTTGTGGAGATAAGCAGGTACGTTGGTACTCGCATGAAGGCTCGCTAACCGACGCGAGTACGAGACCGCACACCAGGTAGGGTGGGGATACCATGCCCTTCTGCGGTTTGGCGTCGACAACTGGAACGCTCACGTAGCTACGCGTTGAGTGCACACAGTCTGCAGCACGACAACAACGGATGAAGCCGGGCAGACACCAGTGACCTGCACGCGCCAAGCAATGACAGAGTTGACTGAAAGCAAGACAGCGTGGCAGAGCAACCAGCGCGTCCCCCACTCCGTGCTCCCATCTCCCGCACCCTGCGCCCCACAGTATCTCGGTCGAATCACACTGGCAAACAACACTCACCGACGACCATAATAGTGAAGTGCGCCCCGCGCTTGGCGACGATCTTGTGCCTCTACACGCCAGAAGAAACAAACGCCGTGTCTTCAGCTTCCCAAGTACGCATCCCTCGGAATGACTTGCACGTCTCACCTGGTTGGGCAAGTTGGCGATACCAATACCGTCGGAAAAGGGTGCGGCCATTGTGCAGGCTGTGGGGGGGAGAGCGAGGGACGGAGGGGGACGAGGAAGTGACCGCGAACGCGACGACGGACGGGTTCGACCAAATTCCAGTCGTGGCGACCCTTGGCGGTATTTACCTCTGTTTGCCCACGGTGGCCTCAGTGCGGGCGCTTCCATTCCATGCCTCGCACCCTTCCATGGCCATGTCCCTCCAAGTCCGCCTGTCTTGCAAGGCAGGAGTCTATGGGCTCACCGCCATCAGCCTTACATATGTGTAGCGACATGTTCACAACCACATGGAGATGACCTTCACCCACGGTAGGTAGCACAAGGTACGGCACATGCATGGCGTCGACTGTTGACCGTGCCTGGAATTGATTACACAAAGAATTTCGGACCCGGTATAGTCTTCCATGCATGTCTGTGATTCCATTCAATCTCATCCGCTTTATGTTGGTAACAATGGTTGTATTGGGTTCACGCCCAACGGTGCACTAATCGTCATCGTTCGCGACCGACATAGTTTCACTAGTCATAACATGTGTACACAGTACGGCGAAGTTGGCGGAGAAGGAAAAGCAACAAGCCCAACCTCGCTATCCAAAGAAGAATACAGCTAGCGATGTACCGATATAGCGATGTGATCAACTCCCGCGACAAACAACATCTGGATGCCAATGGTGATGAGTACGCGTTGTTATCTCTGGACACGACATTGACTTACCTCGCCAACCCCACATGCAGACGTAGCGAGCCTCCTAGAGGATCAGAGGAATAGGTGAGCAGCCCAAGCTGAGGCCACCTATGGGCGCCGCACATGACCGTCAGTATCGACGGTCGTCAACCCTGCGTTGCTGCACTCACCAAAGGTGTTTCCGTTGCAACAAACAGGCGACGCGGAGCTGTAGATCGTCCGCTCTTCAGCATCTCCTTTCATCTCACAAGTCAATCGAGCTCACCAACTGGGACCGCCGCCCACGCTACCCACAGGAATCGGGGTGCAGGACAGCCCGACATTTTGGTCCGACTGAACCGTAAGCCTCAGTGCATCGAGGATGGGCGCCAGCTTGTCCGAATTGGCCGGCTCGACAGAGTTGCAGCAGTGAAGTGCGCCGGTGGAGCACTCGGAACTGGTGGGGAGCTGAGGGGATGGAAGGGCCACGGCAGCGCCTGGGTATACGATGACCAGGGATAGAGTGAATGTGGTGATAGCGGCGAGGAGCTTCATGGTGGATACGGCGCCGGAGGGATCGCTGGACTGCAGGCGAGGGAGAGGCGGAGGGAGAGTAAGTCTTGCGGCTACGAAGGTCGGGCTCTGCTCTGGCCCCCTTTTGTAGGCTGTTGCTCAAGTTGAACATGTCGTGAAAGTGGGTGAGGGCCTTCACGATGAAGTGGTGAAGTGAGCCCGATCGGCGGTGTTCTTCACGTGTCGGACACACTGCTGGCGGGATGGTCTCCACTAGAGCCTTCACAGGGCCGTTGAATCTGGGAGTCTTCTGGAGCCGTAGCGAGGACGTACTGTCGCATGCTTGGTGTGCACAACATCTAAATCTCGCACGGAGGATGGAGTATGTATTACCGACCCGATGTGGCAGTCACTTCCATATTGGGATCTGCAGTAGCGCTGTGGCGTTCAGTACCCACGTGGCTCCCTCAGCTGTGGAACAAGGTCGGGATCGCGCCTTGACTCTGCAGCGTTTGCCATCACTTGCAATTTCCGTCTCGTTCGGCTGCAGATTACCTTCATGATCGCGGCCTCTCTCCGACACCTTACACGACACCTTCACAAGAGAGCGTGGCTGCTCTTTCTTTGTCGTCGCTCGTGGGCTGATCTCGTGCTCACACGATAATCAACTGCACTCCTAGTTGCCACCTTCACTTACTCAAATGGCGGTTTCGATTGGTCGAGCATGTTCAATTGATCTATGACCGACGACCAGACTCTTGCCGCATGTTCAAGTCAATCCAGTCCCTCCTCCTCCCAGTCTCTTCTCCCCTTGGAGCCACACAAAGACGCTAAAAAGGATCTGACCGTGTCAATTTCGAGCGGACAGACAGACCAAGCTAGTGGGCTCTCCTCTGCACCTTGAACCATCCTTGTCTAGGTACCAACAGTCCAGCCACATCACAGGCCGCATTGCGCTCCATTACGTACTTCGCTTCGCTCAGAGACGTTCTAGGTATCCTTCTTGGATCCTCATATGTTCGTCCTCAGATGGAACCTGCCTCAGTCAGTCCTACTTGTTCAACGTTTGATCTCACCAAGTCCCCTAGCCGTGGTCCCGGACGGTCTCAAACGCCCCTTTCGGCATCAACTGCAACCCAGTCACTGTCGTCGGGCTCGAGGGCGGGAGTACCTGGTGAGTCGCTGTTAGGAAGTGGCCTGGGTTCAGTTCCACATGCGTTTCACGCGGCTGGCGTCGGCTTCGCTTGTAGCTCCCAGCACCCCTTGTGCCGCGAAGACGGGGCCGACAGAGTGTTTTAACGACGAGGCGCTTATAGTTTGGCTTCGTCACGGATGGCTCGATCAACTCCAGGGTTGGATGACGTTGCAGCTCCTGGGGATAATCCCGTCCCCGCGATGCGTCGACGCTGTGGTGCCTTGACCGAGTTTGCTTGACGTCCTATGTTGTGCTACACCATGCCAATCACTACGCTCATCCCCCCGCTCCACTCATCCGTGCTCTTGTCTGGTGCATGCATTCTCTGGCGGTCCCTTCTAGTCCTGTTGTGCCTCGTCTTGCTGGCCTTGGCAAGTCTCGTCAATGTTGTGCTTCGCGTATACACGGAGTCCCACAAGCTCACACAGCATAACCCGAGAAGCTGGCGCGCGTGTAACGCGGCGTACAAGCTGAGCTTCTCCGCACGGCGCGTCGATGTGTTTGTTGGAGAGCGCGACGCCCATTGGCTAGATCGGACAGGGGGGGGCACGCTTCTCGGAGGTTGTAATCCGCTCGGGTCCTGTCTCGTCCACTCCCCGATCTTCGCGTGTCCTCCAACCTCGTTGGTCTTCCACGAATAGCCTCAACCAGAGTCTGATTCGGTAAGTCCTGCGCTACGTCGACATCCTTTCACTTTTCGTTCTTCACATTTCAGGATGAAGGTATATATATTCCGACTCGAACATCTTCACCCGTCGCCCGCCCTCTCTCGCGTCTTTACCTCGTTCCCATCCCACTCCTCCCGCTGCTCGCACTCCCCTCCGTCCCTGCGAAACCATACCCCAAACACACTCCTTTTTCAACGATGAAGCTCGCGTCCACCCTTCTCGCCTCCTTCGTCCTCTCCCTCGCTCTCTTGGTCTCAGCCAGCCCCTACTCGCGTTCTCATCCCCGACATGCTCCTTCAGCTCCATCTATCCCGTCCAAGCCTCCCCACCGTCGTGTTGTCCCGCGCCACGCCGACGACGACTGCGACCTCACGCAGACGTACACAGCAACGTACACGTCCGACTCCGCGCACACATACACGATCCTCTCCGTCTCCACGAACGCCGCGACGTACACGTCCTTGCGCACCTCCACTCGCTCCCGTCCCAGCCCCAGCCCTCGCACCGTAACGGCGACCAAGACGCGGACCGCCTTCGAAACGCAGACCATCACCGACTACGCGCCCACGGCCACCATCACCGTCACCGCATTCAGAACGCAGACAGAGACGGACGTCGGGACGCAGACTCTCGTTAGCACGTATACGAACACTGTCGCCGCGAGTGCGCCTAGCGCCGCTCCTGGCGGCGAGTGCAACACGGGCCCCATCCAGTGCTGCGACCAAGTCGCGCCCGCCAACAGCACGCAGATGAGCAGCATCATCTCGGCAATTGGCATCGGCTTGGACGTCCTGGGGGGCTTGGGCGACAGCCTCGTCGCAACCTCGTGCTCGCCGATCGACGTGCTGTCCTTGGGAGGCGGGGCCGAGTGGTACGTGGAACGCATATAATGCTATACGACTACGTTACTGACTATATGCGCTTTCTAGTAATCAAAGCCCTGTGTGCTGCAACAACAATGACTACCGTAAGTGCAAATCAGTGCGTGTAGAGAGGAGGACACTGATATCGTACTCCATCCGCATTCACAGAGGGTCTGATCAACATCGGCTGTGTTCCTATCCAACTTTGAGGGCTGAGCGTCCGCCTTCAGTTTTCTCGCATTGTCTATACCAGTCAGTTGCTTGCGCAGTAACTCTCGAACAATGTTGACATCTGACCAGCTCTAGTTGACGTTCGCACATCGCTAAGTTTTACCAAGTCACGACGAGCTCCTTATTTCACCTTGAATACGCTTTCACTTTCACTCTCGGAGCTCATGTTTTCCTCGCAGGCCTGCGGCGCTATCTGGTGAAATGCTGTCTGGAAAGTCACAGATACACGATTGAACGAAATAAAATCAGGCGGCGCACCTCCATGTAGCACGTAGGACTACACTCTATCTTTACTTGTCTTCTATAATTCGCGAATACTACTTGTAGTCTTTTTGAGACTATTACTATCGGCGACTTCTCTCGATAGGCATGTTCGTCAGATCGACAGTATGGTTCAAAGTTGTAATAGGGGACTCGATGAGGCTGTGCTCTTGACGTGATTGGTACTGATTACAGCGGATGTAAAAATCAGCGTCGCATGCCCCGCGCCGGGTGGTGTGCTCGGATCACCGGAATTCCCCGGCCGAGCCCCAACCCTACCGCACCGAGGCCATTGCCCAACTCTGTTCCACCTCTGGAAGCACTTGAATATATCGGATATCTGTGTTGGGAACATCCCAGGTAAGAGATCGAGTATTCTGTAGCTCGAAAAGCGGCATTGCTCGTCGGGGGCACGTCTCGAACAGTCACCGCGAGCGTGTCCCCGAGCTGGAAGGTGGCCGGAGAGGAGGCTGGCCGGGGTCGGCAGGTGCCTGCCGCTGATCCGAGCACACCACCCGGCGCGGGGCATGCGACGCTGATTTTTACATTCGCTGTACATACAGTCATACACCACTCCTTTTGACAGCACCACTCCTTTTGACAGCACCACTCCTTTTGACAAAGACCGATCGCTGTTCCTCCTCCGTACCCCCTTCCTTTTTATGTTCATATTCCTATTCTTATACATCGTAGTTACATATCTACAAGTTTGGGGGCTTACTTCCCCTCGCAATGTTTTCATACAGAGGAATGATCACTCGAAATTGGCCAAATATGACTCACTCGCTAGATCTTGACCGCAGTGTAGCGATCATAAAAAATCGGAGACTTACAACACTGTCACTAGGTTCTTCTCATAACTTTGAGTATATTTGTAGCCTTATCGAGGGGAATGGAGTATCATAGATGAGACTGGCAACATGGTTGCCATTGCCATCAAACAGGTTGTCACACTGCCACATTGGGATACAATTTTGGGATGACCGACGTATGACCGAGAAGGCATATGTGCGAAGCGCCCTTCCAGCGCTTCATTCGCAATCTGCTCGCTCTGCACCTCATTGGACGAGGACAGATAATCTTTCCCCTTTTGGTAAGATCTCTAGCGTGATGTGACTGTCAAAAGGACTGCATATGGCCTGATAACGAATTCCGCGACAGATTGTCTCGGATTTCCTACATATCCACTACTCTACATACTAAAACTAGCATAGAACTATTGTAATGTGGTGCCCGAATGGATCTGCGAGACTGATTGAGTATTGCTACAGTAGATCTGAAGAAATCTGAGTCACATGTTTTTTCTGTCAAAAGGAGTGGTGTATTACTGTAGGGGTGCTCAATTCTTGTTGGTCGCTCAGTTGCTGGGGCGCCTATCGGGCGCCTGCCTACCCGAATTTAAGGTCAGCTCAAGCGCCTGTAGCACAGCGAGAGACGGGCAGGCAGCGGGCGCAACACAACTGCATGATGCCCCCAAGCTGGGACTAGAGAGCGAGGCAAAACCTGACAGTTATGAAGCTAGAGAGTTCCTTGACTCAAGTCGTCCCACAAGGTTTGAGTCCAGTTGTCATAGAGCTCTGAGCGGCACCCCCAGCTGAACCCTATGTATGTTGTGCTGAATCTGGTTCCGATTTGGGCACATTGTGTACAATAAGTTTAGGTTAACGAGTTTGTAAGCTCTCCCGACGTCACTAAATGTTCACTTGCTGGACTGGTTTCCCGGGCCTAACAAATCTAGCATGGGACAATCCTGTCGATCTCTCTGCACCCGCTGCCTGCCCACCTCTGCTCGCTGTGCTGCAAACACTTGAGCTGACCTTCAATTCAGGTAGGCAGGCGCCCCGTAGGCGCACGAGGATATGCGCGAGCGACAAGAATTGAACACGCCTGCGGCCTACTATGTAATAAGATTGGCCGCCCGCACAACCTACTACATCACGTGCTCAGAACTGTCACGCTTGACCTACTTTGGCAGGGAGAAATGTTCGCAAAACTATAGGCTCAAGAGTGAGTGCCTTCCTTACATATGCGAAACCAGAGAACTGTACCTATATAGTGTCTCTAGAGTTGTCAGGTTTCCGATTTTCCGATTTGCCTTCCTGAACAAAGTAGATAGATATGCATTGTTCGCGATCTCTCAGGCGCTTAAGACATGTCTGAATTGGGTACTGTCCAAGAAAGGCGAAATATCATTCCCGCTGGCAGGGAACATACGGCCTTGCCTTGCAACATGCCCAAACGAAAGCTACACCAGAGTAACTCGATCACAAATATAGGGGCGCATGCACAGGAGAAACCAAGGGAACAATCACTGCGGGCCAGACAGAGCCGAGTAGCGAGAAACAAGGAGAATGTGCCGCTGGTGACACCAGAGGTGTGTTTGCCCAACTGGGTGATGTGCGCAAGCTTCCTAACAGAATGAAAAATAGGTCCATTGCCCCAGGCATCCAGGAAGTCGGATCGAAACCCTTGACAGGGGGAGAGAACAGGTCCTGCAAACATATCAGTTATTCAGTCAAGCTGTGGCCGAGATATCAAGGCCGGCTGCACTCACTTTCGGTTCCCCTGTACAAGGTAAGCGTTGGAACCAATCAGATGTATACTAGCAGCATACATACATGTGAGTTTTGCATGAATACCCATTTTTATTCACTCACTTATTGTCTATACTATCCCCCTCTATATTTGTCCTTATACCTCCCTCCCATCTGCTGTCGACTCGTCGGTACAACTTCTATGGACTTGTCGACTTAACTCATCGCGTTAACTAGTCTGACGCCTTAATCACGTGCTTTGTAACGCTGTGACATAGTAGCAGGTTGTGCGGGCGGTCAATCTTACCTATTAGCGTCTCGCGCTTGCGCGCTTGATCTCCGTGTCTTTGATAGTGTTGGGCGAAGAACTCCAGTCGAGATCTTCGCAGCGTTATCAACCGACTAGGACGGGGAGTGGGAGTTATTCGCAGAGTTGATAGCAGTTGTTAGCATAGGCGCTTATGACATAATACAGGCAAATCATCTCCTGCCCATTGTCCAGTCGGCCTCCCGGAGTACCCTCGTCGCACCTCCTTTGTGCGCCGCAACTCCCTTCCCCTTTCCCTTAGGATTAGAAGCAGGCTCAGGAGGCGTGACTGGTCGCTCCGATGAGGAAGGTGAGCGCGCGAAAATCGTAGATGTTATCCGGCAAAGAGGTGGGAAGAGCCTCCAAGTGAGTTCGTAGTTGAGTAAGGCCCCGAGCCGACAGATCTTCACAAGAAAGGATTCTGACAGCGGCAGCATTGCCAGGTCTGTCAGGGGTAGGGAATACAATAGCTGAGAAGTTCGAAAGCCTGCAGTGCACTACACTATACATCACTGCCCATCCATCCCTCTCAGCATCAATGCTCGTCAGCATGAGACAGAGGCAAGACCTATTAACAAGACTTATCATCGGCCTCGACGATCTCGCATTCGCTGGAGGGCGCCTATACAAGCGCTTCAGATAATCGCAGTGCGAATAACTAGGCTAGGTTATTCGCATGTTATCAACCACGTTGTTAACCTGCGAATATCGCACTTGCGAAGAACCTGTAGGTTCTTCGCCCTACACTAGTCTTTGAGCAGTTTGTGTCCATCGTCGACGACGTCCTGAATCTACAGTCATCCGTCTCATTTCTCATATACTCGCTGATTCTCGTGTCCTCTGCACCCGTCAAGTCAATTTGCCGATGCCACGATGTGTGAGCCCACTGGCACTACATTGCCATGCCTTGGTGTGCTTCGTTTAAGCTAGGTACGACTCACGTGAAGTTCATCTGTTTCTTTCCCCACTATGCCGTGGCAGACACAGTGAGTCACAGGTAGGAGGTCCAGATATTGCGCTCGGAGATGAATCCCCAATGTGCAAATCGTGCTCTTCTCACCCCGCGCCGAGCTTTACAGCTACTCACGAAGTACACAGCAGATTCAGTGTCAAATCACTAAGAGAGACTCTAGTGCAGTATCAGCAACGAATGTGACTCATGTAATACCTGTACTATCCATCCGCAGTGTATGGCGTGCTGACATGCTAACAATTGGGCTGCGAATACTAACCGCGTTTGTTGAATGCTCGCACCGGCCTTCTTTTTCCCAGGGCTCCGTACATATATTAGTATACGACTGTTACGCTATGCCCTACGCATCAGCGCCGTGTCGGCCCAGCTCGGCGACCGTTGGTGAGTTGCATTGATCATCGCCCCGCATGTTTGTATGAGTACTCACATCTTAGCCCAGGTGTGTCCCGGTGGCTTTGCCGCCCATTGGTAGCTTCTATCCGATCCGCGTGTCTATCAGAAGCTTTCTCCCTACTCGCGAGCAACCCGCACTTCTTCAGGAACGACGGTCAGCTCAGGCTAACACGTCTGTGCACACCGTCGCTCACCCGTGCCGTTCACTACCTGATGTTGCAGATAGAAGCGACTGGTTCGACCGCCTGAAGACGAAGTGGACCAAACTCGGAGCCGACGAGCCGCACCAGCGGCTGTGCGAACTCTGGAGCGCGCCGTTGGCCACTTTGCCCGACGTGCTGACGATCCCCGTTCGCAACGTGGGCACGCCGGGACTCAGCAGCCGTACGAACGGACGCATACTGGTCCGGGACGCGTACGCGAAGCTGATTTGGCGCATCTGCAAGTACCGCCTTGATGCGCCGGCGTCGGGAGTCATCATTACTGGGCAGCCCGGTTGTGGTAAGTTGTCATGCTGGTCGTCTGTCACACATGGTCTGAGCTTATGGTTCTTCGTCATGCTTTCTTGAAGGCAAGAGCATTTTCATATGGGTCATGCTCCGCGTGTTGCTCATGCATGACCACCCCGTCGTCTTGATACTCGAAGAGATCGCCTACCTCTTCTACAAGAGAGAGGTATGGACCACTCCCGCTAGGCGCAGTCTTAATGGGGTTCCAGTGTAGAGGAGTGCAGATGCAAAGCGGAAGCGAGGCTCGGGTTCGGTGCGCGAACCCCCACGGCCGCTGTGGGTGCTCCTGGACCACGACCAGAGGGATACTCCGATCGCAGGCATGAACAGCGCGTGCGTCTTCCCCGTCTATTCGACGTCTCCCAACCCCAAGCGATACGCCCAGATCGACAAGCACCGGTGTCCCGCGCTATTCGGCATGCCGTTGTGGACGCAGCCGGAGTTATTAGACGGGTAAGTCCCGGATCTGTTTTGCAACCCTTCAGATGGAAGCATGCTGAAGCTTCATATCAGGGTGGAGCTCTTTTACCTGTACGACAAACTCAGGACCGACATACGCACTGTGATCGACGCTATAGCTGTACAGACCCGTGCCGCAGACACGGCAATCGTTCCTGCCACGGCACCGACTTCGCCCACAGGCGCCTCCCATCGAGTCCGCAGTCCACTGGCCCTGCATCCCTCTCCTCCAGATGTCTACCCTTACAACGATGGTGACACCGTCGGGCTGTGGCCATCTCTACCCAGTACGACCACTCCACCCTTTCACATTCCGGGCTCCATACGGGCCACCCCACCTCTGCCCAGTCCCACCCCAACGACACGAGCAACAAAGCGCATCAGGGGTCGTACGTCTTTATCGGACGTAGGTACTTTCGTGGTCACATCCGCCTCTCCCCCACCGAGCCCGCCTAGGAAGCGTACACTAGGCAAGACATCGTCCTTGGCAGAGGTATCAAGTAGGATGTCATCGCCAAACAGCCGCTCTGCACGCGCCTCCAGCATTGAAGATGTTATCATCAGCTGCATCGACGACAACGTCCTCTCTCATGCGCTTCAGGTCTTGTGGCGACGTGACCCCGATGGATGGCGCACAAGACCCGACCGAGGCATCTTGGAGACCCTGGTGGCCGACGCGATAGAGAAGTTTGGCTACATTGCCAGAGATGTATGCGATGGCATCTTCCACCCCGACAACATCCTCCGGCGGCATCGAGACGTCGTGAAGGGGATAACGTCCATCCAGTACCAAGACCTTGTCGGCGCCTTCCTGTCAGACACGCACTGCAACCCCACCAGTCTCTCCCACCGGATCATCGCCCTCATCCCTATTCACGAGTGGGATGATCCGCATACCAAGACAATCTCCACTAGCGACAGCTTCAATATGGAATTCAAGTCGGAAGGGGTCACCGAGAGGGTAAAGGTCGCCTTGCGCCATTTGGAGGATAGACAAGCCCGCCACCTCTTCTCCCTCTGCCACTTCACTCCGGAGTCTTCCAGCTTCCGCAGTTACCTCTTCGAGACGATCATTCACCGTCGTTTGTCCATCACCTCGCGTTCGGAGATGCTGTCCAACCTTTCCCCGATGGAGGAGTCTGGCGTTTCACACGAGGCGCCGCACTTCTCCACCAGCAAGAGCACAACAACAGTGGTGCACAGCTCGACACTCCGGCGCGCCGCTGGCCATCACGCACATGCAGCCGGAAGCGCATCTTTTACCGCGCAGACTCTCGTAAAGTCCATCAGTCTGAAGCCGAAGGTTCCTCTGCCTAATCTCGACTTCGAGGCCTACTACGTCCCCAGCGCCCCCAACAACTCATTCTTCGATGCCTTCTTCTTTGAGCGCGACTTAGCGTCGTCCATAGTCACCCTTTGTATCCTCCAAATCACGACCGCAGTCGAGCATGAGGGCTCCGACAAGGGCTACCTGCTAATATCGCGTCTCATCAACGGGACACTCGCGACACTCACTCTGGACCCGTCTAAGCCCCTCGAGTGTCAAGTGCAGGTCAAATATTTACTAGTTCACCCCGCTGATCGCCCATAACAGGTAACGTGGACTTGGAAGATGCCCAATGGCTGGGATGCGACGATGCACCCGCACGGGCACGTCTACCATCTTCCGATCCAGGTGTGTTGACTTCCATATGAATTCCTGGGCAGGGTGTGCATTGATGGCGATTTGGTTGTCTGCCCTCCAGTTTGGCGTCCCTGCGTCATCGCGCGAAGCTTCTCCATCGCACTAGTAAGGCACCCGACATTACCGGGGTGGGTATCAGCGGCGAATGGTTTGGGCGTGTCACGCACTCCAGGGACGCTTATAATAGTAGCCTTGTCGAAGCCACGTCAAGCCCCGGAAAGTCGCGTATCTGTCGTGTACTATATAGTACTACCTCAGAACCAGTCGAATGATGAGTGCAGATACCGGAAGATATCTTGCGCATAGGTTCCAATTTGGCTCGGACTGCGTTTCGCACGTCTCCCAACTCCCTGCCGACTCCCGAGAAGTTCTCGTGGTACTGGTGTAGGCCTAGGGCCCTCACGGTCCACGGTCGAACGATGGAATGAGACATAATCGACAAGAAACATCTTGCGCATCAATAGGCGCAAGCCTCGATTACATATTCGAGCTGTTAGATGGATCACATGTACAGGCGTGCGGACAGCGACCAGTACTGTCCAGACGACCTTGCGTCTTGCGGAGTCTGAGCACGAGGAATGTGCGCGGCTGTGAAGGACACATAGTATACGATCGCTTGAGATACGAGCGTTGCACTTTTATAGTAGCAGCACGACTACAACTACTTCGTACGGTTTGCAATATACATTGGAACGACAAATCACAAACACACGTCGGAGAACATCAAGCGACAGTCATACGAACACCCTCGACCCACTCTCTGCCCTACTCCGTGAACATATCACGTCTCTAGTGCAATTCGAGCCTGAGTAGACTCAGCAAGCAGAAGCCCATGTCTCACAGCCCAAGTGGCAGAGAGATCGGCAAAGAAGTCGGCAAGGAGATGGGGAGGCTTGTAGGTAGCGAGATGGGGAGGCTTGTAGGTAGCGAGATGTGGAGGCTTGTAGGTAGCGAGATGGGGAGGCTGGTAGGGATAGAGATGGGAAGGCTCGTTGGGAGGGAAATGGGGAGACTAGTAGGAAGGGAAGTAGGGAGACTGGTTGGGATCGAGATGGGCAGGCTGGTAGGGATAGAGATAGGAAGGCTCGTCGGGAGCCCGGGCAGTGAGATCGGGAGGCTCGTGGGCAGCGAAATGGGCAAGCTCGTAGGGAGGGAGATCGGAAGACTGGTTGGGAGGGAAATAGGGAGACTGGTGGGGAGGGAAATGGGGAGGCTCGTTGGGATAGAAATAGGAAGGCTCGTTGGAAGGGAAATGGGGAGGCTGGTAGGGATCGAGATAGGAAGGCTCGTCGGGAGGGATATGGGGAGACTGGTAGGAAGAGAAATGGGGAGACTCGTGGGGAGGCTCGTTGGGAGGGAAATGGGAAGGCTCGTTGGGATAGAGATCGGAAGGCTGGTAGGGATCGAGATAGGAAGGCTCGTCGGGATCGAGATAGGAAGGCTCGTCGGGAGCGAGATTGGAAGGCTCGTGGGCAGAGAGATGGGCAGCGGGTCTGATGATGACGCGCTGGACGCGGCGGCAGCGGACGCCTCGTTGGTGGGGATGACGAGCGGGAGCGAAATGGGCAGCGAAATCGGGAGGGACGTCGGAAGGCCCGGCAGGGAAATGCTCAGTGGGTCAGAGGTTGAGGGGACAGCGGACGAGGAGCTTCCAATGGGGAGAGGCAGTGAGATCGGGAGCGAGGTCGGGAGGCCAGGCAGGGAGATTGGGAGAGACGTTGGGAGGCCAGGGAGAGAAATTGGGAGAGACGTTGGAAGACCGGGGATGGAGATGCTCAGCGGGTCTGATGCTGACGCGGACGACGACCCGCCTCCGATGGGGAGAGGAAGCGAGATGGGAAGTGACGTAGGCAAAGAGATGGGAAGTGACAAAGACGTTGGCAAACCTGGGATAGAAATTGGCAGAGAAATGGGCAGAGAAGTGGGCAAACCGGGGATAGAGATCGGCAAAGAAGTGGGCAGGCCTGGGAGAGAGATAGGGAGAGATGTCGGGAGGATGGAGTTGACAACTGGCTGACAGCCCTCGGCCGCAATGCCACCTGAGAAGAGACGAAGACGACTTAGCATACATCCGCGCTTAAGCTTAATTGAACGCGTGGAGCAGCGTCACATACCAGGCAGAACGAGTTGGCAGCAGAGCGGCGTGCCACCCGCCAAGCTGTAAATTTACGCGTTAGTCGCAGAGCTCGCACACGCGAATCGATTTGTGGGACGTACCATTGATTTCCAAGAATGTCAAGATCGGTGGCCGCAGAGCATTGAAATCCCGCTAACGGGCCCAAAGTGGGAATGGGGAGGCCAGACGGCAACGGCAGGATGGACGTCAAGCTATCGACGGGTATGGTCGGAAGCGATAACGTCGACTGGCAGCACTCCACGGTAGCCAGGCATTGGGCCAGCGGGATGGTCTCAATGGACGGCGGTGCGCTTGATGCCGTGGTGGGGGGCTGGGTGACGCCGACAGGGCTGGCAAGCACCTGCACGCCAAGCTGGAAGGCGGCAAGTACGAGAGCGAGCTTTAAAGTGGAGGTCATTGTTTAGAGATGCTGAGCGAGGCACGATCTTGCACTGGAGACCTGGTATGTGTCTGGGGGACACTGTGAGGATTGCGATGCTTTATATAGCGCGCAAGAACGAGAGCTCCGAGAACAGCCGCGGAAGACATGAGATGACATTCCGTCAGAGCAGTCCCATCTCCAGCGCGGGTCCGAACGTGGTCGCTTTGCACCAAGGCACATCGTCGCAAATGCAGGCAGAATGTAGAGCCCTGACGCCTTCACTCTCGCGCATGACAAGAGACGGCTGCATGATCAGCGCCGCAGTGGGGCTATCCGTCAAAGAACATTCCGGGAAACGCCCAGAGACGGGACAAGTGAGGGCCATGAGATTGGACTACGGGGGTAATATGCGGAAGAGCGCATAGCGGGGATCAGAGAAGTCATGTCGAGGGATGGTCGGGCAATTTGTCCTGCACGTCAACACTTTCGGCAGGTACATACAATGGACATGTGACTGGGCCCGGAGCGATCGTCGTCCGCATGCGCCATACATATGGCCCCCTTGCGAGAGACAAGGACGGTGGGAGGGCAGTTCCGTGGATGGAGCAATCCAGCTTCCAGCACCGGACGTATCCTGAATTTGTGGCGGATGTGCGCTCCTATGCGGTTCCGAGTATCCGCGGAGATGGGGGCGAGGGAAAGCGGAGGACTCCTCCCGAGAAATTGTATGTTTCGAAGTTCTTCGAAAGATGCCATAGGAGACAGTGACAGGGCGGTTTTTACCCCGTACAGTCGTTCCCATTCCCATTGTAGGCGACGTGCCTCGCCGGTACAAGCAGCCTCTTGCATATGACAATCGAGCAAGGGGGATAGGTCAGCATAACAGCACTACGCGCATTGATAACGATATTCCGCCGCCACTGACCGAAAGATCATCGGAGTGTTTGAATCCCACGATGGTACAAGCTCGTAGGTTGAAGGACGTCTTTCACATACAGTCCGCAGCATCGGCGCGCGCACACCGTCACCTGAATGTCGGGGGCGCATGCGGGCGGATGACGAATGGGATGGATGACGATGAGGGTGCGTGTACTTTACCACCAGGACCATGTCGTCTTCACACTTCCATTTGGCTTCTTCAGCTAGCCTTCTAGCGCTCGTAATGTACGACTGATACCCTTTGCAGCTTTGTCGGAATGTAGGGTTGATCACCTGATGGGTAAAGTCGAGGTCAGCTGGAAGACCGGTCCGAGGCACGATGGGAAAGGTGAACGGCGTCGGCTTGTCGAGAGTGGCCTCGCCCTACGTCTGAATCTCCGATCGAGAACTTTGAGGCGTTAGTGAGTCGATAGACTCTGTTGAAGGATGAGTTATGCCCCCACTAAGGATTACGCGGTTGGAGCGTCGCTCGAGTCCAGGGCTACTGTCACCACAGAGCAATCCCGACCGGATACTGACTGATGCGATGTAGCGGATCTTGGGCCGTGAGCCACGACGTCCCGATTGCCATCCCGAATTCCACTCCATCGCCACATGATCGAAAGACGACTGCGGCACACGTAGAAAGATACCGTTGTGCTTGGAAGCCTGGCGGACAGCGGGTCCCATTCAAATTGTAACCTTCTCTGTCAGATGCCCCACGTTGGCAATGAAAAGGCAAATCAACATCGCGAGATAGTCTGATGGACAGGCGTGGGAGAATGCGGCAAGGCTTATCACTGGAATGTGCGAGGCGGCGACGTACCGAAGATAAATACTTGCGGACGTGTATTGGTACCCTGGTGGAGAGGTGTGAAATACTGCAGATAGATGCACCTGGCTGCAAGCGAACTGTGACGATTATCTACTGGTGTGAATAGACGTCAGTGTAGACACACCGCACCCTACGCTCCGCACTCACTTCGTACCAACGTCGCCGAGCCCTATTACACATGGCGCAGAAGCCACTACTCATCATCGCTACGCAGATGCCGGATACAATATCTTCAAAACAAGCATAGCGACTGAGAAGTTCGCCCAGCGGTATAGATTAGTGCTAGTGTACTTCACAATTCGCCGAAAGACTCCGTCCCAACTTCTGACGGGCATGCAGATGATTGGGTCACCACTCCACAGCTATTGAGCCTCGAGACGAAGGCATTCACAAGCGTCAGAGGATCAGACTAGATGTTGAAGCTGATGACGATCGTCACAGGACTGGACAACCCTCCGCTAGCGTCCGCATCCTCGCGCGTGTCATGAGCAGCTAGAGAGGGGCGGTCGGCCACACTCTGGCCTGTGGTCGCCTGTGAATCGGCTAGGGAAGACAGGTGCATGAATATACTGGCTCAAGGAACGGTGGATCAATGTGGGACCTACCCGTGGCGCTGTAGTGCATCGGGACGGTCCGGTGTTACCTCCGAGACGCCGGCGCGCCCTTCCATCCCGCGCAAATCCAGTATCCTTCCCGAGACTCGGAACGACTACTTGGGGGCTTGTCGAAGGCGACGGAATGGAAGCTAGGCGAGAGCACCGCTTTCCTGAACTCGTCCGCCTTCGGGTGCGCAAAGTGCTTGAGCCTGATCAGCCACAAACTCTCGTGAGCGGGGCTGGAAGGGGTGAAGTGATAGCAAGTACGTACACTAGCACACCACCTCTCCTCCGGCCGATGCTCTCTGCCGTCCTGAGATGCCGGCACACAAACTCGAACACCGCTTCGGAAATCGTGATGCTGGCCTCTATGTCCGCCGTTGCGCTGCCTGTGAAGTTCGCAGCCATGTCCGACAGTATCACGTCCGCCTTCCCGTCCTCGTGTCGGGCTCGTGCCCACTCGTCCGGGGGGAGAATTCTAGGGTGGTGCTCCCTCAGGAGCGCAGAGATATACTCATCCGCCATCGGCGACAGGAAGTTCATCTGCAACGTCTTGACACCCGGGATGGGCTCCATCCGCAACAAGTCCACGGCGACAATCGTTCCGCGCCCAACCTGCCGAGGCGGTTCTGCAGTGTCTTCTTCGTCCAGCAGCCTCGTGAAGTCCGCCTCTTCGATGTCCCCAAGCTCATCTGCACCTTCGGGCGGGACGGCACTCCAGTCGCTCATCTTCCCGCCCACCCTCCTCTTCAGCTCCTCCCTCTTCCCCCTCTTAAGTCCAAACCCAGCAGTAGCCGCGTCCAACACGCTCTTCCCCTTCCCATTTGCACTCACGACTGTTTCCTTGGTCAGCCGCACATCCCAGTCGGAGTCTGTCCAGCCCATCTTCCCCGCAACGACCTGGCTCCATCCGCCCGGGGCGGCGCCGAGGTCGACGACCGTCCGGACATCATCGTGATTGAGAAATTTCCACCTGTGATCGAGCTCGAGAAGCTTGAATGCGGAGCGCGAGCGGTAGTTGGCGGGGTATGAGAGCCGCGCTTTGACGTATGGATCGCGGTACTGGCGTGCGAGCCACGCTCGGGAAGACGGCGGGAGCTTGTGCGAGAGCCGCACGGCAGATGGGTGAAAACCACTCGCAAATGTCATGTCTGGACCGGCGAATGAATGAGAGACATTGAGCTTGCCGTCGTGGGTGAGGTTGTCCAAGTCGAGGCTGCAGTTGTCAGCGTTGCGCGCTTGCTGGTGAACCAGGCACAAAGGCGCTCATACAAGCGCCCAGTGCTTCTTGCCACCTAACCACTCCTTCCAGATGCCGCTGGCCGACGTGCTCGTCATGGTTATGACACTGACTCCGAGTTGATACTCGGCAAGATAAGGAGGCCAGGACTGTTGCATGCACAATGCCCCTCGTGTTCCCGATAATCATCGCGTCGTCGTCCTGTACTCGCCACGGCAGGGAATCAGATATTTTCGATTGGAGAAAAGTCGATGAATTGGGGACGCAAAAGGCAACCGCCCGTCATCTCTCAATGTCTTTTGTCCGGAAATGCCACATATTTACGGATTGTTTGCCTCGCGCGTCCCCTTCTCAAAGACTTTTCTCCAGCTGGAAATATCCGAATCCCTGCCGTGCGCGTGCTCCCTGCTTCTTCCATGCTTCATGCCTTCGTGCTTGTTCAACCTGTTTCCCATCGCCTTCTTGCGGTCCGTCATTATCGATGACTACTCATGATTTAGATCGTGCACGCCAGACTACGACACCCCACGACACGGTGTCTTCCTCTCCGTCTGCCTCTTGAGATGTCAACCAATTACCAGCTGTTCATCCCTCTCTCTGAGCATCCTGTCGCGGTCGACGATCCCCGTTACTCTAGGGAACCAGGCTCGGGATTTTTGATAACGCTCTCTCTCTATGGCGCCGTACCTCTTGGCTCAACCTCAACAGATCCTGCCAACATAGTTCCAGGGAAGCGCTTTTTTTCCCTGGGAAAGACATACAACCAGTGCTACATCGAAACCAACACGGTGCTTTCGCGACTCCACGACGACAAAGTTCGGAGGCAAGACTACAATACCCTCCTTGCCAATGCTTCCGCCCGACTTTTCGACATCTGGGACAACACAGGAGATCTGACCGCTATCCATCCCCATATGATTGTAGATCCACTGTCGTATCCTAATTTTGAACTTTGGGATGAAGAACAGCTTCGACGATGGAACCAGATCTGCCTTGTCATCGACAAAGCCCGACCTTCGCTTGCCTTCAACGTCTACAGTCGCTTCATCGAGCCGGCAGCGGACCAGATCAGCCTGTTCTTCACCCCATCATCACAGGCCCCATCGGCGTTCACGGTCGATGTTTTGAAGAAAGTCTTCCAGGCGAGTCCTTCACGTGGCACGTTTCCCCGCCTGAGCTGAGGCCTGCACAGGCCGCGTTCTCTGAGTTGAGCCTTCCCAAGTACAAGTACGAGGTGATCGATCTGCAGACTGCCCAGCAAACAGGGCTGGTCTGTACAGGAGGTAAGAACAGTTCGAGCTTTTCGACCGCATTTCCTGAAAACCTCCGTATCTAGTGCACTATCTACACTTCTATTTCACGTTCATGACGTCCGCCGACTACACCAAACTCTGGGTCACGCTACAGAATCGGCCGGAACTCATGCGCCCATGGCCAAGTGACTCAGTGGCTCGTACAATCCAGCAGAAGATCGGTGATCCTCCTCGCGGGGGTGAGGTGACTGTGGCGAGGATGTCTCATTTCAAGGCCACTGCGGCAATGGGACAGAGAAATTCGTACCCGGATCAACAGACCGTCATGAGGGCGAGCGCAACAGATGTGAGAGAGTCTCTCGTGCGTGATTGTTTCATACTGACGGTACGTAGCTTGCGAAGGAGATGTGGGGACCAGCCAATGTTTCAAACGGCTCTCCAGCCGATGCGGAGGTATGCCTTGCCTTGCGCCACGAAGCCAACAACTAACGGGCTTCATCAGTGGCTTCACCGGAATGCGTTCCATTTCGGTGGTATGGACGACAGCGTCAATCTAGCGAGCTCTCAGACTCGGGAGAACCTTGTCTTTGGTACCGGTGAAAGCAATACCCACATGATTCGAGCAGAAAACACCATCTCCTCTCTCCTTAGGGCGGATGCCTCGGTTGCACAAGACAATACGCGCACAGGTACCCTTGTCACTACCAATTTATTCAGGGGCTCCATGTCCCGCCGAGACCTGAACAGCCCAGGATTCAGACGCTCAGAGCAGATACCTATCTGGGCAGATACGGAGAAGTACAGTGAGTATGCCCGTGCATCAAGACGTAGACCTTGATCTAATTGTATCCGCAGTGTGGCTGAGCTTTGGACTGAAATACCAGTGGACGATGCCGGGAAACGCGTTGGTATGTCCCGCTTCTGGATCGAGCAGTGTCTCAGAGCTAACTTGCCGTAGGGACCCAACTTTAACGCGTCCGAAGTGTTCGATCCCTTCTCCCGTTACATCCCCCTCCGCGTCGAGGCACGTCTTGACGACGCTCTCACGGACTACCTTCACGAAAGCACTGTGTCAGCGACTGCGTCTTCGGTCCAGTCTGCATCTCTGAAGTCTGCCCGTGTTCAGCGGGCTGTCTCAGCGTTGAATAGTCAGGCCATTCCGCTGTCTACGTCCTATCAAGAGCCGACGATTCTCTGGAATGCCGCCAAGCGCCATCTCCCCTACATTGACGTCGGCAATCTTCAAATCAACAACCCAGCAATCGCGGAGCCACCTTCGGACGAGGAGGAACCGACAGCGGATGAAGTCGTTCACGCCTTTGGTGCCCGCCCTCTGCTTTCCCATGTGACCGAAGGCGAGCGAGTCAAAGCTGTCCGTGTCGTCGAGCTCAATCTCGCTGCCAAACGACGATTGGGCCAGGTGCTCGGTCCAAGTTCTGCTGCTCGGCCTCGAACTCCGAGATCGCTCCTCGAACCCATCCTTTTCGATTCAGGACCCGCATCGCAGCCCCCGGATAGAGGCTTCGTTGTTGTCGGTGACATTGCCCTATTCGGTGTCGAGAGCCTGAGCGCCAAGTTCGAGAAGTGGGAAGGACCTGCTCCGTCTGATATCGTCGTTCTTCCCGACAATCCCGTCTCCGTCGAGCGTGCAACGCTTACCGAGGACTTCCACCTCTCGTCTGTGATATCTGCGCTCGAAGGCACCGCTTTCGACAGCATCACGTTCCGTAACATCAGCGTCTACCACCAGAACTACAAGTTCGATACGACAAAGGCTATCGGCTGGCACTTCGACGCTGACCTGGTCATCGACGAATCCTGCGGCGCATTGCACGATGTTCTGTCACAGGTTCTGGGCGTCGATGAGCCTGACCTAGCTGTCCACGTCTTCCTCGGTGCAGGCGGTGGATGGGACCGACCGCCGTCGCTTCACAGCTTCACACTCGAAGGTATCTTCGCGGGGTTGGCCCTCAAGCCGTTGGACGGAGTCGTCCTATCGAAGATCGGCGTCAGACTCTTTGGCATACGGACGCTGAAGTACGACCCATTGCCGCAGTCCACCTTGGAATACGGGTTCTCTGTGTTCGGAACCATGAACCTAGACGTACCAGGCTCTACCATTCCTCTGAGCTTGGAGTACGAGATGCAGGAGTTCGGTGGCGTGATCTTCCTGGGAGCCAGTATCGACACGTGGAAAAATCCTCTCGGGGCTAGCGGGCTTGTGGTGAGTACACGTACTGATTGCTTAATCGCCGTTGTTAACGGTCTCGTTCCCCTCTCAAGCTATCGGGCATCTCCTTCTCTACGTCTTTCGCTGTCTCGTCTCCATGGAAGTCCCTCACCTTCGGCGTGTCAGCGGACTTCATGTATGAGGATGTCTCTACGACTTTCCAAGGGTCCTATACTCCTCGCGGCTCGTTCGAGCTGAACGCATCGATCCACCATGTTACAGTGAAAACCATCGATACCCTTTTCAGACGGATCTCTCACGACAATCTCTCCCTTCCGGATCTCGACGTGACGATCGGGTATGCGAGGCTATCTATCACCTCTGGCAACGGATTGGGCATCAGTCTCGATAGCGTGACCATCGGGGACTACACATCGCTCGACGCTGGTCTCATCATCACTCCTCACAACGTCGTGATTCGTGGCGACCTCACTACCGACGCTGTTCAGTTCGGAGACGTAGAGCTGAAGCGTGCCTTCCTTCAGGTCACCTTCGAGGCCAAGGGGAATGGGAAGACGACAGATCTCATCCTTGGAGGCGAAGTCGCATTCTCCACTCTGGTCTTCGACGCAGCTGTTCATCTGTACAGGTCCCCTGACAACTCAAAGGAGTCTCTCGAATGGACCGTGCTCGCTGCCTTGACGTCGAAGGACGAGGCTCTGCAGCTTTCCAAGGTCGTACCCGAGATCGAGGGAACGCCGTTTGACCTCGCTCTTACGCAAGCCGTTTTCGTTGCCGCTTCGAAGGATGACCCGAGCTTGGGCAATATGATCACGAGCGGATTCTCTTTCCACCAAGGTAGGTAGGAACCATTGTGGAAGCACTGCTCTCCGCTGATCTCCAATCAGGTGTCCAGGTCTGCGCGGTGTTGGGCGAAATTGACGCTCTTAACTCGCTCATGCGTGGGCCCGTACCGGGCCTCACCCTCAGCGCTGGCTGGTCCAAAGCCAAGGGCTTCGAATTGGACGTATATCTGCCAGCTCCCACTCGCCTGAATCTCGGCAACGGGGTCACAAGTACACCATTTGCGCTTTCGATCGCAACCAAACCTACCGTACGACTGATCCTCTCAGCTGGTCTCAATATCCCCGTCCCATATTCACCAGCACCCTTACTGTTCACCCTTTCGCTTGGAACTAACCTGTTGGGCGCCGATGCAACGGGCCAGATGTCCGGATGGTGGGTGAACCCGTTCGGAATCAGCCCAAATGTCAAGGTTGGACCGAACTTGGGGCTTTCTATCTCGATCATCTTCGCGCAATTCGCGAGTACCGGGACGCCGAGGTATGACTCCACACCTTTTTCCTGTCGACAATATCGCTTATACTTCCTATAGTGGGTTCATGGTGCAGGGTGGTCTGATGATCGGAGAGACTGCAGCACAGCTGGCGCTTTCGGTGAATGAGGACCCTATGAGTACGTTCGCAGAATTGATGTCCGCCGCTGGTTTCATCTGACACCTGCTGCAGAGGAGCTACTCTATGCTGAAGTCCAATCATTGAACATCACAGATGTTGTGAAGCTTGCGAGCGACATTATCGACGTCCAGATACCTGATCCTCCTCGAGACTTCCTTGATTTCCAGGAGGTCAAGTTGTATATCTGTCCAGCAGGACTCTCCATCGGCACCACATTCTACCCTCAAGGCGTCTCGTTCCGTGCAGATGTCATTCTATTCGCGAAGCGAGCTGATATCGAATGTGGTATGTCTCTCGTGGTGGTTGCCAGAACGGTATGCTCACGCAGTACCCTAGCTGTTGACGCGGTGAATCTAAGAATCTCTCTCACTGGCGGCGTTGACAACTTCACGCTTGGGCCCCTCGTTGTCCGTGGTCCAACAGGCCCTCGTGCTGTCATCGAGTGCGAAATCGGACCTACAGACCAGCATCTGCTTGTTGACGGCGTGATCTCTCTGTTCGGAGCCGAATCTACTGTTCATATCGTAGTCGACATTCTACCCGTACCCAAATTCGAATGGATCACGTGAGTGCAATTCCTCCAATCTCCACCGATGCACGCTCAAAGCATATGTGCTTTAGTCAACTCAAATTCACCGACCTTCTCCTCTTTCGACTCCAAGCTACTCTTGTTGGAGCCGTTTCCTTCACCGATCTCTCAGATGCCGACTTCCTGTTTGATGCCCTCTTCGAGCAGTACATCCTCCAGTATATCCACGACCACATCATGGGCCAATTCGAACAGGCTCTGCAAACCGTTAGGGATGGCATTGACGCTGCGCGGGCAAAAGTCGACGAAGCGGAAGCCGCATGGAAGGCAGGAGTCGACAAGGCCCTCGCCGATCTTGAAGATGCGAAGAAGAGCTGGGACGCGAAGAACAAGAGCGTCACGGCCGAATGCAACAAGGTCATCAATGCGTACAACAAGGAGATCGAACGTCTTCAGAACGCCATCGGTTACGCACAGAAAGACTACGATGCCGCGATGACCGACGCGCAGAACGCCGTCAGCGCCGCGCAACGGGACCGTGCGCGAGCGCTGCAGAGCGCGCAGCATGCTCTCGACAACGCTAAGCGAGAGGTGAGCGACGCTATCGACGCGGCGCAAAGGGACCTCGACTATGCGAAGAAGGACTTCGATGCCGCGTTCGGTTCCGCCCACGACGCGATCGAAAGAGCACGGCGGGAGGTGCAGAGCTTGCAGAACCAGATCAACGACTTGTATAGCACTATCCACGACTACGAGCGTGCGCCGTGGTACGAGTTTTGGAAGAAAGCTGCAATCGGCGGCCTCTACGTTGCTGTGGGCGCGCTCGAGGCCTCCAAAACCATTGCCGACGGTTTTCTTCTGGCCGCAGAAGGGGGGCTGACATCCGCGAACTTCCTCGCCAAGAAGACTGCCTTCGAGGGTGCCCAGGTCGCCCTAGACGCTGCTAAGGAGTCCGGCAAAGGTATACTTGATGGGGCGAAGAAAGCTGTGGACGTCGCGGACACAACGTCGCAGGGCGTTCTCGATGCCGCAAATCATACGCTCGAGATCACGAAGGAGGGGGTAAAGTGGGGCATTCTTCAAGGCGCGAAGGAGGCTTTGCAGGCCTACAAAGACGCCAACGATGCCGCCTTCCGCGCAGCGACCCAAGCGTTGATCGACCTGGTCAAGTGTGCCGAATACCTGGCCTACCAGGCCGCGAAGACCGCGCTCGAGGGGGCGCGCGCTGCGACGGTGGCACTGGACGGCGCTCGCGCAGCCCTAGACCTAGCTCAGCGAGTGGGGGAAGAGGCCCTTAAGATCGGGCAGTGGGTCGCAGATCATGCCCTCAACGCTTTCGACATCCGCGTCGTCCATCTCTCCGGAAGCTTGCGTGGTATGGTGGGAGCGGGCGGTTCGATGGCGAAGCCTTTCACGGTTCGCATCGAGGGCGTCGTCGTGGGTGCGCCTTTCATCCTCGACACAGATTTCGACCCTCGCAAGACCGCGGACTTCATTACGTTCATCTTCCAAAAGTAAGTCTTACATCTTATAGGCGCGGTTAACGGCTCGCTCACGGGACTTGTCAACAGCCTCTGGGATAAGATCAAGGCCGAGGTTGTGTGAATGGCGAGTCGCATTGCTGAGACAACTACGTTTTCGTCTTCCGCCTGTATATGTGCGCACCTCGCTCTGAATGTAGTCCTATGGAAAGCGGTTCCGAGGACACGCGACCTTGATGAGAGGGGGGGGAGGATAAGCTACGCCGAGCCTCATCACGGATACGGCCTTTGACGTACGAGTCACGGTTATTCCGAGAGTGAGCTACGCTCGGGAAGGCAGCGAGATTTGTGCGAGCAGCACGGGAAAGGGATGGAAGCAGGTCGTGAGTGTCATGTCTGGACCGGCGAGTGGATGTGCTCTCTGTTCTCTCTGTTTCGCTTGACGTGTCCAATGCAAGTACGGTCGATAGCTCCTCCCAAAGGCCTCTCCTGCCCACCGAGTCCTCTCGCCACCCCCCCTTGTGTCTTCCATCCGTCATGCAAGATAGCTTCCGAGTCTGCTAGTGTGTAGGTCCTGTCAAAAGTACTGCGAACCGACCCCGACCGTCTTCACCCTCATCCACCGCGCCTACCTAGTGGCAGTGTTGTCATTGACCCGTCAGTGACGGGGTCGGTCGATGCGTCAAGTCAAAGGGTCAATAGGTCACGTCAATGATGGACCCGTCAATTAATCGTGGGAACCTCATCGTGATTGGCCAAGGATGGGATGACAGGGACCGGCCATCGGCTAACCCGGTCCGCACGCTCTTCAAACTCAAGTCGCGAGCCTGCATATGTAGTTGTGCAAACCTGTAAGACTTGTCTTAGATATGAATTGACTCTGCTTCTTCTAGAACGTAACTTGTGCACCTGGGTCTACAGCTGAGTATTTGGAGAGAGAGAAACTGAGACTTGTATTTGATGTAGTCGTAGTTATACATATCAAGACAGGGAATTGGACATGTTTGCATCAGCAAGAAGTCGATGAAGAGGGGAAGCACAGAAAGAAGTCTTCATGAGGATTCTGCTTCACAAGTCCTGGGAGACAGTTGCTTTCTGCATCCCCTCAGTTGTGTCACGGACGTTGGACAGACACCCCTTTTTGCCGCCCATTCCCCTCCCTTTGACGCCCACCTTCCATTTGCGGACCATTTCCTTTTCTAGCCCATCCCAATTTGGACACTGTAGATACGTTCCCACAGCCGCATGCTACGTTCCCGTGATCGCCATGCCCTTGCCTTTTCTTTCTCGCCCTTTGTTCTCTCTTTGTCATCTTCACTGCCTCGCTCTCGCGCCTTGTCCTTGGTTGCTAAGCGGCTCCTCTAGTATATAAGGACCCCCTTAGGCGCTCCCTAGTCCCCATCTCGACCTCTTGGTCATTGGGACTAGGTGAGTGACCATAGCGTTGTACTTCCCTTCGAGTGCTAATGTATAACTTGGTCATTGGGACTAGTCTGTCGCTGGTTGCGTGAAGACTAGCTTTCGTTGGTCTCGTGCCTTCGTGCCGACCGCCGCTCTGCCCCGTCGAGTTTTCTGATACGTTTATCCCTCTTACCCTCTCTTCTCCCCTTTCGGCTCCTTGCCGCTCGCCCACGAGGTCGTCGCCGAACGACGACCCGAGTCTACGTGCCTAGTCGCCGCGACATTAGGTCGAGATCTCTCCCCCGGTGCTGACGCTCTGAACAAGAGTGTCCCCGCCGCCGCTACATTGTCTCCCCCACCCTGGACTGCACCGGCAGACTTCACGCGTGGGACACAGAAGACCAAGACCACTGTCACCGACGGAAGGACCTAGACGACGGACTCTGGTACTGGGTACCGTGCGAGCAAAACCCCTGCCCGAACCGTCATCACCGTCCTGCGCGGATCAACTGGAACGCCTTTGCGGACGAGTTCATCCCAGTCCCTGACTCCCCCATCGCTGAGTCACCCACGACTCGATCCCCCATCCCCGGCACTCCGACCGACGAGCTCGAAGTAGCGCTACTCATCGCGCTTCCCCCATCCCCTATCATTCCCCCAACCCATCCACCATCTGCTCCACCCATCATGGGACAACAAGGCGGACAACCGCAG